CTCCGTTCCTCCCCAACGGCAAGACAGGGTTCGTTTGCATTTTTGACAAACCTCTCCTCCCGCCTCTCCCGCTCTCATCTCAGCGCATCATATCATCGCATCTACTCCATGGTGATGTACACAGACATGGCATTCTCCGTCTTCGTCAATTTGTGTCACTACATACTCCAGCCTCTGCTCCCAACGCACCACGCCGCATGTGTTCAGCTTCTGTCGCCTTTATGTCAGCCTACGAGAGCGAGCGAACTAGAGTAGGACATACAGAATAGTGGCCACAATCCGACGAGTGTGCACAGCATGCCTGAACTCGGTCAGGTAAATTCCTGCCACCACCAATCAGCGAATGGACAGTTGCACCGCAGATCAGGGCGATACACACCTTGCCAGGTGCCCAAGTTGAGCCTTCCATCTGTAATCGGCACGCAGACGGTAGGCCCGACCAACGTAGTCTTCGTGTGAGATACACTACGGCGCGCACAATATTAGCGGTAGAATGCAGAAAGAACCACATTCGACTTTACGAATCACTAAAGTTTGCGGGACGCGTGCTGGTAAAGATCTCCCCGTCTAGGCAGCGAAACCACACGACTTACTCCGGACCTTCATCGGTATGAACCCAATTGAGATGCTCGGGAACGATCTGGTCGAGCGCCATGTCCATATCTGTTACGAAATTGAGCAAAAGCCCCAAGGGGCATTTGAATCACATATATTACCTCTACGGACGTCTGATGCTGCTGGATCAGAACCTCTAGAACCACGCCAAGTAATGGCTGCGCACCTGGATCGAAGTTTTCGTTGATTGTCAACGCGGCAGACGTATGTTGTCTGTGCGTTGATCCACGGCATCTCAGCGCCGGGACGATACGCCCGTCTGTGACAGCACTCACATAAAGAGATACAGCATCCCAACCTACACAGGATGCTTATCGCATTGATCACAGCCATTGACCAAGTGGAGAAAAGGACGAGTACATACTGTTACACCCTGCAGACCAGGGCCTATGTGATCGAGAATCTCGGTTGTCACCAGATGACAGCCTTTTCTGCGTGCGCCTAGGGTGAATGTTTTCTGCCAACCCATGACGATGATGTGAAAAGCAGATGGGACGGAGTTCTGGAGCAGGGCAAGCGCATTACTCCGGAGCAGAACGATCAAAGCCCCGGAGAGCTAATCGCAGACGGCAATCAAACCAGCCCCACGCGAGATCAATCTCCGCTGCACCTCGGACTCTGCAGTGCGTCCTCAGCGGTAGGCCGAACGGAGCCGATCCTCGAAATATAGCATTGCTGGCTCAGCTAACGACATGCATGCAGACGAGGTATATTAGTCTCTTCAGTCCCTTACCCACCCACTGGCAACCACCACGCGAACGTATGGTGACACGCCCAAGAGAACATGGCAAGTGGAAACCATCAGCCACCGGCAATTCTCCTCTCCGCCTCCAATAACGCGTCAAACTGTGCTTGTTCCCTCGCACGGTCCGTCATGGGAGGTTGGTTGGTGGATTGGGCATCGTCGGGAAGACGACTCCGCTCATGAGTCTGGCGTAATACATCCCATGAAGATGGCAGTCCCGCACCACGGCTATTTGCCGCGCGAATCTCTTGCCAGCGACTCGCGGGTCTCGACGGAGCCTCTGGCGCTGCCGAACATACGAGAAATTGCACAATGCATCAGTACTTTGTCAAGGATATCAGGTGGAGTGCATACATGCTGCCGACTTTGGTGTACTTGTCGGTATTGGTGCCCGGGACTGGCTAGCTTGATCTGCATCCGGAGCCCAGGTGTCTTCAATTGGTCGGGGTGCATTCCCATGCATCTCATCTGGGCGTTGCACTTCTTTCGCTGTTTGAATAGTCCATGCGAGCGGTCTCACCCCTCCCGTTCTCTTGTTGACGTTTTCCAGAGCGTGGTTGAACGCGATGGGGTCCTCCAGGACGTGAGTGAACGCCCAGTGCGCCTTCGCTCGGCGAAACTGTCCATACACTGAACCGATGAATCCGGCTGCTGTAGCTATAATCATGGTACGGTTGAGAGAAACGGGAGGGCGTCTGTAAAGACGTGCGTAGCCGGCAGCAGCGCTGCTTCCGAGGAGGGCATAGCCGTACTATGGAAAATCATGAGCACAACGCGAAGCCGCATAGATGAGAACGCTGAGTGGAGTACAGACAGGCCAATAGCGATGGGATGCGGGGAGGAAAGCGACTGCAAGCTGGAAGTCGTGTTGAGAGATGAGGCCAGACTCGAGATCTGGGCGGAGGAGGTCTTCTGTCTTGGTGCGAGAGTTGAATGTCGCGTCCAGCCACTGGATGGGATACGCCATCCCGAGAGGCGGACACTAGGACTGTTGTATGCGGACGAACACGACTTCAACTTCAAGGACGTCACTTTCCGGTCAGGTGACTGTTTGCCTACAGGCGTCAAGACAACGGCGGGTCAATGCAGTGGTCCGACTGGTCGGTTTCTCCGTTGCCTTGTCCTCAGGCCTCCTGACCGCACCTGGCTTGCGTCTCCGTCCTTGCTCATGAATGGGATTGCTGCTGTTGTAACAACCGCTGGATCCGCCCCTTCCCCCCTCAATCGCAAGAAGTCCTCCATCTCAAGCACAAACGTACCTCAATCTCGCTCCGAACCTCGGAAGCAGAATGATCAGCATCTCCCCGTAGCTGGAGAGGCTGGGAAGTCTACACCGAAGACTCGCGAGGGTGCATCTCAGAATGCATCCAATTCCGGTGCGTCAAGGTTTTCTTCTAGCATCCAGCGTTTACCCTTTAGCCCCTTAAGCGACTGGCTTCCCTGAGACACAAAGCAGGGGAATTGCCACTACACTCCCAACATCCTCTTCATCTGACAGCGGGATTAAGAAACTCAATCTCCTCGCAGATCTGGTCAGAACAGAGAAGCAATATGTAGATTTGCTTGCTGGTACTATCCGTGTATGTATCTTTTACCTAGCGGAAGACGTCCGGTACCTACTAGCATGATCAATAGACTGTCGCATCTGCGTGGTCGCGTTCAAACCTCCCCCCACCGGAGCTGGACCGCATGTTCAGAGGGATCGAGAGTATTTACAAGGCCAACCGTTCCATATGGCAGGTATGTACCCGCCATATTTGATGGTCGTGCTCAACATCAGCTCTATATTACCAGAGACTGAAGGAGATCGAGGCCAACCCGTCATCTCCGCAAACACTTGGTGACTTACTGATGAAATTGGTTTGTATGCGAATCATTATAAGCCTATATCTCCTCACTGCATTCCAGATTGACGACTTGGAAACGCCGTACACCGACTATTATACTAAGTTTCTCACTGGATTTGATGCATGGGAGGCCATTCAGTCGAACCCCCGTGTTCGAACCATCCTTGCTATGTTCTCGTCCTCGAATCCCCCTCCATTGCCAGAGTCATCACCTGAGCATCCACCTGAGCCACCCTTGTGGACATTGGATCGACTTTTCCTCTTGCCAAGAGAGCGGCTGGACTACTATCGCAGAATGTATTTCCGGTTACTAAAGAGCACCGTCCCGGGCAAGAGCGATCATCGCTCGTTGTCAGCTGCGCTTGAGAAAATTGAGAAGCTCCTTGCGACGCAAGAGAAGCGTGTCGCCATTGTTGTAAATCAAGAGCAGTCTGACGCGGTGAAAATCACGCCAATGCCTTTAGGGAATAAATCTCTTGGAGACCCAAGGTCGAAGCCTCAACAGCCCTCGAGCGGCAATTTACAACCACCTTCAAAACAGATTAGTCTCGCCCGCGACAACAAAACTCTGGCTTCTAGGTGCGCATAATCTTTAGCTAAGCATCATACACTGAACAAAAGTACACAGCCCAAGTGGCAGGGAGCTGGAAGTCAAATCAACTACGGGTCATCGAATATCCCCTTCTCAGCTTCCTATGACCGTGACTGATCTGGAAAGTTGCGTCTCGACGGAGCGGACCGTTGATTTATTTACGATGAAGGCCAAAGTACGTACTCCGTCGGTATCAATCCACCTCCACGAGATACTCACGATCTCGCAGCATGTCCGACTTCAATTATTACCGCCAACCTTGTCCTTCTCACGCGAGGTACGATGTTCGGGGGAGGTCGTTATCCGCTTTGTCCCCCAATCAACTGGGGTGGAGACGATTCATGAGAAGGGCCACATTTTTGTTCTCACTGATTTGGTCTTGATATGCGAAGAAATGGAACCCCACGAACAGCATCAGAGAGGTCACCACGGATCAGGCATGTGGCTTCTGTATCCCCCCCTCACCGGCAGACATTTAAGGGCAAAGTCCGTCAGCAATCCAAGTAGGTTTCCGCGTCTTTTTCAGTTGAAAATTGTTTGATTGACGTCACGGTAGGCAACGCGTTGACAATCACTGTCATGAAAAAGGAAACGCTGCTGCTTGAAGCGAGTTCACTTGAATCACGAGACCAGTTACTGGCGAATTTGGAACAGTGCTTTGAAGCAGCTACAGCTGGTGAATATGTTGTTGCTGTCATTTGAAGTGGTGACTCAGATGCGACTCGCGCAGCATTATCACCGCCAAAGAACCAACCACCTGATCTCGCTCATCCTCCATCAAGTACGGGGATGGAGCTACCCTCAACTTCTCATGCACGACATCAATCAACTTCGAATGAAACAGAGCCCTCCGGGTACCAACGCAGCTCTTCGAGGATGCGCTCCTCGAGTGCTGTCTCGTCCCATTCGGCAGACAGATACCATGGTGGGCCGATTGTGCCTAGTGCTGCACCTGTATCAAAGGACGCAAACCCAGTCACGAGGTCTCCATCGCGACCGAAGCAGTCTTCACCAAGTCAGCCTCGTTTGGCTTACCCTGCACGATCCTCTTCCAAGTCGACTAGCCAAGCGGGTCGTGTGGCTCAGGACACTGGTCAACTTGCTCGTGCCCCGTCTTTCAGTCCTGGCCAGGTCGTTCCTATTGATTCATTTTTCCCAAGCCAGCGTCCGATCCCCCAGACATATGTTCCTGTATTTATGATGCCTCCACAGTCTGCTGACCAAGGTCAGGGCTACAAGACCGCTGGACATCAGCAGCGGCCTTCACTGGGAGTCGCACACGACGCCAGTCATGGACAGACAAAGACTGCACGAGAACCCTCGAGACCCCGCAATGTGCCTGTGCAAGACACATCATCCTCTGGTACTTTGCCGACCCGTATTCTAGCTGAAAATCCTGGTATGCACCACACCACCGCGCCCGAAGGCCATGCACCAACCGTTGATAGGCGTGGCCGATCTTCTGCCGGTTCAGCGAACACACTTTTACATAAATCGAATTCTTCGCGGTCTCTTCGGGCGCAACACTCTGACACGCCCGCTGTATCGGTCCCGCCTATGCCATCGTACCCAGGAGACCAGCCTAGGGCCCAACCTTCTTTTCTGGCCCGAGCCCGTTCAACCAGCTCATTTCATTCACACTCAAGCCAGCTCCGGCCGCCGAGCAGGCCTTCCATGCCGTCCGCATATCCGAGCACGCAATCCGTGTCAACGCTCGTGTCCTTCCAAGCCCCGAGTCCCCCAGAATCGCTAGTCGAAGAAATGCACGTACCTGCTGCTCCGACCACCACAAGTATCACTGAGCAGATGAAGTGCAAAGTTTTCCTGCAGCAACATCATGAACAGTGGAAGGCGCTCGGCACCGCCAAGCTGAAATTATACCGCGAGTCGCCGACCAATGTCAAACAGCTGGTTGTCGTGTCGGAGAACAAGGACAAACCGGTGTTGGTTTCGACAATCGTGCTCGCTGATGGCGTCGAGCGAGTTGGTAAGACAGGTGTGGCGGTTGAGGTGAGCGACAGAGGAAAGCGTACAGGGATGATTTATATGATTCAAGTGCGGGACGAGAAGTCGGCGGGGACCTTGTTTGATAAATTATTGGTCGGTTCGGACAGAGCTAGTGTCCGTGTCAGAGGATAAGGACTAGTGCTGGTGTGATATGTACAGCTTTCTGTACCATCTAGCTCGGACTCTAAGTATTGTAGCGTGCGTATTTCCTGTATCCGATACCCGTAACATTATCTCTGTATTGTTTATGTTATGCATATTAGTCGTCTATCATCGAATCCTCTAAAACACAACGCCATGGGATCATGTGGACGCAGTCCAAAACAATTCAGCGCCGAGAGAGATATGATCACTCCCGCAAACACCTTTCCGCGGGATCCCCGGTTGAAGTGCCTCGGTGCGATGCGGCTTAGCAATCTTTGTAACGACCATCTCGTGATTATGAGGAGGCAGGACAAAAATATAATCTGCCAGTTGTAAATTAGAATGAGAGATCACGAGGATATAGACGTACACACCCAGCACGGTCTTCCAGTACTTGTGAGACAATAGTTAGGAAGTGGTATGCAAGCGAAGTGACCTGAGCGTACGTGGGTGTAACTGGTCCAAACAGGCTCGTATGCTCCCAGTTTGCCTGGGGACACAGGTTCTCTATTACCATAAGCAAAACCATCTTCCGCAAGGCTCGGACATGTTCGAGAACCGGTATCATAGACACTGTTTGGAGTACCAGACTGGCGGAACATGTCGACCAATTCAGTAGAGGACAAGAGACCGTCCGCCGGCATCGCTGATCGAGCATTAGTGATCACTCTGTCTGGGTCCGTTTCGCCCCCGACATCCGCTTCGTCTTCCGCTGGGTTGGCATTCGGTACTGTGGATACTTCTGGGTCAATGGTTACGTGTACGACACGCGATGCAGCCAGCCTCGCGTCTTGGATTGGAAGAAGTGTATCGCCGACTATCAACGAATATGCAGGATCGTCAGGCGAGAAGTTAAAATCTGTGCACTCCAATGATCAATCGGACGTGGCAGGTATGCGACGCATTGCATACCGCCGGCAATTATGCAGGGCCAGTCCTGAGTTCCATAAGAGCCAGAGGCCTTGAATTTAGTGACCTCTCGCATCAGAATAGCTGCCTGCCTGAGTGGGTCTTACTAGCCATAGGGCAGAACGCACGGTCGAACATACCTCGCGCGTTCATATGTATATCTGAGTGATCCGTGAAAAATCAAAGACCGCCGAAAGGTTGACAAGGAGGAGCCCGTACGATGGGTGCCAGAATAAATGAGTGGTCGCCACTATCACGCCGTTCGATTGTAAGCCATTTCGCTGGAGGCGCACCATGGATGCAATGTTTTTCGTCCAAAAGCTGCCTCCACGCTGCGCCCTCTCCGTGCCATCAGGACGGACATCTTGCTCGTCATAGTATACGACTTTCTCTTCGAGGAGCGTGTACGCGTCTTTTCGGAATGCAATAAGACATCCGTGCTTCTTTCGGCGCCCAGAGGCATACACCCAAGCATATCCCGACTTTTCCAGGACGGGTAGTAATTTTTCAAGTCTGTCCACTTCCTGTATGAGTTCAGAAGAACGATCACCATTCAAGAAACAATAAATGGCATTCCTGTAGGCAGCATATATCTGCGTCATGCGACAAAATTTCGCGATAAAGCATATGTTCTCGTTGGCTTGCCTTGAGACAGTCACTAGTCGGGAAGAGCTCGCGGCCTACAGGCGAAACCGATTAAACGAGTGGCTTCTTGCATGGATGCTACGATGACCACTTACGCACGAGACATTGTGCGAGGAGCTGTGTGTAATGTTTCGTGGAGTAAGGACATGCTAAAGGATGGTATAGAACATGACAAACATTCCAGGTCATAACCTTGACACCCCCGACTGTCTTGTCTGAGATGGGGGCTTCTTGGAGAGTGATCCATTCCCTGGGCAGTATGCGGCCACTCTCATCAAGTTCCTTGGCTATATCTCGCATTCGCTTCTCTTTTCTGAGTCGCCTTTCCTCAGCCAAAGCAAGTCGGTCCGACGTAGGCTGGAATTCCTCAGGCATGATAAGAGCAGAAGACAGAAGCCTCGATGTCAAGTGTGCGGATGTTGGGAGAGGGCAGCCACGTCCGAGCCGGAGAGGCAAAAGTCCTACTCTGCCTTGAACAACAATGCAAAGCGTTCTTAAATCAGGACACAAAAACTGAGCGAACTGCATACGGCACTCTTCTAGGACCAGACCTGGACTTCAAGTTAGAGCAGACATATTTCACGTGATATGCTGTGCCTCGTTGGTAACTTTACTGCAGTCTGAGGCAAGTCTGAGGCTCAAGTCGAGTCCTTGAGAGCAGCGCAAGAGTTTGATACACAGCGACCAACCCACACGGTAGTAGATGTAATATGATATCTCCAAATTCACATCGAAAACAACAAAGAAGAGGGATCAGGAATGCGAATGGGACCATCACGGTGAATTAGCGTCATATGGATGTCAACACGCGGCGACAGCAACCCAACTGTCATGATATCCTGTAATTCGTGTGAACAAGAGGTGGATGGCAGCGTGAAGTAGACCAGTACATAGCAGTCGTAAATGGTTGCAGATTCATAATGGTGGTTCCATAGGACCATAGAACTCGTACTTTCCCTAGGCAATGATGCACTTGTTACCCTTGGGCTTCTTGGGTTGAGGCGGAGGGTTCACTGAAATGAGGATGTCACTAGTCTGATTCCATATAACCAGTACCGCAATACTCACAAACGGCTCGAATGGCTTCATCAAAAACAGTCTTCAGTCCCTTCTGTGTTAATGCTGAACATTCCAGATACTTCACAGCTCCAATGTCTCTGGCCATTGCAACACCTTGTGCATACTGAATGGGTTGCATGCGACTAGCAATGTGCGCGTATTCAGCATCTTCATGACAGAGATAACTGGATTTCATACCGCTCCTTCAACTTCTCGATGGTGCTAGGATCCTCGCGAAGATCGAGCTTTGTCCCGACTAATACAATTGACGTTGATGGCGCATGATGGGAAATTTCCGGGTACCACTATGAGTATCGGCCGGTCATTAACAAATATGTGCAGATGAACAAGTCGAAAACAACCTTAGTCCGGACGTTCTCGTAACTCGGAGGACTAACAAGAGAGAAGCAGATTAGGAAAACATCCGTTTGAGGGTATGAGAGAGGGCGGAGTCGGTCGTAATCCTCTTGACCGGCAGTGTCCCAAAGACCAAGAGAGATGGTCTTGCCATCGACCATAACATTGGCCGAATAGTTGTCAAACACTGAAGTGAAGTTATCGCTAACGGAGATCATAGAGAATACTGAACGAATTCACCAGTGGGTATGTATTCTCCCTGGATGGTTCGGGTTAGCCACACATAGGTACAAGCAGATCAGGAGCTTACCGGGAACGCGTTCGTGGTGTACGATATGAGGAGACATGTCTGTGTTGTGACAGAGATGAGCAGCGTCCTTCAGGAGTCACAATCCGCTCGCCTTTCCAACTGCACCATCTCCCACAACGACACCTGCGAGACGTCAGGTTGGCAACGCTTCACATGGGACTGCCTGAGGCTTACTGACATTTAATGGCTTGCATAGTATTGGACAAGGAATACCTCTATGCGATATTGGCAGTAATGAACAGAGCGAACAAGGACTTTAGGTACACGATGCTGGGGGAGCGCGGCCAACACGGCGGGCGATGGCGGAAGGGTGAATTAGACGCGATAAGTAGTGATCAGAATTCGCCGAGTTCTGATGCGGACGGGAATTGGGAATTTACCTCCAGAGTCGGTATGAACAAAAGGCAGCAATATTCGCGTGGCACCAGAGTCAAAGCCAGAAAAGAGGGGAAGAAACAGAGTCGAGCAAGAATGAAGATGTCGTGTTGATTGACGAGGACGATGGCTGTATCTGGCCACGGCTCGGTGACAGCGTGACTAAATCTGTCCGTATCCTACGCACGCTTCGGTCGCGACCCACTGCTACAGTTTGTCCAGCCTTTGACTATAATGAAAGCAACTTAGTTCTTTCCGTCTCATCGTCCGGATTGTGGATATCTGCTAGCTATTCCTTGGATTCGTGTAATATACACTGGTGTAACGGCGCCATTCATACCACTTCTACCGCATCAATACTGTCTACATATTTCAAGCCTTTTAGCAGATGCGCACAGCCAGCAAAGAATATTATCAGCAAGCCATGGACATTTGACTAGATTGGCTGCTGATCAGAGGCAGCGCAGAACGCAACATTGCCTACGATGTGAAAGGGGAGGCTCGCGTTCGAGGACAAGGTTATGGTCGTAAACAACATGGACGCGGTGGATGGGCGGTAGTACAGCTGGGTTTGGTTGGCTGACTGCAGCAGTCCATATCTCACGTTGAGCGGCTGCGTGCGACGGTGGTAGCGGTATGGATGGAACGATCGGAGCAGATGCCGAAATGATATCATCCCCTGGCTGCCTTGCTCGTCCTCCACTGATCCAACCATCGCCCACTCCTCTACCATGTCGCGGTCAGTGCCTCGTCTTATCCTTATCCGCCATGGTGGGTATCCCCAAATTCCTCTACGGAGGCTGTTGCTGACTGTTGAACAGGCGAGACTGAGTGGTCTCTTAACGGGTCGGTACAATCTAGTCGGCCATTGATGCTAGGTACTGATGCATAGCCCCACTGCTATCATTTCTCCAGCCGCCATGTAAGTTTGAGGTGTATGATCCGATGCATTTTGAGAATCATGACTCACCTTTCACTCTAGACTGGTCGCTCAGACATACCCCTGACACAGCATGGCGAAGAACACACGAGAGAGATGGCACAGGTGCTTGTTGGACAAGGCAGTACGCACATTCTCCACTCCTCGAACGAGGGCGCGTGACGACGCTCGTTTGCTCGCAGAAGTTATTGACCCCAGCAACATTTGCACTGTTTTTGTTTCCCCAAGAGTTCGCGCTCATCGCACATTCCATCTGACGTTCGACCATCTTCCGACCACACCATCTCACGTCATCACAGAGGAAGTGAGAGAATGGGACTACGGAGATTACGAAGGTCTCAAGCCGGCAGAAATACACGAGCGTAATCCCACATGGGAAATATGGAAGGACGGGTAGATATTTCATCCTCTCTGGGGAGATTCAATTATTCACGGCTCGGCAGATGTCCAGGTGGTGAAAGCACAGAAGAGATGTGTCATCGGGTAGATACTGTCATTGACAAAGTAAGTTCCCTGTATCACTTTCATGGTCGCTATGCTTCATAACCAGTGACCAGGTTAAAGCACATCACAAGGCCTGGTTTGACAAGGGTGTGGGCTGTCGCGATGTTGTCATTATTGCTCACGGGCACTTCAATCGCTGCCTCATAGCTCGTTGGATCAATTTCCCTCTGCGCCTAGGTAAAATCCTCCTGTCGGATGTGAACGCGTTGACTGAGCTTCTCGTACAGGAACCCATTTTAATGTCGAACCCTCGGGGGTGAGTTGATTCTGATATGGCTATGGTTGACCAGTGATTGACGGACGCCGCGCAAATCAGGTTGCCATTCTGAGTTACAACCACCGTAATTTGGCAGAGCCAGCGTTGAATGGTCTTAACCTGTACGCCCCGCCAAAGTAGATAGATAGATAGAGAGCAGCAGTAGTAATAAATGGATGAATGTTGAATTGCATGAGTGGCTGAGGTGACCATTTTCGTCGACGCGTCGCGGCGAAACGTGGTGACGTGGGACGCGTCGTGCCGCATTTTCTACGCGTCTTGTTTTTGTTTGGTTGGCACTTGTCTTCACCAGGTTGCCGAGTGCTGTCTCCCTCATCTAATACCTGATACCCGGTCCTGCAGCACGGCAGTGCTGCTGCCATCCTTTTAATTCCCAATGGTGGACGTCGAAACTCAGAGCCAGGATGCTACCTTGCCGCAAGACGATGTCGTGGTAACACCATTACCGGAGGAGCCTGAGTCGCTGGAGACGCATGCCGAGGCAAATGAAGAACATGAGGCGAGTGACTCGGCTGGGTCTACTTCTGACCAACAGTCTGCAGACGGTCTGGCCGAAGGGCACGATGCAGAGGCAAACGAGTCTGAGTCCTCGCCTGCCCCAGCTGGGCCTACGTCCGATCCAGAGTCAATGCCAGCAGTAAATAACGAGGAAGCTCCCGCCTCAGCTGCACCTAAGGCAAGACACGCAGCAAAACCTTCCATCTCGGTCAAACCTGCTCCTACGAAGACTGCAGGTGCACCTCCAACGCCACTTGTCAAGAAGGTGCGTGATTCGCTTGGGCTTATAATAGCGAGCATGCTGAATGCGCGGCTGTATACATCAAGGTCCTTAACTCAGGCACGTTTGGCTCGGGCACGGTCAAGCATGCACCCCCTGCCATCTCGAGAGCTGCGAGCACAGCTTCCACCACGTCGGCCAAACCTACCACTGCAGCGTCTTCTCTCAAGAAATCCACGTCTGGTCCTGCTACTCACGCTCCCAAACCAACCATGCCTCCCAGACAGAGTTCAACAGCCCCTGCCCCTACAACCACCGCTACGCGACGGCAATCTATGGCTCCAAAAGCACCTACTCCGGTTACGTCCAAGGCGCCTGCACCTAGCAGTGGGCGAGCATCGCTTGCCCCGTCGAGTACAAAGCCTACAGTAACAGCATCTGCGACGACCCGGGCGACCCCGGATTCCGCTTCCTCGGCTTCTCGACCGCGTGCGGCAGTAAGCGGGGAGGTTAAGAGGTCGGGACCAGTCGCCCCTCGCGTCAGTCTTGCATCATCTACAAATCGACCCCCGAGTACAGCATCTACAAGACCAACTAGGACACCTGGATCCGGGTCAATATCCTCCATCAAGGAAGTCAAAAGTGACACCAAAGCGGTAGAAGAGTTGCAGAGCAAAGTTGGTGTCTCCCGTTTCTCAGGCAGTATTATTGCTGACGTTGGTCCAGCTCGACGAGGCAACATCCTCGCTTGCTTCGAAATCGGAGGCTGTGGCTAATCTCGAAAGCCAAGTTAGCAATTTGAAGTCTTCATTAGAAACGACTTTAGCCGAACTAGAGACCAAGCAAGCAGCCGTTGAGGCCCTTGAGGAGGCTAAGGTTCAAGCGGAAAAAGAACTTGCGGATGCGCAGAGCATTCTTAGTCAACTGCAGGGTGAACCCTCACAGAATGATTCCACTTTGGATGCTGTTCGAGAAGAGGTCGGTGTCGGTCAATCGTTCTACCGGAACTTAGAATGCTCATCGTACATTATAGCTCGAGTCTGCGAAAGCGGCATCCGCCACTAAATCTGAGCTTATCACCAGTTTGCAATCCCAGATCGACGTTCTGGAGGCCGAGGTTCAGACGGCCAAGGAGAATTTAGAAGTCCTTCTGTCCTCCTCTGAAACATCTCAAGCTGCCGCTGCCGCTGCTGAGCGAGAGCATGCCAATCTCCTTCAAGCGAAGGCAGATATAGAAGCGATCCGCGAAGAGGCCGAAAGCCTCAAGACTACTCATACTGTGGCCCTTGCAGATGCCGAGGCGAGGGTTGCAGGATTACAAGAGGAAGTTGCTAAGATCACGACGTTGGAGTCGCTGCTTACCGAACTCAAAGCCGAGAATGAAGACAAATCGACTAAGGTGTCGGAGCTTGAGATTGAAGTCTTGGAGTTGAAAGAAGAGCAGGAGAAGTCGGAAGATGCACACAACGACGCGCTCGCACGTATTCAACTGCTTGAGGGAGATCTGATCAAGGCCGAAGAGGCCAAGCAGCGTGCTCTTGATGAAGCTAAGGCTAGTGAAGAGCTCAAGCTCAAGCACGCTGACGAGAGTTCCAGGGTACTCGTCGAGGAGCTGGACGTCGCTCGTACCGAATATGAGAAACTCTCTATAAAGTTTAGGGATTTGCAGGAAGATCTTGCCAAGGCCGTGGATGATCAAGAGCAAGCTCGCGTGGAAATCGGTGCATTGAGTGAAGCTCATAGCAAACAAGTCCTGGATCTTGAGAATGCTTCGCGCGATCAAGTGGCTAAGCTCTCCGAGGAAATGAAGCGGATTGCAACAGAACTTGAGGTGCGTGGCGAATCGTATTGGCTTCGTCCAGTACTCACAAAGATCAATAGAGCCAAGAAGAGAAGTACAACGCCAAAGTGGATGCTGTGAAAGCAGAGCATGAGCAATTGCTCCAGAAGGCATTCGATCGCGCGAAGGTGGATCTTCAACAGTGCTTATTATATATGTAGCCGCTGACAGACATGTAGAATGAGGCCGATTCAATCCACAGCCAAGATCTGCAGGCACTGCGAGCTGAATCGCAGGTAACTACCGAACAGCTCAAGGCTGCCCATCAATCAACCATCGAGGGATTGAAGGCTGAGCACCAAGCGGCCCTTGAGAGCCAAGTAAAGACACTCGAGAAGCAGATAGCGAAGCAGAGCTTAGAGCTCAAGGCTACGCAGGAAGACCTCGCAAAGGCGAAGGTGTCGCTAGTTTCAGCCTCACAGGAGGTACAGCTATTGAACACACAACTCGACGAGGCTCGCCAGATCGCTGCGGCAGTTGACAAATCAGACAGGGATGAGGTCATTGCGCGTCTGTCGAAAGAACTCTCTAATGTTCGCGACGACCATGCCTCTCTCAACGACATGTTCATTGCTACCAAGGAGTCACTTACTGAGGTGTCTAGAAATCATATGAAGGAGCTGGAAGAAGCCGCTAGAGGGCGCGCAGAAGAAGCCACCAAGCTTCGTGCCGCGCATGAGGAGGAAATGACAGCGTTGAAGACAGAAAAGTCCGAGCTGCAGACCAAGTTGTCAGACCTTCAAGGTGAACTTGCGACGCTTAAAGCGAACATGGCAGCAGAACCAGTAACGTCCCCGCGGGCTAATGGCGCTGCGCATGCACGATCGTCGAGTGTCACGCGGGAAGAGCTGCAGCGTCTTCACGAGGCCCATAATCTTAAGGTCCATGATTTGCAGGCTGAGCACGAACGATCCACGCGGCTGATCAGGGAAGAACTTGACATTGCCTTAACAAAGGCCGACGAGCTGCAGCAAGAGGTCGCCAGGAAAGCCATGGAAATTCAATATCTTGAACAGGACCAGGAGGAGGGCCAGGATCAGATAACACGGTATGTCAAAGTCTTCGGATTGAAGAGCTTTCTCGGAGCGATGTGCACGCTGGCCGTGATCTACGGACTATTCTAACTTATCTTGCATCTATATTCCTTTCACGCTCTTTGTCCCCCGCACATTCCTTGATCCCCGTCATTCATTTGATACCGGACATTAATTTACAATACACGTGTTGGACTTCATTTTTTAACATTCAATTATCTTGCAGATTAAAGGAGGACATCGAGCACCTCACAGAACAACTGAAGAACAAAGAATAGACGGTTTTGGCAAGCCAGCATGCTTGTTTGTGGTCGCTGGATTCAGTGCCAACGAAAAGCGAACACGTTCAAACATCGCTACCTTGCCCTTGGATCATGTTTGGCACCCTCGTTGTTCACATGCGGATCCATTTTTGCCAATATGGACAACCAGCTTAATGATGGGTAAAATAATATTTACGCTCTCTGCTTTCTGATCTCCGTTTTGCGTCGCTAGTATGTTACCCTATTAGCCATACCCATTGTAGTGCATTCAGATCAAGTTGCGTCCGTCCCCCTTTTTTACTCTACAGTCTCTGCTGCCACGGTGTAATACGTCAAAATGTGAATGCATATTCATCGACCAACTAAGTCACTCAACCTATGGAGGTATCATAAATCATTAACGCACTGGCTACAAATAAATAATAAATCGACGACAGAATAGTCCTAGAGTAATTATGAAGCAAACTGTAGGATGCGCCTCGAGCCTAGGAGTCTAAAACGCTCGCAAACAATCCCTCGGGCTTCCTCCTGACTTAGTGCGAGGGCGGACCATAACCTCAACTTCACTACGAGAGCCTCAATATGCGCGAACCTTGGCTCAGACAAGACTGCATCCAACCACTTCCAGTCCAAGGCATCGAGATCTCCAAGCACCCTTATCTCGAAAACAATCTTTTGAATGAAAGTCGAGTGAAGAGTCGAAAGAAGGGCAGGAACCCAGGGAATGGAAAAGCCCTTCAAAATGACGCACCGCAGTACCAGCGTCTCGAGGTGTTCGCAGTTCTCAATCGAGAGGTCGCGAGGCAAGATAACGGCTACGTACCACGTTCTTGATCAGCATGGGAAACAACAACGAATCTTATGCTTACCGTTTACTCCCAAATGACACGGATTCCACTCTACCTCCAGATGATTCAGAGACGGACCCACAACATCCAGGTATGATCGTACGGCATCGGCATCTTCTTCGAATGTGCAACAGACGGAGAGGCTGACGATGTTGGAACAATAGCGACCGGAGCATAAAAAACCGAGAAAGGTGGAAACATCAACGTCTCTACCGATCGTCAGACTGCGCAACTTCATCGCCCACGCTGGCCGGTGTTCTGCACGCGCAATGGGCCATGCCGACGAGTGCTCCGGAACGAAAGCTGTGCTGGACCAGGAGACCCCGCGAACCGTGAGATGTTCGAGATGATGGAATGCATCTAAGAGCTGCGCGAAGTCTTGGAAGGAGGGAAAATGACAATATTGTACTTCGAGCTCAGTCGTCGACGAACGAGGGAGAAGCTGAAGACCGCGCTTTATAGCCGGATTCAGATCCAGCGTAGTCAAGGTGAGCATTTTAGCGCGATGCAACAGGGCGAGAATAGGAGGTAAGGCGTCCTCGATTATCAGTAATTCTGAGTCGGTCGCGCTGAGCTTTGAGATGATCAGCTCTCGAACATATGATGCAATACCGCCGCCAGAGGTCTTCAAAAGGCGGCAGAAGGCGCCGCACAGTCGCGCATTGTCGATTGTTACGCGCCCAAAAAGGTGGAAACGGGATGTTGCGACCCAGTCGCGACAGACCAAGGAACAAGCGATCAATGCGCGAGAATCATTGTAGAGATAGTCGACGATGTAATCGCTGAGCTCGGGTGGGACGGATGGCATAGTGAGAGTGTTACTGAGAGGTCGGTTTTTATCATCGTAATTCCTTGCGGTGACTATGAAATGTACTCACAATAAAAGCACTATTTAGAGATGGGGCTGACTCTGAGCGGATAAGGAGCGCGGTCGGGCAAAATAGAGACTGCAGAGTCTACAATTTATATGCAGCGCTGATCGAACGTGCTGTCGACCGATGATCGGGAACCGCCTCGAAAAATATCCTGGACCACCCTTATAGGTGAGAGCCCTAGCTTGGCTGTGGTCCTATTGCAGGGGCGCATCAAGGCATGTCCGTGGCATTCGGTTGAAAGCTGAGCGGCTCGCCCGTTAATATGCCCGTCGCGGCGGCCCCTGTACGGCTATGTGCCCGCCTTCACTGAACGAGGAAACGTGTCATCAGCGCCATCGGTTCAGTTACGTACAATAGAGAGCGGATGTGGGGCAGATTGGTCCTACTTCAACGTGCCATACTGTCATCTTATACCGCACAGAGGAAGCGTACCGTGGCCGACTCGGCCAAGCTGAGTTTGTACAACCTGCGCGACAACTGATTATGAAAAGAGTCATAAGTTGCTGATAGCACCAATCTCCAAGCGTAGTCGTGGATCATCGAGCGCTGTCAATGCAGTGCCTCGTTATGATGAGGAATGAAGAATGGGCGTTTCGTCGTTAGTCGCCGTGACAATCGGTGCTGTGGAATGAGTCGCAGGCGCTGCCGTACGTCGGGCAAAGATTTGGTGAACGCCGAGTGGATGCCTCCTGGTCGGGTGGGTTTAGATTGTTCATACATAAAACGCTTATGCCCGTAGTTCAAGGACTCTGTGGTCTGATGAATACGTACCTAAAGAGCTTAAAAACATGCCTCTCACTGTTTACATATTGCTAAGAGTAATACTGGCCAACACGAGGTGTCGCCGCGCCTGCACTGGTCGTATGCTCCACCGTCGCGTTGGACTGAGTCCCGTTAAAAGCAGACTTAGAGCAGCAGGACGACAAGAGGTGCGGTGTCTCGGTGGATGGTGGCAACTCGTACCATAGCCGGTCGGACGACATCCCAAAGCGGATGAGGTGTTTGCATTGGCCAAATAGCGGGCAGTCACTCGCTCTCGCCAACCGTTTGTCGCCAGCTCAGCTCCCTTCCTCCCCTCTACCTCCACCTTCGTTCTTTACCGTCTGCTCATCGCCATGGCCATTGACAAAGCTGAGCCCGGCCAAAAAGGCATCAACTGGTCGAACATCGCCGTTGGTCAGTCCTTCCCGCGCGTTCGTCTCGGTTCCGCACGTGAATGCTGATCTACTTTACTTAGGTGGTATTATGAATATGGTATTGTTGCTCTTCATCGACGCCGTTCGCATTCATGGCTGATCTGCACGCAACCCTTGCTGCGGGATCATGTAGTTCGTAAGTGCTCAACGCTCTCTTTGTGGAAAAGTGACTGAACACCGTGTCTGCAGGAGGCAAGTTTGGGTGCATGACGCATATGCTAGATACTCATGTTTGGTCTATTCAGGTTTCAACTCTCGGCCAGCCATTAGAGGTCATGAAAACTCAAATGGCCGCGGTGCGGTCACAGACAATGCTTCAAGCCGTGCAGACTATCTGGAGTCGTGGTGGCGTTCTGGGCTTCTACCAGGGCTTAATTCCTTGGGTTTGTTTGCCTTTTACACAATCCGGTGGCCGTCTTCTTACGATTCATGCAGGCTTGGATAGAGGCATCAACCAAGGGTGCTGTTCTCCTTTTCACCGCGTCTGAGGTTGAGACAGCGACCATGTCAATGGGAGTCAGCCCTGCTGTTGCTGGTCTTCTCGGTGGAATGACTGGTGGTGTTGCTCAGGCATATGCCACTATGGGTGAGTTAGGCAGCGATGATCCGCTCCCTCCACGCTTGTGGCTGTTTCGTTAACGGGTTATGGAACGGGTAGGTGTTTGCACTTGCATGAAGACTGCGGAGATTACACGGCACAAACAGGCGGCGTCTGGAATAAAGCCTCCGTCTACTTGGGCCGTCTTCATGGACATGTATCGCCGAGAGGGAGTTAAGGGCATCAATAAAGGCGTTAATGCTGTGGCCGTCCGCCAGATGACAAATTGGGGTTCTCGGTAAGGTTTAAAATCATTCGGAGGAGACGCGCATCGATCCCGATCATGTTCAAGGATGGGATTTGCTCGGTTAGCTGAGAGCACTATCCGGAAAGTGAAGGGAAAAAGTGAAAGCGACAAGCTTTCTCCGCTCGAGAAGATTCTTTCTTCTACCGTAGGTGGTGCACTCGCTACATGGAATCAGCCGATCGAGGTTGTGAGAGTGGAGGTCAGTGAATATCTTGAAGACGTTATTAGGAGATTTACTACACTATATATTCAGATGCAATCAATGGCTAAGTCGACCAACCCCAATCGACCTCAAAAGGTAACCATTATGAACACCCTGCAGTACGTTTACAAGGAAAATGGGATTAAAGGCCTTTACCGCGGTGTTACACCACGTATTGGTCTTGGTATTTGGCAGACCGTGTGCATGGTGTCGTTCGCGGATTATGTGAAGGTTTGGTATGTTTATTCATCGCTACTTTATTCCATTCCATTTACTAAAACCTTACTCTCAGGGTCAAAGGCCAATAGATGTAAGTCTTTGTTATGATTTCTGCGCCGTTAAGGTTTGGCCCTGGGACCTCGGATTTGAAGGTTGCTTTCGTGAGCTTAGACAGATCTTGCGAGTAATCTATCGCTATCGTATATGCTTTACTAGTCTACAAATGACGTTTATGCTCTGGAGAGTTGCAACGTTTCAGCCTTGGCAGTGAGCATCTAACGCGTAGTTTCGTATGTGTTTCAACGTGTCCAAGATTGATGCAGTTTGTGTGTCGACAATCTTGAGCGAGACGACCCGGAGTGGACTGGGCGGTTCGGGGGAGGGTCGGTGTTTCCTAGGAAGGCATGAGGAGAGCGCGGCCCGAGGGAGGCCAGACACTAAACCCACCCTGGCCCATCGCCATGGGAGTTGCACTAGCTCGTCCTTCTCTGCTCCGGCTTAAGCCTTTGTGAAGCATCCAGCTTTTGCGATGAGTACTGCTACCACCCCCAGGAAGGTCAACCCTCTGCTTGCAGCATATCTTGCGTCGCTCGCGGCTCATCCTTTGAAAACAAAGGCTGTGACCACGGGTAGGTAGCTTCCTGTCCACCTACTGTGTGCTGGCGTCGTTGATCATGGTTGTTAGGTGTCCTACAATTCTTTCAGGAGGTCTTAGCTACCCATCTTGCAGGAGTGCCTGCTCAACGTGTATCGAAGGATGGACCTCTATATGCTCGCGTGCTTGCTCAGGCGAAGGTCAATCCCAAGGCACCTAAGATGGCCCTTTATGGAATTCTGGTGTCCGCACCCTTGAGTCACAACTTAGTTGGCTATGTGCAGAAGCTGTTTGCAGGGAAGACTAGCCTGTCGGCGAAGATCGGCCAGCTCCTTGTGAGCAACTTCATTGTCGCGCCTCTACAGGTCGTAGGTCAGTACCTGGTACACCTCTGGCTGTGTATTTACTTCTCATGTTGGATATCCTTGGTCTTTCCAGTCTATCTCACTTGTACCTCCGTCATAAATGGTGCCAGAAATGTTGATGACGTAGTTAAAACATTGAAAGCCGGGTTCATGAGCGCTATGAGGGTAAGTGTCTATGTCTGACTTGCTGTGTCACGAATTGAGACATAATATACAGGTCACTTGGATGACACTACCTTTAACAATTGTGATCGCGCAACGATATCTTGCACCTGAGCTCTGGGTTCCGTTTATGAATTTGGTTCAATTCATTACCGGAGTAAGGACTTACCACATGGTCAAGATATTCTGAACTGATGTCCTTCCAGACCTACTTCAACACCAGGCTGAAGAAAATCCGCATGATGATGGATGCGAAAGCCAAAAAGGAAGGGGAAGAAAAGCGAGAGTAGCTCGCATGAAAGATCTTGGCTCCGACCCATCCCGCGATGACTAGACATTCTCCCGATAAGTTCGTACTTTTTGTGATACCGGCCTTGCGCGTCGTGGCGTTAGGAGTAATGCAATCCCCATAGTCGCTGGCTGTCCCCGCTCTTTCTCCGCATCTTTTCCGAGTGCTTCTAGCAATTTTCCAAGCTCGTGCGGTTGCTACGATAGACAAAGCGAAGCAATCGGCAGATAATAAGCATTCTAAGGTTTACATCAAACGAAATAAATTACCGTCCCATGTACAAGTAGCCCTTACAATCTTTTAGAGTGAGTGTCCCATGCCAACTACAGTAACACAAGGCAAGCTTCCCGGATAAGGCCCTTGTAAGTAATGTAAGTGTCGAGAACGCCAGACGTTTGCCGATGCTAGAGACCTGCTGTCTACCTGTTCTCCCACTTCTGTCTCTACTGTCCAACCGTCCAGTACGAAATTCCCAGGGCGGTCTACCCAGACTTTCACTTTGAATATGACAGACTCCAATGCCTCTAATGTCGCGCGATGAGTTAATCGGCCGGCGAAGCGAGGTCGTAACGGACTATGAGATTGAGTAGTGAGACGGATCATTACTAAGTTGCCGAACACGACTTACTGTCCATTATGCTGTTCTACTTTCGAATCGAACTTCATGACGACCCTACACGGATTGGTGGGCGAGTAATTTCGCAGGGTGAATGCAACGGGGACGCTGCATGGCCTATGGACCATCACGGTCAATGAGGTCACCAATCTGAGGAGGGACACCGATTCTACTCACCCGATGGAAAAGTCGTGGTTTACTATGTCATTGCTTTCCGTTGTCACCACCACTGGATCCAGTTCCAAATTCCACTCGGAGCCCCTAATCGCTTTCAAAATCTCTACTCGCTCTCGCTGGGTTTCAGCGTACATGGACCGCTTAACCTTTGCACTCTCCGCATCCTCTAAGATCTCCTTCAGCGGTGCATGGCTGGCTCCTAATATAAGTCCAGGAACCAAGATGTGGCCGTGGCGATTCTCCGACGGGATCTCCCAGAATAGCATGATATCAATAGTGTATGGATTATATAAGGGGAATATTGATTTGAGACTGTTGGCTGGTATGTGCGGATGTGAGGATGTAGTCGCGCGGAAAGCAAATGCTCGTTTCCCGGAGTGCATGAAATGGCACGTAGGAGGCGCAGAAACCGAAGTGATTGCGTTGGTCTGCAAATAGTTTAGCTTTTCAGACATGAATGTTGAAACGAGACAACCAACTGCTGTGATATGCGAACATAATAGGTCAACCGAAGGCGGATTTGTGGAATCCGGCTGGTTTCCCTGCACTACAGCCTGGAGCTTTTGGGCCACAAATTGCGAGATTGGCTTAATGGATTCAACTTCTTTCTGCCAAGGTCTGATACCCAGCGTTAGCCTGGTAATTTGGTGCGGTAACACTTTTCCGCTATGAAAGATCAGGGGTCCGATGTATCCATGACTAATGGAAGAGCTTACAGATGCAGCTGTGCTGGAAAATTACATAACCACATAGGACTCACTGTAGTGAGCTGCGAGAGTTGTATGCCCGTGAATCCTGTCACGTTTTCCACTTCCATGCTGAGCGCGAAAAGCTGGTCTAGCGCTTCACTTGGACGCCCATGTGCCACTACTTTCAGGATCGGCCTAACCTCATAATGACGTACCGCCCGAGCGTATCGGAAGGACATACTCTCAGACTGTGCCGAATGAGACATACGATGAAATAACATTGTTCATCAAACATACCTCCCGGAAAATAAATAGGAAACAAAGATCCTGTTCAGCCATTTGCGAAGCATGAAATGTAACAGAGAATTGCAGGTTCTCGCCAGGTGCGAGTTCAGATGATCCGTGGAGATCCGTCAGTGGCAGGCGTATCGGTTCTCCGGGAGCAAGAGAATTGTGTGAATGCAGGACCTCGCTTTGTGGCAATTGGAATAGCGAGTCTGCACACCGTTCGTCAATATTCACAGAGTCACTAGAGTACCACGAACCTTGTTTAGACGAGTCATCATTAACCCAAATCCCATCTTCCGTTCCTGTCACAAGCCATAGTTCACTGATCTTCTTCGACCCAGAGTTCGATAACCACAGCTTGAGACGTTTGTGCTCGCCATGAGCTAGGACCAGATGCCTATCGTCGACAAAGTTCGCAAACAATCTCTGACCAGCTTCTTCCACGTTCACCTTAATGACCACATCGGGTGCATAGGCCTTATTCTGCCTTTGTTGTGGTGTGTCGTGCAAGCGCCGTCCACGTACTGCCAGAGACTCTTTAGCTGGAAGTAGAGACAGAAAACTATATGTGACATGGGTAATCAGTAACGAAGCGGGTCTTCTGCACTTGATAGCGATCGGGATCTGCGATCGGGTATGAGAACGAGTAAATAGCCAGTATTATGGACACGAACAGTACGCATTTCCCGAGCTCCTAGTAAAATTTCGTCCACAATCTCCACGTCAACAATGTCCTTGACGTCCTTCGTTTCATCTGCGACAGCTTCTTTGACTATCACCGACAGCTCTGATAGCGACACTTCGACATCTAACGGATTCTGCATGGCAATGTCAACCCAGAAGTGCTCTGTAGTAGATAAATCAGTACAATCGGCACGGTACTCAGTCCGCACTGACCGTCTACAGCAGCCCTACAATTTCGTTCGAGTTTCTCCTTTCCGCGGGAGGCCCAGAAGTTCGACCAGTCATCTTCCAGTTTCGCCCATCTTGATGGATCTCCGTCGGTAATATCGTTGGGCAGTCGCACTCGAGTCTGCCTGGCTTGACAGAACATCACAGGTAACTGCAAGGAAGATGCCTCCCATTTATGTTGTTCGGTGGTCCTGAAATGCTACAAACAACGAAAGTAGTTAAAAGTGACCGATCATCACTGATAATGAGATCATCTCACCTTCAAGGCTACCCTAAAATCTTCCAGGTAAACTTTGTCTGCAGATATCTGGCCCTCCGTCGATCCACTTCCATTCATGAGATCTAAGGAAGTTATGCTACCAGCAAGTGGGGCTTTCCGCAGAAGACCAGTGAAATATCGAACAGCCCCCTCAGTGTCACCTGTCGTGTATAAGAGTCTTCCTGGAGAACAAAACAAATACGTCAATTCTAGTATTGCAGACAAAGAAAATACAATGGCACCAAGTTCATGCTCAATTCCAGGCAGCACAGATTCAAAACCTTTCCAACGGCGATGGTCTACGCCCTCGCTTTCCCAGAAAGAGGGAGAGATTTGTTTCGTATGGGGGGTTTTGTACAGTTCGTGTGCCTTCCGGAAGAAGTACATTGCAAGCGGTTTCTACACGAGAGTAATTTGGTCAGCTAAGTGTGGAGTATAGTGAAGGAATATGCATACGTGGCCGGATTTCTCAAACTTGTCCCCTGCAGACAAGTACCATAGAGCAGATCTTCTCCGTACACCCTTCTTCTCGCTGAGGAATGCCGCATGGGCAAGCAAAGCCGTAGCTGGAGGCTCTTCTGCCTTAATAGATCCTTAGTATATTTGACAAATGGTATATAGTGGAGAGATCTCTCCACTCAGCTGACTTATAAGTTTCGAGCCGAAATCGAGACGCATAGGCCAACAGAGTAGAGATATTTCAGACAGGAAAGGGCGACGTACACCTGCAGCAGCCTGCACCAACCATCGCTCCCCCTCCAGTACTGCACTCAGAAAATCCCGCTTGTCAATACCAATTGCCCATCGGACTGCAAATGACAATGCGCGTAACTGTGCGTGGGCTGGAGAACCATAAGCATGTGGACTAAGAGAATGTAAAAGAGTGATAGCATGCGCTACGTGTAACGCCAACGCGGGGGATGGGGACAACAATAAGGGAAGAATGTCCTATAAACCTCGTTCAGTCGGTGCATCCCCAACGATACAACATAACGCTTACAGAACCCCCTCGTCCTTCTTTCCTTAAATTCTCCCATACTGTAGTTGCCAGTTTGTAATCTCCCAGTACAGTAGCAAATTCAGCGAGTCGACGTTGCTGCGTCACAATACCACCACCTATGGTACCAATAGATGATACAGATGCCACAGAGCTTACAGAGTTGCTTGGTGCGTGAGACGAAACTTTGGACGAAATGGATGAAATGGAAGGGTTTGACCCATGTACAGGAGTAGCTGGGATCGATGAAGACGAAGCCACATTAGACGACCCAAACAACCTGCGGGTGGAAGAAAAGAGACGTGAAGGTAGCCGTCGCGATGATGAGAACTGCTTCATGTTAAGACCAAGCTTCTTACTGAATCCGAGATGACGTACATTCTCGTTCCAATCTATCACGCACTTTTCCATCCATGGTACAAGACTCATCACAACAAACTCGCGCACAAACTTGCCTGTTTGTTGGATATCACCTTCCGAGAGCCGCAATGTATGTCCACCAGTGGGGGCAGGCGAAGAAGCAGAAGGCTGTCTTCCCATGAGCATCGAAGGACCTGGAGAACGAGGGGCTGGAGACATAAGAAGTCTAGGAGTACTGGGTACGCTGAGCGCAGCCGGTGTTGGAGCCGGTGCAAGTGGTGGTGTTTCATAGGTCACACTTGGTGGTGGTGGCAGGCGAGGGGGGAGGGAGGGTACGGGCACCGGTGTAGGAAACGGGTCCGTAGGAAGTGCAAGGGGAAGTAGATAACTATGCAAACCGTACTGTTTTTTCACGGCGTTAAATAGGGCTTCTGCTCTAATTTAATGAGTATCAGCAGGGGTCTACTTTAGCCGCAAAAAGGAGAGATAAGATTGGACGTACATTGGGTCGGCTAGCGGCGATTTCGCGGGATGGATAATCAAGTAGTAACGTAAATATGTACGATCCACCCATGGGGGAAAGTCAACAGGTAGCGAATTAAGATCCTGCAAGGCTTGTAATGGGTTCGCCGCTCTTGTGGTCACAGCCATTATCACTGTGAATCATTGAATACACGCATCAGGTCAGCTTCTGTACGTACAATCCAGTGCACCCATGAGACGCACCTGCAACTGGATGGTTCCAGCCCTCGTCGGTGCTTGGAACATGATCACCCTCCACACACCTTTTCACTTCTTCCCACCATGGTGTCTTGTCATTCCATATGCTCTCTTTGACGTTAGCTTCCTGATTCGCCGCAGCTTGGGCATCTAGCATTTGGACCCAAGCTGGCGCGCGCATGCTCAAGCGCGAGCCAATCCAATCCATCATTCTTCCAGCACGCTGCTCTTCATCTTCATGAGTTGCAGACTCAATCTCATGTAGATCGGAGAAGCGAAGCGCAAATGAACTATGCGGGATTGATGCGAGAGAGGTTGTCCGAGTAGTCACTAAATAAGTCGCAGACACCGTCAGTTTCAAATTGCAAGATTTTTCATCTGTTTGCACACCTTGCGGGAGCGGTACAAAAGACTGCAGTGTTTGCGAAAGAGCAGGAAGAGAAGAAGCCTCGAACAGCTCCTCGACATCCGGAGAGGAGAGGATGCAAATGTGCGGACTAAGAGAAGTAGGCAATGTAGGTGCCATGTCCTAACACAGCGGCAGCGACAAGATGATACTTCAATTCTTGAAGCTTGATGCCTAATCACCCAGAGTTCGTCGCGTACTGGAGATCAAATATTAAAGAGACGAAACGTTGGTTGTGGGATAACGCAGGCGAACGGACGCCGCGCGCGACAAAGGTGAGCGCGACGCGCTCACGGCCGTCACGCATTTGCACTTTGTTCCAAGAAGAGTATCAAAGTCATGCACCATTCTGATTATTTTTTACTTCAACTGATAGCACATGATCAACACTAGAGGCCCAAGGGAGAAAAAAAAGTAAGTTTAGCATTCGCTATCGGGTACAGGTCAAATTTGATACAGTCGACAAATCTGCGTACTTATTACCGTGTATATGGATACAACATTTGTCTGTCTTTCATTCAAGCCACTTAGAAGAAACCGCCTCCAAACCCACCATCAAAACCTCCTCCGCCGAAGAGCCCACCTCCACCAAATCCTGGGTCAATGAAGTCATCCAGCACTTCGCCTAACAAAAGCCCTCCGGCCATGCCACCAAGGAGAGGCAAGCCCATGCCTCCCATTCCCTGATTTCTACTACCATAGCCACTGCCTAATCCACCTATCCCAGAACGATATGCGTACGGGTCACCCAGTGGCGGACCATACATCGATTGTCCAGCAAATCTGGGGTTACCATACGAATGAGAGGCATGCCACGAGCGATCATTGCGTGCCTGAGTCTCATATTGCTGTTGGCGTCGCGCTCTCATCTCCTGTCGCATCTATAGTCCATGGTCAGTAACTCAGAGCCCGTTATGACCAAGTCAATACTCACAGCTTCCTCTCGTCTTCTCGTGGCCTCTCTTTCTTCTCTCGTGCCCAACGTCTTGTCCTTCAGTTTGTTCAAAAACCCTCGATGCCTGTGTTCAACAGCAGGCGTGCCAGGTTGGGATGCCGCGTTCCGATCGACGACGTTTGGGACACCAAGAGTGGCACCTGAGCTGCTCGAACCCGAATACGAATGCCGTCTGGGTGAATATGGTGGAGGCTGGTCGTTAAGTTCACCTGCAACAAGCCTCTTCCTGATGTCTGGGTGTTCTCGCAAAAATACTTCGTCCTCAAAAGGGTGTACCCAGATGGAGCGTGGTGGTTGTGCTCTCGTGTCGACCTATTCAATGAATAGGTGAGTACTTTATAGGGAGTCAGACCAGGTCAGAACATACCCAGAACGGATGCTGTGTTCGTTGGTCGAATTCCTGACTCCACCCGTCCGGCAGAGCTGCTGAATCGTAATTCATGATATAACTGAGTAAGTGGTTTGTCGTCGGTGAAGGAACCTTCAGACTCAGGCCACTGCGATATTTGTATTGGCCCATAGGCGCCGCTGATGTCACTGCCACATGTGGCTTAGCTGCTGTGCAATTGAGTTTAAACTACGGGGCTACTTGGGGCTACTTAATCCGGGACGCTGACTCGGTGAAGCTGTGCGTATGTGTCTGCTATTATGCCCCAGCAATATGAAAGCTATCTCAGTCACAGTGTAACGCGGCTAGTGGCCAGGCACGATTGGAAGAAACCAGAAATTCACGTCGATTTCAAAATGTACCTGATGTAATGATAGTAATAGGATAACATGGCATAGTAGATTCCAGGATATTTGTGGGTGAACGTGTTCCGCTGACATGTCATCATTGGGCTCGTAACTGGTCGTTATCATTGTATATGATTATCACGGCTCTCCCGGAGTGGCCTAGTATGAATGACCTTGCAGAAAACGGATGAGTTGCCGTATTTCTCGCACCTTGCGGTCAGTAGGTAGCTAGAGTCCTAGTTCAGTTGTCTACCACTGCCGATAAGCAGTGCGACGGCTCACATCATAGAACTTGTGCATGTGGCGAGTGCGCTCTACACTCGCAGCTTCTTTCTTCGCCACCGTCTCGACGAACGTCCAGCGATCACGGTCAAGGATCTGATCTTTGGTACGGCTGTCTCGAGCTTTGGCTGATTGCACATCCTGCCGAGGAAAATTCCCAGACTGGAGTGGTATGTCCGAGATACTTGGCAATGACACACCCCAGTCCCTCTCTCCCGGTCCCCACTCAGAGTAATTTTGCTGTCGCTGAGGTGTGACCAGGACCTGCCTCCCACCCTCGCCTGTTTGGACACCCCAGATATCGCCACCGCCCCACACCTCCTCACCTGTGTCTCTCCCCCATCCATCATTACCATCTTGACCACAATAACCATCTGTCCTGTTCCATTCGTCCTCCAACCGCTCCAGGAATTCTTCCATCCGCCCCGCTTCTTCACCCCGTTCTGCCGCTAGGACTCCATCTTGCCAGAACGGAATGAGATCTCTCAGACGGTCGACCCGGCCCTGCCTCTCCCACTTCTGCAAATCGTCGTATGGTGTTGACTCAGGATTCCATCCCGAAAGGTCAGCAGGTTGCCATTCAAGGCTCTCATGTCTCGCAACTTTGCGAGCATGAGCATGACTGCGCTCGTGAAGTAAAGCGTCAGAACCCGACATGTGGTAGAATTTCCCATGAGCTGGAGTGCATAAGTTGCAATACCAGCCCTGATGCCCGCTCGCACGGCTAAAATCTATGTATGATAACATGACCAGGCGGAACAATAAATCCCAGAGTGGCAAACTCACGATGCCACTTCTGAAAACAGGGTGGGCGAGAAAGGGAAGACGAAGCTTGAGATGACGGACAGTTATAAGACATGGCGAAAGAAAAACTGGCCGGCGATATGAAGGAGGGGGAAGAGGACCGCGAAGTGATTGGAGGCGACGATCGTCTCAAGGAACTTGGAGTAATGGTATTAGTATTAGTCCGTCGGCGTAAGTCTTACATACTCGGGTTCACGTGTCCCATGGCTCGACTCCTCCTACTTTGTACATAGGTCATGTACTGGCCCAGTCTGCGAAGAGATGTCCCGAGTTCCAAGGCACACTCGGACAGATTAGGTATCGGCGAGTTTAAATAACTCACGGTTCGATCGGATATATAAGGCAGTGAGTGGGAAAAGGGCAGACAAGTCCACATATAGCATCGTAGTAAGTACAACAGACGCAAGTAGTGATAATTCGTCCGATCGACTACAGTTATGGTAAAGCGTCGAGTGCAACTTGTGCATGTAGTATTTGAACCTCTTGTCGAATAATTGTACACGGAGACGTGTCCAGCGTAAATATGGATAAAATATGGAATAAATCCGCTTTCATGTAGAGGTACCTGGAAGTGGATCAATCCATGTGCCATTCGGCCAGAGAGCAGCAGGCATAGTGTAATCCCCCGTTGTGCTACCGTCAGCACTAGTGTACTATAATCAAGCTTTATGAGAACGAGCCGCGTTTCAAACATCTATGGGGCTTACCGCGAGACGGAAGAAATGTGGTATTCCCGACTCCAGTGACGCAAATGAATAGTTAAGAGCAGTCCCAACGTACCGCTCAACATCATCGACGATGAGTGAGAACCCACCCCAGCCTTCGCTTGCATCAGGCAGCGCATTCCAGATGATTGTCTGATTACTGAATGGTATGACCGAATTCCACGTTGAAGAATTTGTAACGAACGATGGCATGGCTGATCCGGACGAACCATCTCCCTGAAGCTAAAGATGATGGATCAGAGATTTCGGCACCTTCGTCGACTCGAAATATGACTTACATCGGCTGCAGTCTGCAATATCGACGCAAAACCCCATGCGGCTACACCATTCAGGAACATCCCCAACAAAAATCCCTGGTAGATTGCTGACAGACGAGTGGGGAAGCCCGTACCAGGTACGAGGACCATTGCAAGTATATAGTGGTGCAGCCTGAACTCAAGCTCAGGCAGCAATGCTAGTACAAGAGCCACGAGTCCGCCGAAAATATACCACGAGGCGTAGTAGGGTAACCATCCTGTCTTACGGATTACCCGTATTTGATTGAGAACAATCGCAAGTAGGATAACCAATATAATGATCAACGCTGTAATGGCTCCTGGCTGCGTGCTCAAGTCTGCCGCAGTAAGTTTTTCGATAGGGATCTTGTCCATGGTAAGATTCGTCAGAACACCCGTCCAAAACGTGGGAAGATACCAAACGGAGGCTTCTATAGGTGCATTCCTGAACGCTGGTAGGGTGAATCTAAATGCAAGTCTCCAGAACGCGTATGTGACGAACAGCGCAGGGAGAAAGGCCGCAAACGCTTCGTCGAGCGGTGGAGGCGTCCCCATTGGCTCAGAGAATAAAGCAACATGCCAAAAACCAATGCAGACCAGACTCCAGAAGGTCACAATTGGCTGCGGACGCAGGAGGAGGAAGATGAGCGCTGTTATAATGACATTCCAGGCAAGCGCAGGTGTACGGAGATCGGCGCAGGAGTGTAGCGGCGTGGTAGGCAGAAAGCGGAACGATAAAGGAAATACAGTCGGAAATCCGATGGAAGTCAGCCCATTCGCAGTAAATGGGAGATAGTCTGTGTAATTCCCGACAAGAGCAAGCGATGCACAACCGCCCTTCGAATTCGAGATGAGCCCTCTGACGTAGTGTGTGAATATGTCAACCATCAAATAGCTGACATTTCCGATAAGAACTTACGCTTGTATTGCAGCGGCACATATAAAAGTGTCTCCTCGATATGTCGTGTTTGCATCTCCCCCTCCAACAATCAAGGGAGCCCAATCCACTTGGACGTCGCCAACTGTGCGCGGATTCTGCAACACCACTGAACTACATTGAGCAGGACATCTGAAATCAAATGACGAATTGTCGAATGGCATGCAGTTTTCTCCATTGAGCCCACAACCATTGTTGGCGGCCCAATAAGTTGCTGTACAGCCGATGAACGATTCCGCTGGTGTCAAAAAAGATTGGGCGCGGGAAAAGAATGCAAAACCAATGATATATCCGATAGCCAAAACGACAAATAACCAAGGATTGGTGAACGAACGTGTAGCATGAACGAGTACGGGTTCCAGAGCGAGGCTGTGTGTGTATCGCCCAGTGTTCAGACTCAATGTCAGAAAAGGAGTTGGTTCTGTAGGCGGGAAACTGTTAGGAGCCACAAAACACAAAGGCGTATCAAGCTCACCTGGCAGGTCCACTTTCGGACGAGGCCCTCTCAGGTACAATATTAAACGAGTCAGCCGAGGATACTTCAGCGCCAGCACCCCACTGAACCTTCGATACCACGGATCAGGTATAGTAGCCGATGTCGAAGTGTACGCTTCGAATTCGAAAGCCTTCCCAGGAGATACTGATCTCGGAGAGGCCTTAGCAGACTCGCAGTCGACGTCAACATGAGTCGCGCGGGACGATTCCGTTACTGAACTGGAGTCCATCTGGAATCATAAAACGCAGTAGAAGGCGTCGCGACGATGGGTCAGCAACATAGGGGGGAGAGGAGAAGTTGTCAAATATGGCGCAGCGATGGCATGTCGGTGAGCGGCGCGCGGGCTCAGCTCACACGCGTGCCTATAGATACTCAGATTTGACCCCGCGAGTGAGCTGGGCGGCCGTGTATACCGTCAGGTCGATAAGTTGGTCGATGGCAAGAATAGCCCTTGGGAAATGATTCGTCCATGATAGGCTCGAGGAAGAGCCAGCACAAAGTTGTACCGTGACGCGTGGGCACTTCTGGTACTCTACCTAGTGGCAAAGTCCCTTGAACAACAGCTAGTCTCTTGTGAGCAGAGTAAGATACTTCCTTCAACCTTCGCTTTTGTAGGCTTCGTCGGGTACCCGTATCTGACACCGCCTGCTATCAATGTCGGGTGGTCGCTATCGATAGGCGTCTGCCGCTGCGGCAAGTCATGTCTACAACCAAATAAACCACAACCGCAGATATGAGGCGCGTCCATGAACGCGTTCAGTCCTCCTTGTCACACAGGACCTTTTGTTGAGGGAATAACCTTCTGCCTCTGTGCTCCTGGTGGTATAGTAATCTCTCCATTTCAGATGTGCTCGAGCGACGTTTTGAACGAATAAATCAAGAATCTAGCCATCATGCTAAATCACTGGTGTGAATAGCACGGATGGAGTCCAAATGTTATGGAGTGTACGAGAGCAGATGCACCGAAGAAGGACAGAGAGAAAACAAGACGAACGCCGCACCTTGAAGCTGAACGTCTGAAGTATGGGTATTCGAGACCATGAAGTTGACGGTATGCCACATCGACGCGACTAAATTTCATGCTCCGCCTCCTCACGCCCACTGTAATTCAGAGTTCCGCTTCAACGAGGGAGAAGCAGCACGAAATTGTACACGCGTGGGTATCGCCGGCACTCGAGCTAGTGGTAAGAGTCCAAGAACAGCCGCCAAAAAGCCGAAACGTGTGCAATATTCGCTCGATCGTGGCAGTTCGCATCTAACTGGCGGACACAGCCGACTGGAGCTCACTGCGCCGCATACATTGCTGTGCTTGAAGTGCGAACAAACCTTTCCGTACATCATAAATAGCCCCATCAGCGCAGGGTTGACTATCTTTTATCCTGCTCTTGTCTTTCTACCAAATTGTCCACCATGGCTGTACCATCCAACATGTCCGTCCTCAATCTTTCCGGAAAATATATACTTGTAAGAGTGCCTCAGACATCTGTTGATATGGCATTCACTGGCAATATAGAGCAAGTCGCTGAGCGACAATACAGATGAAATTCTGCGGCTGCAGGGCGTCGGCTGGATGACACGCAAGATTATTCAAGTCGGAACTTTGTATCTTACCGTCAAACACTATTCTGATGATTCCGGCATCGAACATATTGATATCCTCCAAACCCTCTCTGGACTGTCAAGCAGTGACGAAGATCGCATACTAGATGCGACACCCCGACCATACGAGGATGATGTATTCGGCAAAGTAATATCTGTTTCAAGGCGTGTCAAGGTGGCGGAGATCGACAATCAATGGCTATTATCGCGTTGGACGGAAGATACAGTGCAGGAAAGTTTAGTGTTGACACAGGCGGATAGTGATACACCCAATAGTGGGACGACGTGGACCGCCATACAGGTGAGCCGTCCATTTGTTGTACTACAAGTGAGTTAACTGTAACTTTTGCGTCTCACTCGAAGGCATGGGGATTCCAAGTAGTAAAAGACGAGAAAAGATATGCAAGAAACATCGACTTCACTGGACCTAAAGGAGAGAAGATACATGCGCGTCTTGTCTATGACTATCGTGAGTTACTATGAATGAACCCCTCGACGCGTTAATATTGGTATTGCAGAGGGGCCTGTATAATCCAGTTCGCATTGATACGTTGTAGAACGTGGGACACTTCAGGATGTAAATGTCTGTAAATAAGATATAGGTCGACTTCTTACCTATCAGTACCAACCGTAACTTGGCTAAGGGCGACCAAACTTTGGTGGAAAGACGGTAATGACTTTCCAAACCGCATCTTTGCCTCTTTCCCAAGCCTGTAGTCCTCTGCTTTCGTCGCCACCGAATTCAACCATCACCCCATCTCGAGACCACTCGCACCAGATTCCGATCGATCCAGATGACGGACCTGCACCTCCTCCCTTGCGTTCCGGCTCTCCCATGGATTCGACAAATGCCTTCCCAGTTGTCTCTCGATTAATTTCAATGAAACTGGGACGTGACTTGGTCTCCCCTTCCGTTTGACCAGGACACAGTGTCAAGACAAGGGGGGATATCGGATAGCTCGAAAAAACGGATTTGAGCCTGCTCCCGGATCCTGAAGTTGTTCCGGATTTGAGACCATTGTAAATGTCAATGCCATCCAGGATGAGATTGGCCGCGTTCAGATCTTCCACCTTCAGCTCCGTCTTCGGTTTATAGCCGTTGACGGGCTTGAAGAGTAAACTGAGACCAAGTGGATAATAGTTGAAGTAAACAGCATCTGGATACGATTTTACTTCAGGCGACGCCGATCGAAATTCTGAAAGTGCGTTCTCCAGTATCGTAATGTGCGCAGTAAGTTCGGAGGAAGAGGGGCTAAGACCGAGCAACTGCTTGATATCAGGCAAGGCGGTAGCCATTGCTTCAATGGCTTTAAGCGCCTGTATTCGGCCCTCGAGCATGTGTGAACACGTGACAATGACGCGCTTCCATCGTCGCGTTCGCCAGGCGCATATGTGCTCTTTCATGTTCGACCACGACGTCGATTATGGATCCTCCTATCAAGAAGAGGGCTCAGAATGCGGAAGAGAAGAAGTATTTGAAACAAAGAATAGCCAGTGATGCGGGATCCATCACTGACTATTTCTTTCCCCTCCGCTATCCCATCAAGCTGCTCGGAGACATAATGGCAGCCATTTTCCGCCTCGCCAGCCCCTACACGCCTAATCTTATCCCCCTTGCCGTATTTCTGCTGTCAATACCTATAATCATATTTCTCTCGTTCTCTGCTGGTTGGCTCGTGTGGAGGAGCGTTGCGATAGCTTGGGAAGTCGATCTTCCTTTGCAGTTTGGGTACGTCTGTAAGTGTGTACGGAGAGATAATCTAACATCTTCATGATCATGCATGACAGAGATGGGTTTTCTCCGTATGCGGAGGTCGCTTTGCCGAACATCATTACGAGACAACCCTATGACATATCTGTGCATCTGGTAGTTCCCGCTACGGAGCCAAATTTCAACCTTGGGAATTTTATGACAACCTTGACGCTAGCTACATCTTCCAATAGGACCTTAGCACACATTCGAAAGCCCGTGCGTATGCTCCTACTCCGTAAATCATTTTGCGTTCTCACTACACCGCATATAGTCTATCATTATGCCGCGGCCGTCTGTGCCTTGGTCCTTCTTGTCCAATTGGCCAGGCACTGTCGATCTCAACATACCCCTGCTATCATCGTTCGCCTTTGATGTCACTCGTGCTACTGCAAAAGTCGAATTCGGACGTAGAGACCATTGGAGGAGTTTAGGCAATGGTGAGGGTCGCGAACTAAGCGTCCTTTCTGCCATGCTGCGCGGTGTTGTGATTCACAAGGGAATACGGCGAGTATATTCGAGGACATATAAAAAACATTGCTGATTGCATTGATGATTCATTAGTGGGGTTGTTTCGCGTTTCCCATTACTCTCTTCACTGGCCGCCGCAGGAGCTTTCCTTTTTATCTCCTTCGTTATACTTGCCTCATGCCTCCTTCCTGCACTCGAACTCCGCTTTAACAGTGACCCCCATTTGCATGATTCTCCGCCGCGTATGCGTAGGCGGCCCCGTCGTCGTCCTAGTACAAGCACGTTAGAGACTGATGAAGTTCGTGCCCGAAAGGCAAGGGCTCACAAACGAAGTAGGAGTGCTAGTGCAGCCCAACAGCGCATGAATGTTGACGTGAGTGCCTCCTTTCGGTTTGACATGCATGTCCTAATGTCGGAGTACAATAGGATAAGCCGCCGCTGAATATTCAGCCGAAGTTGGAACCTGAGTATGACCTCGATCCGCTGGATCCGGAGTTCGATATATCTCTAGGTCTCTACACGGACTCACAAACTGATATAAAACTGGATGAACAGTTCGAGCTCGAGCGTAGTTCAGGAGAGGATTACGCATACCCTCTTCCACTTGCTGGGCCGTCGGATTCACACGAGTTTGAACCAGAGTTTCCGTTACGCCGCCGACGTTCGTTTCGGAGACGGTCTTTGACGAATCCCAGAGATGACTTTGATGCATGATTCCCACTGTTTTTTTTACACTTTATATGGTGTTTGTAGTATTAGTTACTCTTCCGTTAGCATTTATGCACGAACTTTGAATGTACTTAACAGAGCTGTCGTACTCTAATGAAAAGTACAATGATAATGTGCGTAAAATCTGCCTATGCATATCGAGATTCCAACCTTGCTCAAGCACGGGAGAGAAATCGAAATCAAAGGGCATATCACTCACACAGCATCCAACATGCGTCCGAGTCAAGCTTTTAATTCCATTTCTAGCTTCTCGCTCTGCGCACCTTCCCCTTTAGATGGCGGACTATCGCCTGTGAGCCCTTTCACTAGATCGTTGGCATCGTCACCCCCTAAACCAAGCTCCTCTACAAGAGCCAGGAGCTCATCCTCTGTTACGCTGACACCCTGAAGACGAGAGTCGCCTAATTCCTCTCCAGCATCAATATCTGTCTCGGACCTCTTTGCACCTGAAACTACCCTTCCCTTGCTCTTCAAAGGGCTGGCTGATGGAGATGAGGTGGCTTGGTGATGTGGATGCATTTGGGCAGGGGTGTAAGCTCCCGCCACGCCCACTGGCTTAGCGGGAAGAGCGGGTTGATCATCTTCGAAGGGCTTATAGTCTTCGTTTAGACGGAGAAATTGTTCCAGCTCGCCGAACTCGACGGCTTCTTCGCTAAGCCAGAGCATCAGTTGTGGGTGCAGAATAAAAAGGAACAAGACGCACAAATCTGAGAAAGCCTAACAGAGTGGTAAAGCAAACAGATGAAGAATTGTACTTTGCGCCAATGGAAATATGATCTCGTACCCCAGCAAACTCTCCACCGATGAGAATTCCAGGCAGCTGCTGTTTGTCTGTGTGCGTGTGGTTCAGATGGACTAGCGAGGCACAGGTAGCAAAGGGTAGACCGTACTAGCCTCGTGGAGCTTTTCTGCGCCATAACTTCTTCGCATCCTCATCGGATGCAAGATCATAAGAGATGAAGGAGACCTTCTTGACCTGCAGAACGCGGAGTATGTACTCTGCGAGAGAGCAAGTGAGTGTGGACTATCTGGGAGAGATCGTTCGCGGGAGACTAACCTTGTCTCTGGCGGACTGTGGGCGAAGATATGATAGTAGTGAGGAAGAGCTGGATGGGAGGTGGCGCCATGGTCGTTGATGCTCAAACTTGCAGTCACTGAGTCGGATGTGGGTAGTAGTACTAGAGGCGCTCAGAGGCGCGTCGGGCACGTGCCGCGTTCATTCGGCCCCATGACGCGCGCATCCCCGCGTTCCTCCCGGTTCGTGTATCCGAAGGCGAATCCTCCCAGCGGCACGTCTCGCTAATATAATACCTGCGCCAACAGCTTTGGGTGTTCACACTCTAACATTGAACGCCCCTCATAATGCTGTCGAAGAAACTTCCCCGTTCAGGTCGCCATCTTCTGCGACGATCATTCGCTACTGTCATTAAGCCCCCACTCAGTGCGCTGGGTGCCTCCGCTCGTGCCAAGGCAGAGCAACTGTCCGCAGACTGGAAAGGTACCAGTGCAACTGGAGAGAATACGAAAAATTTTCTAGGTGGAGAGTTCGTGGAAAGTAAAACGCAATCGTGGATCGACGTCGTTGACCCTGTACGCTTCTCCTGTGTTTAAGATCATTGGAACACATTGATCTTCTAGACGTACAGGCGACACAAACATTGCTCACACGCGTTCCGGAGACAACATCGTCCGAGTTCGAGCAGGCTGTAGCCGCAGCGTCAGAAGCGTACACGACATGGAGCCGTACTAGTGTACTTACTCGTCAGCGGTTTGCTTTGGAGTAAAACATATCTCTGACTCTCCTTACGAATCATGGCTCATGTATGTGTTTTAGGCTACAGCATCTCCTTCGCAATAACGCGGACGCGATTGCGAATAGTATTGTCCTTGAGCAGGGTAAAACTCTGACAGGTGCTTGACTACCTCAAATATCAGTTGTGCTGGAAGCTGAAGGAAGTCTATCAGATGCGCATGGTGATCTTCTGCGAGGTTTACAAGTTGCTGAAACGACATGCAACATTACAAGCGCACTTCTGGGTGACACCATCGAAGGTAATACATCCTGTATGCTGCCGCCCTGGACATGTCTCACATCGTACATTGCTAGTTAGCAAAGACATGGATACCTCTACACGACGGTTACCCCTAGGTGTTTGTGCAAGGTGATAGTACCAGCCTCGCGGCTTGTGTTGCTGCTGTACTGATCTCGTGTGCTCTCAGTATTGCACCTTTCAACTTCCCAGCGTGAGTACACTTCTTACATGACTGTATGGTCATTTTGTTTAATTGATGCTTTAGTATGATCCCTCTCTGGACCATCCCAATGGCGCTCACCACGGGCAACACGCTTATTGTCAAGCCCTCTGAGCGCGACCCCGGAGCAGCGATGATCATTGCCGAGCTTTGCCAACGCGCAGGATTGCCCGCGGGTGTGCTGAATGTTGTTCATGGAACGGTACCTACAGTGAATGCGATATGCGACCACCCATCTATCAAGGCAGTTAGCTTTGTAGGTGGCGATCGTGCCGGAAAGCATATCTATGAAAGGTGAGCGCCACTTGTAACTGATTGGTGAATCAAACTGACATGTTGCAGGGGACGCAAGAGTGGCAAGCGTGTCCAGGTCTGTAAATTAGGTAGCTCGAACCGGACAAGTTGCTCACGATTATATCAGTGTAATATGGGCGCGAAGAACCATGCGGTATTAATGCCTGACGGTAAGATCGCTAGTCAATTTCATAAAAATCAGAACGCTGATGAATATGAAAGCGAACATGAACCATGCCCTCAACTCTCTGATTGGGGCTGCCTTCGGTGGTACGATTGATTGTATCATTTTACTCCTTGAGAATTAATATGGTTGCTGTTACTATTGGTAGCTGCTGGTCAACGTTGCATGGCTGTTTCAGTGGGTAAGTGGCTCGTGTCCCTCAGACAGGAGCGCTGGTGACCATCCCTGTAATGTAGCTGTTCTAGTTGGGAACTCTCAGAGCTGGCTACCAGAGCTGTGCGAGCGGGCAAGCAAACTCAGCGTGAATCAAGGCTTTGAGAAGGGTGCAGACCTGTGCGTAACATCTGTATCTCAACGCGAATTCACTTTATTTCGTGTTCGTCAGCGGTCCTGTGATATCTCCTGCAGCTAAACAGCGCATCACTAGTCTGATTGCGTCGGCAGAAGAGCAAGGTGGAAAAGTTGTGCTTGATGGGCGTGGAAAGCAGGTCCCTGGGTATCCTGACGGTAATTGGATTGGTCCCACCGTTGTCGAAGCAACTGTGGATATGCGGTGCTACCGGTAAGATATCTTTCGTCGTGGTTGGCTCCGTAATGTCTACTGACTGCGATACGCCAGCGAGGAGATATTTGGCCCGGTGTTGGTTGTCCTCAAAGCTGATACGCTTGACGATGCGCTCGCCATCATTAATTCTAATCCCTACGGCAATGGCACTGCTATCTTCACACAGAGCGGTGCGACGGCTCGGAAATTCGAAAGAGAAGTTGAGGTAGGACAGGTGGGTATCAACGTGCCCATTCCTGTCCCGCTTCCTATGTTTTCTTGGAGTGGGAACAAGGTGCGTACTCGAATGGGTGCTTCTATAGCCATATGTTCATTTTGGTGTGAAGGGGAGTTTCTTGGGTGATGTACCATTTTATGGCCGAGGGTAAATCTTTCCGGTCTTTCGGCTTCCGGCTGCTAATAATCGACCCTGATACAGAGGTGTCGACTTTTACACGCAAAATAAGGTAAGTTACTTGATCCTGTGAGTTCGACACGGAGTAGCTCAATTGGATGACCCGGCTAGACTACGACTGCATTGTGGAGAGCGGAGGATGCCATCGGCAACAAGGCTTCTGTGGATATGCCCACTCATCATTGAGGGCACTCCACATTCAGGCAACGTACGCAAAACCTTGGCTTTGACACAGTATCACTAACCACACCCTGACAGCATGTTTGCCACCTTTATGACAAGCCTGGATTTGCAAGCATTCATACATGAACTCTCATGCCCAACTATCTCCCAATTACCTCATCCAGGAACGCATTCGATAAGTTTATGCATTGCCTGTAACATTGTTCGAAATCAACCTAGCAGACGAACATGAGACTGAGGTGGATAGCGAGTGCGGCTACTTACTGAGCCTCCATAGTATGGATCCGCAATCGGCTTGTCATCTAGATATGAACCCCATAGTCTCACTTCTGCGGAGGCGTCGTGAGGCTTCATCTGGACGAGACTTCGTAAATTGGCCTCATCCGCGGCAAGTATGTATGTGAAATTGTGAAAGTCTGCTTTAGTGACCTGGCGTGCTGCATGCTGGATTGCGACTTGATACTAAGGCAAACATATTAGTTCGGTTGTGCCGGATAGCGGTGTTGGTAAAAAGCGCACTTTCCGACACGTTGCTACCGTGCTTCAGGTCGATGAAAGTGTGGTATGAGAGTTGTACAAGGCACCAATGGTGGGTTATTGCTCACCGATCGTCGGGATCCTCACCTATGTGATACCGTGAAGTGCCTGCGGAGTCAACAGTGAGGTCGATGCCACGCTCTTTGGCGACGTGTCGAAGGACCGCCTCGCCCATTGGAGAACGACAAATGTTCCCGAGACAGACGACGAGGACAGACTGGACTGTCATCGATACAAAAGAACAATTTCAGGCTGAGAGCTGTATGGTACACTACCGTTACTAGTAGTACGCGGATTGCGGTCACGGGGCGCACACCTAGTGTTCTATCGCCGCGTACGGCAGCTTCAATCCTTGCCTTGGACCTCCGCGCGTTCGGTGGACGACCTATTTTTCTCGTTTTATAGGCAGTATCAGAACCTGGGTGAGGCATGCAATCTCTTCGGGTTGCTCAACCCAAGCTGACGCCCCCGATCTACCTCCTCTTTCGTCTATATTACGCGCTCACCCCCGCATACAAGGAGAGTGGAACCTCACTAGCATGCATCCTGACTCAAATACGCCGTCTGCCAGGTAAGATAGTATCACTTACTCAGATTCAGCTACTCTGGCTGGTCTCTATACATACCTCTCGGAAGGGGGACGCGCAGCAGCAACACCAGCTGCATCTAGAACCTCGTCCACCATCAATCCTAACGCCTTCGGCCAATCGATCGGGGAAATTTTGCCGCCCCCACCTAGCCACGCTCAGCCCAGTGATGTTATGTTGAGTACCGGAGAAGTCTCGAAGGAGATGAACGCCATCATAGCATTATTGGGCGACATGCTGGCAAATCAGCGCGTCAATGCACCAGTCGGGAGAATACCTGACGATGAAGCACGTCTTGTCAAGGCGCTGTATGAGAGTGAGGAAAAGGGTCAAACCTATCGCCAGGCCTTGGAGGTCCTCAGTGGCGCAAGTCAATAAAGCTATCATCAAATATGACCACTAATTTCTGCAATAATAGGTAAACAATCATCCTGCCGACATGTGGAAGGATTACTATCTTGATCATACCAAGCGAATTGAGAGGCTAATTGCTCTACATCATTCTTCTGTTATGTTGGCCAAAGGTTTGCCATAGGTGACCTCAAGTAGGACATTAGTATCCTCAACAGAGCAGATGTCGGTCTTTACTCAGAAACATCACGTACCACAGGCTTCCCGGCAGACTTCGATGAGCGTGCTTCAGTCAGAATAGCTCGAGTACAGACACTCAAAGAGGCGACGGGCCTGCCTCTCTGCCTCGCTCACCAACTTCTAGGTATGCGGTAGCTTCTTTGCAGCATATCCAATCTACCAACAACGGCCATGATCACCCTGAATCGGCTTTTGCTGTTTCCTATGACCGTCAAGACAATAGGATGGTGCAGCCAGAGGAAGACATCCAGGTCGTGTTCGAACAGCACCGGTATTGGCCTTCCTGACCCTCCGTCACGATCACCTACGCCCCTTCTTCGTGCCAAGATAGCAAGACATGCTAAGTTTACAGAAGATGATCGCGATTTTTTTGTTCAGACCCTGCAGTGGGAGTATCAAAATGATCCGCATATCGAACGTGACGATCTATGCGAGATATTGTGCAAAAAGGTGATCGCCTCGCCCATAGCTTTACACAAGAGTCACTTCACTAAACTAGTACCTTGTTACAGGCGCCACATCATACTTCAGAGGCGTGGTCACGATGTTGGAGCGGAAAGCACGAGCTTGCGGATAAGATATACAAAGATGCGCTCAGGAGATCTAAATTATCCCACATCCACACCTCTACTCACCTGCCTCAAAGTCATCGAGCTGCCGGAGCTTCAAGGCTTAGTCCTGAGCAAAACCTTTCATCGGAGAGCGAGCACAAAGGCGATGAAGATGAAGATGAGGGCCCTCCAACTGACGAAGACGTCAAAATCACGGGGCTAAAATATGAACCATATACACAGGCAGCTCTCGAATCCTCGCCAAGCACATAGCTTCAACTCGTGAATGGTTCAACACAGGTAATGTCAAGCGGTTCGATGAGTACGCTGCCAAGGTTAGGAGAGTTCAATAATTGTAATTCCAAATTATGAAGGAGTCAGTTACAGTACTCGCACACCCAAAGATCGGGGAAGGTGTATGCAAAAATTTATTTGCGCAAAAAGAAATGTGAGATTTGTCTGGTTTTCGTCCAATTGTTAGGCTGAACGAGGCAACCATCCAGTTATTGACAGCTTAGCTGCTAAGTACAAGGCTCGTCTGGAGCTTGTTCCTGATATGTCTCAACCGTCAGTTACGCAAAACAGCAAGAGTGCAACGCAGGAAATAGATGTGAGCAAGAACGAAGACAGCATCGTGAATTTCAATAATTTCCGAAAGCGAAAAGTGGCTACTGTTAGTGAGGCTTCGGAGCGTGAAGTGAAATATCAAAGACTGAGTGAAGAGGCCGTAATCATATTTTGAGAGCTGTGCGCATCTTTTATACGTTTGCTGCGTGGCTAAGTTGTGCTTGACGTGAATCATTATAATTCTCCACGGCACGTTGTGCTGCTTGACAGTCCGCGTACACGTATATGAAATGGGTTCGTCGTACTCATGTTATTCGCGTTGTCGGGCGGCAAGACTCTGATGGCACGTGGGTGGATCGATGGAGGCATGTATATGAGCAATGAGCATTGAGCTTGGAGCGGGACCACCACCTCTGCTCAGCAACTAGCTGTTTCACTGTTCTCGACTGCGTTTTGAAGCCCCACCATGGATGAAGAGTACGATGTACTGTCCATTTCTTGCTCTATAATGTGCACGGCATAGTGATTCAGTCATCCTGGCAGGTCATTGTTCTTGGTACTGGGCTGACCGAATGTATTCTGTCCGGCCTCCTGTCTGTTGAGGGCAAGAAGGTTTTGCACATGGATAGGAACGACTACTACGGTGGAGACAGTGCCAGCTTGAACCTGACTCAGGTTGGCATGTTGTTCCGATCACAGAAACTAGCTAACTCATCCGGCCGTCCAGCTCTACCGCAAGTTCAGGCCAGAGCTGGCGCCACCCCCTGAGCTTGGTCGAGACCGCGACTACGCTGTCGATCTTATTCCCAAGTTCATTATTGCGTCCGGGGAACTTACGCGGATCTTGGTACACACTGATGTCACTCGATACCTCGAATTCAAGCAGATCTCAGGCAGTTATGTGTATCGCGACGGCAAGATTTCGAAGGTGCCCAGTACAGAGATGGAGGCGGTCAGGAGTCCTCTGATGGGCTTGTTCGAGAAACGTAGGGCGAAGAAATTCTTTGAGTTCTTGCAGGGGTGGAAGGATGAGGATCCAGCTACACATCAGGGTACGTGTTCTCATATGTTAATTTCGCTAGAGTACACAATGTCTCATCTGAATATTCTAGGTATCAATCTAGACAAGGATACCATGAAGACTGTCTACGAGAAGTTTGGCCTGGAGCCTGGCACTCAAGACTTCATCGGTCACGCAATGGCACTGTACTTAGATGACGAGTAAGTGCTGTTCGTGTGCTATTTATGAGAGTAATGTAACACGTTTGCTTAAATCAACAGCTACAAGACCAAACCTGCCCGACCGGCGTATGAACGGATCGTTCTTTACACCTCCTCCATGGCGCGGTACGGCAAGTCTCCTTACATCTACCCCTTGTATGGTCTTGGAGAACTACCGCAATCATTTGCGCGTCTGAGTGCCATCTATGGTGGTACATATATGCTTGATAAGCCCATCGACGAGATTGTCACCGATGCAAATGGCAAGTTTGTTGGAGTGCGGAGCGGTGGCGAGACGGTGAAGGCCAAACAAGTCATTGGTGATCCCAGCTACTTCGGCGCAGGTCAATCGGGTGAGGCGGGTCAAATTCGAGTCATAGAGGAGGGTAAGGTTGTTCGGGCAATTTGTTTCCTCAAACATCCTATTCCTGGCACGGATGATGCGGATAGTGCCCAAATTATAATTCCCCAGAATCAAGTTGGCAGACGAAATGGTGTGTATTTGAATCGTTCACTATTTGGAACAAGTGTATGACAAGTGCGGGTTTTCAGACATTTATATCGCCGTGGTCTCCTCAACGCATAATGTATGCGCTAAGGACGTCTACGTTGCCATTGTCAGCACTATCGTGGAGACGGATAAGCCAGAGCAGGAAATTGCCCCCGGATTGCAGCTTCTGGGCCCAATTTACGATAAGTACGGAATGTATATAGGAGTACTCGATCCGCACTAATTATGGTTGATTCAGGTTTGTGTCGGTCTCGTCCCTTTACACACCTACGTCCACCGGCGAGGCCGACCAGATTTTCATCACGCGCTCGTACGATGCAACCTCCCACTTCGAAACTGTCGTTGAAGATGTTCACAATGTTTGGAAGCGAGTCGTTGGCAAGGACCTCGTACTCAAAAAGCGCGAAGTCGAGGTTGAAGCATAGGGCTGGCGTTTTAATTGCTCATGAGGATGACCTTTTGATTTTGGAATTTTGCCGTGTACATTGTCAGAGCCCGTTGAACGAAATTTCATGTACTTGATCAACGCAGTTCGTTATGCCCTACATCCAAACATAGCATTTAGAAGAAAGCGCTCATATCGAATTCTGGTACTTGGGCATCCTGCTTCGCAGATTTCATCAAGCTCCCAAAGTCCGCTTTGCGCGCGCCCATATCTTGGTCTGGTTTAGGCCTTTCATCCGGAATGCTCAGTTGAACGCTTTCTTGAATGCTTGGCTGCATGCTATTCGCGAGCTGGCTAATAGGCGAAGCGCTCCGTGTTGGAGGCGCGGTAGAAGGATCCATGTCGATTAGAATAGATGATCTACGACGCAAAGCGGGCTCGAAAGCGAAGCGCGTAGCAACCGGGCTTGGCGGATGTGTGGTCAATTTCGTGTCGGACGACCTAGATGGTCTTTGAAATTCCCAAGTACGAACCAAATCGAGAGCTAAGACTTGACAACCTGGAAGATCCATCAGCTAGCAGCAGATCAGAACGATTGGCACGAACCCATTCTACAAAACACGCGAGCAATTTGCAAGACGAAGTTGAATTCGGTGCGTCCGGAGATCTCGCTCATGCCCTTTGCGGTCTGCAAAGTTCGAGATCTCAATTGCGAGAATAGCAGTGCCAAGCTCGGGTCGTCGTAATGTGGATTGCCAATGTCAGTGATGGTAACGTCTAGGACAGCGGCGATGTCTAGAAGAGGAGTCTGGTCGTACTCTAATGAGAGGCATAGCACATGAGCAGGCAGACATAACTTACCACTAGTATTCGGACCGCTAGATCTCGTCGATGGAGGAGCCAGAATGCCCAACTGGCCAACCATCTATTGCCGTCCTTGAATGCCAGCGGTAATACCGTGCTATTTAGGATTTCTCGTAGAATGGGCCCCTCATCACCCTGCTCGACTATACGGGCTAATGCAATGGCTAATTGGAAATCGTCCAGATTTTTTATGCATACATTTACCGCGTCTTTGAGACTCCCTCCAAGGAGAAAAAAGGCAGCTGCATATTCTGTGATTCTGTCAATATGCTGAGTCCACCATTTTATCGCTGTATACTGACCGAAGCGTCTTTTACTAAGCAGGGCGAATGCGTTTTTCAACGCAGCCGTACGCCATCGTGGCTGTAGGAAATCATTGCTCAAGAACTTGAGCATTTGTGCCTGCTCCTTGTGCCACGCAGCTTGTCGCCACAGCCCGTGCACCAGCTTGACTTTTCCGAGAGCAAAGTAAAATAAACTGCATGCGGTTGGATCTCGGTGGTCGCCAGCCATATACTGATTACGCGCTATTATTTCTAAGTGCGCTTTCTGTACACCATTGAAGTCAAAAAATGATTGACTAAGATATGATTAGTACACACCATGGTCTCCGCAGATCGCATCCATAAAAAAACTCCCAGCGCACGGGCGTCTGGCCATGTCATCTTGCCGCCACATGCTGCAATAGATGTGGACAACAGGAGCTCTTGGCTTTCACTGTGGAAAGCCCATGCAATATCACGGTACCGGAGGCGTTTCCGCGGTTTAATGCGCCTCGAAATTGCGCCAGTTCGCGCCGACGCGGGCGTGTTGGGCGCGGAAAGACGATGATTGGTGATATAAAAGGTACGCATCGAGATCAGATATCGCAGACCATTCGCGTCGAGTGCCCGACGTTGTTCCTCGATCTAAACAAGGATGAGTGACTACATAAACGATCATAAATTTGAAGATACCTCAAGTGTAGCCTCGATGAGAACGAGTAACGAAGCATGTTCGTTTGGGGTCAGGTGGGGTAGCGGCCGTACTTCCAGATGCTCCAGGAGGCGTTGAACCAATGTCCGGGAAAATTGGTCGCCGCGCGATCTACCAATAAGGCTCAGGCCCATGGTTCAATTCGGAGCGATCAGTGAACTCACTCATCTGCTGCTTCAGGCACACTGAATAGCATAGAATGCTGAGGCTTACGTGTCGAATGTACCTGAATTTCATGCCTGTGAGCAAAACTGGACAGAATGGGGTTTCGTCCCCACGCACCGATCTAGACATCTCGTCCTTCTGATAGAACTCTTCTGCTGGGATGTTTTCCCATGAGATGTCACCTTCCTTGCTCTCAACGTGTTTGGCAAGGTTGATAATGATTTTTTTCACAAGTCCCACTTTCTCTACGCTCCAAGCAATTAGAGCGCTTTGATACAGAGAAGTCGTCGAAGTACACACCCCACAGTAAGCACTGTAGAATCATCTGAGGGTGATAGTTATCGAGAGGGCCATTGTATCGCGCCACGTGCTCAAAGAGACTTTCTTCATGTTGGATGTCTTTCGTTGCACGTGCAGCTTGCCCAAACAAAAGCATTACATGGCCTGCGCCGATCAAGAGTGATCCACGCGCGAGCCAGATCGAATCGCCAATCGGGTGCGGTAACATCCTGTTGTGGTATGTCAGTTACACCCGCGCCAAGTCGCTTCAAAAAAAAACAAGAACATTACCTGCCGATATCAATCGACCAACATCGCCCCCACCCAGCCGTCTCGTCGAAGTATGACATTCGTTGCTGGGAGAGCAGCTCTACGCGGTGAGCAAAACCAATTGCGAGCACCGACTGCGCATCGGGTGTAGTAGTCCAATCGAGATCAGTGATTGGGTCGGACGAACTGCAATGAGATTTCGTGAGGTTCATATAAAGTAGATGAATGGTGGCTGCTACACAACTATAGGCACTGACCTAAACACTTCACGATATTCAAGTCCCGAAGAGAACTCAGATGTCTTTGAGTCCCAGATCGTAAGCTCTTCGCCATTTGTATCCTGAGCGACTGCGCAGGCCCATGAGAAGCACGATTGCACGAAACTCGTTGGACATACCTAACACGGATTTTTTTGCGGAGCTACACGCTGCCCTGCGGAGACCTTTCCTCCCCGTCCTGACCCTTCCCGTGCATCGCCATCCGCCATTTCTTATTATTCCACTGACTGTCTTCCGGTCGTTTGCCTGAGGGTCAGGAAGTCGATCACAAAAATCTTCTGGTACCCAAAATGCCAGTTCACCATCTTCCGATATGCTCAGCAACACATCATGCGCGTCTGAACTAGGCACGCTTGTAGGAGAGCCTCCCCAGCTCATCGGATCAACGGGTAAAATGAATGTGAGGGGACATGAAAGAGGAAGAGATGTTTCTGAGCGTATGGACATAGAAGGGGTGGGCATGAGAGAAACAGATATCAGTAATACTGTATGAGCTTCAGTGACACCCACAAGAATGAGCGAAGGTGGAAAACGTAATGTCGAAGATGGTACAGAAGATGGGAGGGAAAATAATGCAACAAGGGAGGGCACTGCAATCGTTGTGGCTGTGGCACCGTGTAGAGTGAGATGGCCGTTGGACAATGTGTACGTGACAAAACATACTCCTAAGCGTGTCCGATATTGGCTCGGGTCAGCTTTTCTTTTTCAACCAATCGATCGAGAGCGTAGCACATACCCCCCTCGAGAACAACCACCCTATCCACACTTTCGGCATCGGTAGGATCCCAGCGACCTCTCCGCGCAAGTCCCCGCCCACTCCATCTCACATGCCATGTGCTCACACTTCTATCTGTATGCAAGGCTGCAACGCCGTCACCTTCTGGGGTCCGAACGAATTGCGATACCTCTCTCAACCTCTCACTATCCGTCTCAGGGTCTATTTGGTCAGATGCTCGCGCAAGTAGAGCAAGCCCATCCGCACGGGAATCAAGAAAAGGAATTGGTGCTAGAACATAACTCGCGAGAGGTGGTGAGGTGATAAGTGTGAGGGTGCCTGGCCTTGAACAATTGGAGAGCGGCGAAAGAATATATAAGTGTGAAGGTGGCGGAGATGGTAGCAGACCTGAAATAGACTGATGAAGGACAAACTGCCTCAAGAGCGTGGGGGGACGGCGATCGATGTTCTAATGAAAACGTTAAGATTCCAGTAAGCACGGCTGCAGGTAAGGTGCGACAGCTCGGAACGTACCGTTACTGCTTGAATAACCAAGGAGCCATCAGCCAGGACTCGAAGGAACAAATCCCATCCTTCCTCAACGATCTCCCTAACACGCCTACCACTAGTGGTATCCTCGGCCTCTCCGATGCCCCTCAAGACTTCCAAGACAACATCTCTGGCTAATGGGAACACACTTGAGGATTTCGCGCAGTCCTTTCCAACTGGGTAGTCCTCAACTGGATTATCCGAATATGGCAGTGAAGATGCAGCATCCAGTGCACCATGCAGCTGAACGCGCTGCGGGACATCAATGACGGGAAGAAAAATGCGGAGCGTACCATCCGAAGTGGTGGTATACATGATGGGGTCATCCATATGAGTATGGATATGGGGGTAGATCTGTAGACACGGACGCCGCCAATTGATATCAATGACGGGGCGTGGATGCGGAATTGTCTGTGTCTGGCGGCCTGAAGTAGTAGAATGAAGACGAACAACTTTGTCGCACTGGTTTCGGGAAGTTGTTCATTAGTTGGCATCTTGGAGCGAAAGTGGCCTGCGCACCGACGAAGTGGTTGCGATATACATGAGCGAGGGGGAGAAACGCACGCGAGCAAGCTGTTTCGCACTAATAGCACGTCAACACTTTAGAAGAACAGGACATGCCTACAGCCATTAACGTACTTGCATGCCCATTTGCGCGACCATGTTGGCAGATCATTTTCCAGTATAAGGGTGTACACCGACAGAGTCGATCGCGTTCCGAGGGCCAACAAGCCTGTGATATATGATGTTAATGCCTGTAAATCACTAGATACGATGTGAAGCTTACCAGACTTGCAATCCAAGGCTGTGATCTCCTGATCTTCGGGGAGTGCAAGGGACGAATGTAATCGCCACGATGATTGGGCCTTGTTGGAGCCCGATCCCGAACTAGAAAGAATCCATGCGGCTACACGCGCTCCCATGGAAGCGACTACCTAGGACGAAGCTGTACCTTAGCGAGCATGATTGCAATCGATACATTCTGGATAGCGTACAAGTTTCATGCCTGCATCGATGGAAAGGCATTGGACAGACATGTATGAGTGCCGCATTCCTGGGAAAGCTTCCCAGAATGCCAATGCACGAAGGAATACGAGGGAGTGCGCATTTAGAACGACGATAGAATCAGCGGAAGGGTACAGCTGTGAGCGGAAGAATGGTCAAAGGGCTGACCAAGACAGAAGCTAGGGCTAATGTCACCAGCAATATCTCCTGAGGCAGAGCAAGAAATTGAAGGCCAGACGTGGGTCGCCCCGGATAGGACTGCAGGAGCTCAAGCATTGCAGTGAAACTATTGCCACCATTCCAAATTCATGGAGGCCATTCTTGAAGTTAAACTCAACGACTCACTAGAGAGGCGTCACGTGGGGCCATGCGGGACGTCATATGGTCACGTGCCCCCTCCTCTATATTCGCTCACTCAATGCTTGCTGCGCGAGTGTTTCTTGTCCGCACACGTCCACAGCGAGCAGAGCGTCGCAACCCTGCACTGGCCCAACCTGGACTTTGCTCCTCTTCCCCTCTTTCCTTCCCCAGTGCGCAATGCGACCATGGTCGTGTATACCCGCCGCGCTCCTTGCATTCCTTCCACTCGTAGCCCCTGCCCAGCTCCCTCTGAGCCCTCCACGCGCGCACACACCGTCTACCACTCTCCTCGAGGCGCTCTATGATGATCCGGACTATCTCTCCTTCATCAAGCTCTTGCAGCGCGCCAAGCTCATACCAACTCTGAATCGGCTGAATGGCGGCACTCTTTTCGCCCCCACAAACGAGGCCATCGCGAAGCACCCTTCATGGCAGGCCTCCTTGACCGGCGACTTACGCGACAACATACAGGAGAATCTACGTCAACAATTATTCTACCACATCCTCAATTATACGCCCCCCGCTTTGCCGACTGAGCAGACTCCGTGCGAGTTCGAGACACTTCACTTCCCGCGATCGCCTACAGAACCGCCCACCCGTGAGCCGCCTCCCGGGCCTCCTTGGATGCCTCTGCCAGGTGGAACTCTGGGCGGAAAACCTCAACGCCTACGCGCGTCGTTTCGCGATGATAGCATTTGGGTGGGTGTAGATGCATTCGGCGAGCAAGGCGTGGAAGTTGTGAAGGACAAGGTAGACACGGCAAATGGCATGCTGCTTGGAATTAATGGAGTGCTTGAGATTCCCCCTGATCTAGGTTTGTGTCATATGTCCTTGTGAAGACTCTGATTTTAATCCCAGCGTTAGCGACTGTCGCGTCCCAGCATCCATCGCTATCCTATTTCGCGGACGTCTTGACTCCTGATATGATGGAATTCCTGAACACATCGTCGGCCTTGACAGTTTTCTTGCCTGTAGATGAAGCTTGGGAGGCGTTGCCATACTATGAACGGCTATACTTGCAGAGCAAGTTCGCGACCGACGATCTCATGCGGATAGTTCGTATGCATGCAGTTGCCCGCAAGCATGTGAAATACGCCGACTCGTTTGCGCCATCCATTAATCGTGAGTAACTTTGCGCCCCATTCGACTTCCACTCACGTTATACAGTAACAACCCTCGACGGGTCTGAGTTGCGTATCGTAACGTCGGAGGACTCCAAGATCACGGTATCGGCTGCTGACATGATTCAGAAGAATATTTACGCGTCAAATGGTGTTGTACACACGGTGTCCACCCTGTTGATTCCACCCGAAGCGATCCATTTGACCCCGGAGAAGTATCTTCTGACACTCAACTGCACGACATTCGTGGAGTTGCTGCATTCAGTTGATTTGACGGCTCTAGTCAATGATACCAGCGCGGAATGGACTATTCTTGCTCCTAGGGACGACGTGATTAGCCTATTTGGCGACGGAGAGCTGCCGAAGAGGGGGAGTGAGGAACTACGGAAGATGCTACAATACCATTTCGTTCCCGGTAAGTGGGAGCCAGAGAAGCTGAAGAACAGCATGCTATTGGAGACGGCTCTCGAGGAACCCGGGCTAGATGGGGGCAGGCAAGTCATGGACGTAGAAGTAACCGGCGAAAAGAAGAAAGGAGATGACGGGAAGGGCATGGCCGTCAGGTTCAGCGGAGCTGGGACTATTGGCGATTATGGTATGGTCCGGTTTCGCCCATTTCATTTCCGCTGATTCTAACGAATCGTATTGGTGCGTTCAGTGGAAATTGACAACACGTTGATCTACTTCATCTCTCGACCCCTTGTACCACCTTCTGACGCTTTACAAACTGCCTTGCCATCACTCGAGCTCTCCTCGTTCCTCGCGGCAGTCTTCTCCACGAACCTAGCCGACACACTCAAAACCACGCCTCGCACGACACTCCTGATCCCACTTAACAGCGCGTTCAAACGCCTTGGCATGCTCGTATCCGCGCATCTGCTTGCTGCGTCTTCGAAGACTGACCTGGAACGGGTCATTCAACATCATGCCTTGACCGACGTACAGTATGGCGCGGTCTTTGTGAATGGGAGTCAACGCACATTTGGCACACTTGAAGGTTCTGACGTTCATGTGGATCGCCGAGCCAACGGCAGCCTCGTCCTCAGCGCCAGTGGTGGATGGTCAGGCATGCAAGCCGAGCTACAGCTGCGGAATATGCTCACGCAGACTGGTGTTATACACGAGGTTTCGGACATCATGATTCCACGGAGTGTGCAGTTGACAGTCGGCAAGCTCGTCAAGGCGGCTAAAGCTACTACTATGGCAACGATGATGACGAAGGCTGGGCTGGACTGGATCTTGAATGGCACGGCACCACCGGAGAACTCACCTTGGGCAGACAGAGGCCTCGGCGGATCTGGCTGGACGTTGTTATGTCCTACGGATGACGCATTCAAGCATGTGAACTTAACGACTCTGTACGGAGACCAGGAACAGCTACACGCCATTGTAGGTCAGCATCTCATCCCGACATCATCTACAGGCCGGGATCCCATCGCGGATGTGCAGGACGTGGTGAATAACAATCGACCGCTCGCGATGGACGATAGTGCATCATACACCACACTCAGTTTGGACGACTCTCTCGACCGGGGCGTTGTGTTCCGTGTTCTTGACGGCGAAGGTGGTACCGTCGTGGGCGTGGAGGGTGCGCGCGGACAAAACGGGAAGCGTGACTGGGCGCGCGTACTCTCGTGGGGGAGGTCTACGACAGGCGGTGGAACAGGCGGTGTTATTCAGATTGACAGGTTGCTCTTGCCATACCATCCGCCGTGGTATCTCGAGTACGGTGCGCCGATCGCGGTTGGCTTCATTGGCTCCGTGATGATTGCTGCATTTTTTTATGGCGTGAGGGTAGTGTGGCGGAAAGATACGACGGAGGCGACGTATGAGCCGATTGGGGGATTCGTTGCGGAGGAGTCAGAGGAATCATGAGTTGCTCAGGAATATGGTGGATGGATGGTTTCGACGAGGTACTGTATTTGCTATGTTCTATTAGACGTTCGCTACGGGACACACGGTAATATGTACGCTGTATATGATGTATTTTATGCATTATGTTCCGTGACCTAGCTACTATGCCTCGTTCGACTTGAGACTATGTTTAGGTCTGACGCGACGGCGACGCGACAATCACGGGCCAACACGTTCGCGTGCACTCTTGGTCGCGTGCACTCTTGGTCGTCGTCCGAATATGTCTCACAGCAGTCCGAGTCTGAGCTTCTTCGCCCTCCCGCCTCACATTATCCCGACGGACGTCCTTCTGCCTCCGCAGAGTCCACTCTTTGCCACAGTCCACCATGGTGAGCCTTTACTATTATTCTAGAGGATCGCTGATACGAATAACATATGAAGAGTGATTCTTCGCTAGCTGAAGAGGCAAATCCGAACGCGACCACCGCACCGACGTCGACCGCGGAATCGGTCAAATCTTTCATCGCTGGGGGCTTTGGTGGTGTCGCGGCTGTACTCGTGGGTCAGTAGATGTGAGGGTATGCCCGTCACCCGTGTGGATCTTTAACAGGACGTCTGCAGGCCACCCGTTTGATCTGACCAAGACTCGTCTTCAGACGGCGTCGCCGGGAACATACACTGGAGCGATTGATGTGGTAAAGAAGACTTTGGCTCGCGATGGCCCAACCGGGTACGTGTTGGTGCTGGCAGATTCCGTTTCCCGAGGATGACTCTGAGGGCAGGCTTTACCGTGGAGTGGTTCCTCCGCTGCTCGGTGTTACACCGATATTCGCAATGTCATTCTGGGTAGGACGGTCAGCTCTCAAAATATTCCAAAACTAATGAATTCGCTGTCCTGAGGCATATGACATGTCAAAGGCACTCATTTTTGCAGCTACTCCAAACCGCGCCAGTAAAGAGTTATCAATCCCAGAGCTCGCAACCGCTGGCTTCCTATCAGCGGTCCCCACTACACTCGTTACAGCGCCAGTGGAACGGGCCAAGGTCCTCCTACAGGCAAGCGTCTGAAGGTTAAAATATGGAAGTCAGAGCTCACCATACACTAGGTACAAGGTCAGGGCCAAGGAGGGCGGCAATATAGTGGCGTCTTCGATGTTGTGAAACATTTATACAAGGAGGGTGGTATACGAAGCGTATTCCGCGGGTCTGCGGCAACTGTAGCGCGAGATGGGCCCGGAAGTGCTGCGTACGTAGTGAAATAAAACAGTCCCATGGTAGTGCTTACACTGATTCTATTCACCCATTAGCTACTTCGCGGCATATGAAATCACCAAGAAATTTTTGACACCAGCGGGCTCGTCTCCGTCTGATTTGAACTTGAGTGCGATCATCTTGGCCGGAGGTACCGCTGGAATCGCTATGTGGTCCATTGCGATTCCTCCGGATGTAAGTCGCCGCGACGCCTTTTCCGTTCACGAGCACTTTGAGATATATCATCCACCTCTAGGTTCTGAAGTCTAGAATTCAGTCAGCGCCGACAGGAACATATTCAGGCTTCATGGACTGCGCGCGAAAAACGATAGCAGTGGACGGAGTTAAGGCCCTGTGGAAGGGCTTTGGGCCAGCTATGGCCAGGGTAAGTATTGTATTTTTTCCAATGTCATCATACATCATGGTCTGAACGTGGTCTGATCAGGCATTCCCTGCCAATGCAGCTACATTCGTAAGTCAATGTATGTCTCTAAGTAACCATATTCTAATCACGATGTCAGTTGGGAGTGGAGATGTCCAGAAGGCTCATGGACCAGTACTTCTGATATTAGACGATATGCCGTTTTGTGGGTTTTGATGAATATCATCTGCTTGACTATACACCCGGCAAACTGTTCAATGTCCAGCTGGACATTTCTGCATAAACGTGAAGTGGCTCCGGTACCTACATTCATTCCATTTGACCATCTCAAGATTTTCATTCCGAATACATAGAATGTTTGAATGAATTTCTATCTTGGCAATCAAAAAAACCTTGTGCGTTTTTCATGTCTCCGCCTCCGCTGTATCGTAATTTCATGCAATATTCAGCAAGTTGCAATCCAATTTCGGCGACGACGCGGTCACGTGGTAGCATGAATGATCGAGTCGCGGTTGGGTAGAATCGTCAGTAGACGCCGATGGTGTGCCTTTGTTCCACGGCCGCTTCCCTTTGTTCACCTCGCCCTTTGATCCAGCTTCATATATTGCTTTCGAACATTCACATTTGATGTAAAGATACTTACTTATAATCTCTCTGAGAGTGAGTGGTGGCCCTTGAATATGAACAACTAATTGTAACACAGGGTACTAACATGATACAGCAACATGCCTAGAGGCAAAAAGGCTTCAACTGGTTCTTCTAGATCAAGAGACGGTCCGAGGAGGACGAAGTGCCAATCTGCTTCAGAGTTTGCTTCAGTTTTGTCTATTGCTGTGAGAATTCAGGACTAACACACTTTGGTAGGATTGCGCGCAATGTCAATAGCTTTGAGACTTGGGCGACCTTCCAAGGATGCGAAGAGGTCGCATATAGAGATATACCTCGCGACCTCAAAGCAGATGTCAAAAAGGTGTTCAAGATTAGGGCACAACTACCCAAGGACTGGTTGGATAAGGTATATATCTCACTAGCGGCAACATGGCGACTACTTACAGATCGCGCAGTCATCGGATGCGAGTAGGGAACTACTAGCATGGCTATCTCCTGAATTTGTTTGCTTCATCCGTAGTATCGGAGAGGCGTCTCCAGAGTTATTCACTGCTAGAGTGTCACCCGAGACCCTGAGGGAGCTTGTCTGTGATTTGCAAGTGGTTCATTCTGCATGGAAGAGGCTGCAGAAGATGCGTGAGTCGAGCAGAAAGTGGTCTGAAGCCGATTATGTTGCAAACGTGTAAGTTTCTATGGTCATGTGCCTCGAAGTTCCTCAGTGTGACGTGAACGTTATACAGATATAACGTCTTTCGTACTCCTGCCGTGAGCAATAGTGACTTCCGGTATGTCTCGTTCTCTCATGACCAATATTAGACTGAATTGCTCTCGTGGCTCAGAGCACAATGTTCAGTCACTCTAGCACAACCTCTAGCCTGTTTTACACTGGCGCCAAAATCTGTGCGGGTTCTGAACGCGAAGTCAGTGTCACCGGACTCCGCCATTTATATTCCATACCATCTCGTTCGCGAGTTATCATTCGATGCCAAGTCACCATACAAAGTTCTAAAGGCACATCCGACTGCCACGAATCATGGCAGCATTGGAGGCGAATCTTCCTTCCGTTATCAAGCAACACCTTGTACAAAACTTCCGGAACGACCTACGTTCGAGTTCGTGAGCGCGTTCTGGGAGGATAAGAAGCCAATGCATCACCTCTTAGAGGATGCATATCGTCAGAATAGGATGGCGACAACCTCCGCAGTAAGACAGTTGCACTTCCTCCGCATCCGTGCGCCAATCTTTGGGTTGGTTTGGGCACAGGGCACCGTGCGAGCCCATGTGGATTGGTGGGATTCTAAGCCGGACACAGAGTACCCGGTCAGTGTTGCTTCTATGAGTCTTAGGAGCTGGTGATGATAAAGCCTCGTACTAGTCTGTCCGCTCTGCGGCCTATCCGGGGCCAAAGCACAGCAGTCGCAGAGCCAGCGGTATCTTCCACGAATGGAATTTGGACGAGCCGACTGATATCTTGCAGGTCTTTTTCCTGGTCAGGAACATCGATTGCTGGACGGTCGATGGCTTTCGCGACCGTGTTGTGGAAGGAATCAGTCAACTTGTGACCGATGTCACAGTGAACGGGCACAAATTTACGCCATGGAAGCGGAAAGGAGACCTCTATCGCTCCATCCCGATGGAGGTGCCAGCAAGCCGGCCGAGTTTCTCGGTTACGCCCACCATCTCGCCGTCTAGTACGCCTCCTAGGAAGCGCAAGCACGCTGGAAGATAATTCCCCCGCTAAAATTCATCATGAGCCATACTCCGAACAATACTACTCATTAACACTCAGTCTGGATAATGTTAATGCCGCGCGTTGAAATGCTTTCGTTATTTATTCTTGCACCGATGGATGTATCATGTTAATCTATATTTCTTATGTTCAACAGTTAATTCTGTTACAGTCTATGTGTTTGGCAGTAGTGATAGCTATCGAGAACTTATATGTGAGATACTCTGAAAACGTTCCATCCGGTCCTGCAGGTGAATTACAGAGCAAATATACACTGAATCAGACTACTTTTTCCAGCTAGATGGGATCCCGTCGATGACGTTCGCCCATTTCACCAATCTTCCGTGCTCCCAGTTTTCCAAGTACGAAAGCCCCGCACTCCCGCGACGGCCCTCCGTCGTCTTGAGCCGCATCTCAGCGTCACACCAGAATAATACCCATTTCCCCATGCGCAAATGACCTGTGCTGCGCTCGAAATACCACTTATTCACGGGGTTGTCGGCGCGGCTTCGCCAGACGAGGTCGCAGCCCTCACCCTTCCCTTCCTTACCCCCATTGGGGTTGGCAGAGAAGGGTAAGCCGAGGCCGTAGGACTCGTCATGCAGCGCAACCCAAAGGAAATCGACCGTGCCGTCCCCCTGGTGGCTTGGCAACACAGCGAATTTGTCCAGATAGGTGATCGGGGCAGTCTCAGGTGCGGTGTCGGACTCGCGGGTTACGATGGCGGCACCCGCATAGTCTCCAGCGATGATGGCGTAATCCAGGTGTTTCTCCAGGCGCCCCCAGAAGGGCCGCTCGTCAAGTGTGCGCTTGAAGGACTGTTCGAGAAGCGCTTTCATTTTCTGTTTATCGATGTCTGCCATCGAGCGAATGACACGGATAGGGAGACCGCGCCGCATCAAAGTGGGAGTATGTGGCGTAAGTTTGCGGTTGCCTTGCAAGAGAGCGTGGGGGAGGCTAGAGCTGACTGCGGGTTTATTTGTAATAAGGTTCGCAATCAGAGAACTCGGCGACCGGTGCGACACCATGACAGCTGAGGATGAGGGAGGCATGTAAGCGAGGCATGTGCGGGCAAGGGATAAATTCGAGAGGGATGTTGGATGGGAGCTGTGCCACTGCGAATCAAACGTGTCGGCGATGTACGAAAACTCAGCGTCCAGATTAACCAAAAGGTGGGGCATGCCAGAGCGTGCATATGAAGGGACACCACCTTCCTTGTTAATGATCATGAGGCGGAGTGGTGTCAAATCGACCTCGTCGGAAAACCCATTGATGTCGTCGGCGCCCTTATGGTCATCTTCCACGGCAGCCTCGACCATTCCACGGGTCAGCGCCGCGACGACATCATTCGCGTCGACACGAACAGAGCGACAAAATGAATCGAGGGCAAATGGGGGTAGGACAGGGATTTCACCCGCGCGGAGGGCAGAGCGGATGTGGACGAGATCCGTGGGGAATGTGTGAGCCTCTGGGACGATAAAAGGCTGCTGGTCGGAAAACTCTTCGTCTCCTGGTTTGGGTCCTAGGCGGACAACGGCGCCGAGGACCGGACGCGCCTTTGCGCCTTGCTTCTCGAGTGCATTGACGACGCGCATGGTCTCCTCGACTAGTGCGGCCCGCTCGCCGTCTTCACCCTTGGGGAGACCATCGTTTTCGATAACAATGACGCTGACAAGACCGAGCTTCTCCAAGTACACTATGCCGGTGGCGATGCTCTCGAGTTGCCTGTCGGTGAAGGGAGACTGAATTTTGACGAGAGCCGTACGCCTCTGGATGGGATTGAGGATGGAGGCGACGACTGGACTGCGAGGTTCCTGCTGAATGTCAGGGGGGATGACCTGCTTGGACTGGTGATCTGGGGTTGCAGTGGGCAAGAGCTCTTCGTTCGGCTTTACCGGAGGACGAGGCGGAGGCTGGGGACGAGGGCCGAAAGACGCTAGGTAAGACCTTGTATCCCGCAACGAGGGATTAGCCCGCAAGATGGACATGATGAAGTCCTGGAGACGGTGTCAAACCGAATGGACTAGGTCATACTGAGGGAACGCACCTTGTCCGAGGGGTTCGCATCGTCGGGCTCGGGCAGGGCGGACGACTGCCGCAGGTTGCGGATGGTCTAGCACGTACAAATTCAGTCGGGATCACGACTGTGGAATGCACGGTGCATGTACCGCATAGAATGCCCTGAAGGTCTGGGCTGAGCGTGCCCGGGAGGTGGACGGTATTCTGCAGCTGCCTTGTCGGACAGAGGAGGTGAGCATGGGGAGAGGATTGGGGGGGTGGAGGGGGTGGAGGAGGCTATATATGAGTCATGAAAGGATCATCGCGATGGGCGGGGAAACGAGGGAGAGCACGAGTGTGTTCTGCGACAGTTTGCGCGAATTGACTCGGAGCGCTGCACCGCGAATTTCAGCCAGTCGAGGCGCCGGGTGGACAGGCGCCCGCAGGGATATTGGCCATTGCACACCCAACGGCGCATCTCGCTCACAGCACATTGCTCAGCTGAGCTCATTCAGCCGCATCCCGCGTCGACGAGCACGTCCGTCACCATATGAGTGCGCCGGGCTCAGTCACATATCGCAAGGTCACATCGTCCAAGATGATTGCCACCGGGATTACAACGTAACAAAGACAACCAATCACAGCCCCCACAAACCGCTCAGGGACAGTCCATCCCCCTCCAATCTCGGGACCCCTTCCGGCCTCATGAGCACACCAACCGTGCTCAGAACGTGAATATCCGGTACTTGCGGCCACGGCCCAGCTATAATCAATTCAGCAAGTCGTCTCGGCCAGTCAAGCGAATTTGCGGCTCACACTTGTCAAGGTGATCAGCGAATCTTCGCTCACCATCACAGCCTCAAAGTCTTCTTCCACGGACAGCGATCGCATATGGTACGGCAGCGCCGTTGCTACTTCGCCCTCGAAGGTCTCCCCTTCTCGGAATACACACGCTTTCCTCTTGCCGTCCCCTCTTCCTTTAACGTCCGATTGCGCCATACGTCGCTCATAGGGCAATACATTGAAGTCATATACCTTGATTTCTCGCGGTCCTCCGCGTGCTACAAACCTTGTTCCAAAGACGTAGCAAACCCAGACCGAAGAATGCCCAAATAGATTGGACATCATACACGACCCTTCAGGACCCCATTGTTCCCAAGAGAATCGCTGCCGCGCCATGTCTTGCACCGCGTTGACATGCGAGAGGATAGTGGACGCCAACGTGAAGAGCAAGATCGTGCGGATTTGATCGGCCTCCGCTACCCAAAACGTGAGCACAAGCAATCTGTCGGTTCGTGCAGTGTAGAAGGGGACTTGGGAATCACGACTTGGCCATAACGGCGCCGGATCGGAACGGATCGAGAAGGCAAGGGGAAGTGCCCGGGGAGCCAGGCGGGGATAATGAAATGTGCACGCGAAAGCCATATCCCAGATGTCGATTTTCTCTGGGTGAGGTTGCAGGAAATCAATGACCACAAGTTCTGGCTCTGACGCCACGGTCTGCCGCGTATTGTTGCTCAAACGATCGATGACTCCAAGAATAATATGGCGATCTGACAGAAAAGAGATGGACCCTATTTCTCTGCCAGTAATCCACTGCAATGACAGAGCAAAATGTCGGTAAACGTGATCTGCGCGAGTAGAGGAGGGTCGCTCACCTGTAATAGTGTACCCGTTTTCCAATTCCATATCAAGCAATCATCAGGGAACTGCTCGTGGCCAATGAAGAGGATACCCAGGAAGTCCCCTGAGATCTGGATGGCGTAATGGTCAGAGCTGTTTGTAGTGTGCACCAATAGGGCGGTACTGGGCCCAGCGGGATGGGGTGTGCCGGTGGAGAGCGTACGCAAATGGACATGAATGGTCTCACTAAATCTGCGTGAAGGTGTGAATCAATTGGCAGTGATGCAATTGAGCGAACTCACGGTTGTGGCTGCTCAAGAGCAACGAGGAGATCCTGTGAAGGATCTATTCCGAAGTCGCGAATGGGGAAATCCACTTGCACGGCCCATTCATGCTCATCAATTCCTCTCAATGCAGAGGGAAGCCGTCGAAAAGAGAGGACATCGGCACGTCGTGCCTGAGACAGGACGCCGCCATATAGTTCCCATACTTTTCCCTGCAACATGGGGACGGCCTTTTGACTACTGTACTGTAATGTTAGCCATGCTTCTTGATGCGCTCTTAGTTTTTTAAGGCGTTCCGAAGGTCCCAAGGAGCTCGGGGGACCGTCTTCAATACCAGCGATTGCAAGTTCGAGTTTGTACTGCAAGAGGGTGTCCTCTGTGACAGAGTTGAAGTAGCGATTAATCTAGAAAGTAAGAGTGATCAGACAGCGTTGAGCCACGATATCATTGTGTGGTACCAACCCTTTTGCAGCGCAGCAGATCTCTCCAGTCGAGGGCGAGGAGAATATTGACAATCAGCTCGGGGGGAAGGGCTGAGAGCGACATGAAAAAGACTTGGTGGTGGTGGGCGGGGAGAGAGACGAGCAAAGGAGCAGCTGCGAGACCCGCGAGGGTCGACGATCCGCGTGCGCTGACGTCTGATACCAGTGGCCCGCCGAACCGAACCGTCCTGGTCCCAGCCCATGTTCATTCTGGGTGGCCGTCTGTGAGATGTGGTACTCGCAATAGTATTGCAGGCATGAGTTCTCTTTTGTCCGTCGAAATCCTTTCCTCTCGAGATGGCGGATGGCGTCGGCGTGACTACTGCAGGCGCCATAGCCCAGGTCCAGCACAGAGATAGGGCGGCAACTCCGAGCAACAAATCAGGGAGCTCGATGACTCTGCCCCCGTAAATAATCGCATCTACTCTACGATTGTCTCCTTCCACCTCTCCGTTGTGCCGAGTTCAGTGTGCCTGTCTTGCTTCTGACAGCCACTTGAGCAGATAGCTTCCACTCGGGCAGAGCCATCGTGAACCGAGGATGCCTCCAGCGACTCGCAAGGGCGCGAGTTCGAAGGTAAGGCGGCCTTCGCAATTGGTGTTCGACGTCACCTACGGTTCACTCCAGTTCTACCAGGAGGATATTGTCAGGCGGAAAGATGACCCCAAAACGCTGGGCCTTGTTCTTGTATGTGTCGCCGAACCACCGTAATGCTCCACTGCCTTACACGCTCCTCTCAGCGATGCTGGCACGATGCGGAAGACCTTCCGCCACAGGCTGAAGACATGGATCCTCTCATGAGGCCGCTCAAGAAGGTACGCTGCCGCATACGCTATTGCTGCGACACAGTCTGTTCATTCTACGACCCAGGGAGAAGTTGGCGTCTCCTACTTTCCTAACCCTTCCCGGGAAATACTTCCCGAATCTCAGCTCGAGCTCGTGGATCGCCTCTACCAACCCGGTGACTTGCTGAAACGCAGAATCGATGATGTGGTCTCTGGCGTAGTTATTAAGTATGTCGTTCTCGAAATCCCACTTGGGTAGAGCTTGCTTACCATTGTCGTACGTAGCACCGAGGTGAAAGGCCGCCTCGAACATGCTATTAGCGGAGAGCAACTATCAGACTGGAGGGGTACTGATGATGTGACATGTGCCGTCGATATTGAGATGGGCGATTACGTCGTGTACGATGACTGGGTTGGCCAGGTAAGCTGCGCCCCACTTTCATCTTCTCTGCTGTCTCACCCGACGTAGGTTATCGAGGTAATCAAACGTTCTCTTCGCACCACATGCATTTATATTAACGTAGCAGCAAGATGTTCGACGAAGCTATAGTCGACATGGGCCTCGGTAATCTAGTGCGCGTCCCGGAGCTCAGTGCTCGCCTTGTCGTCGGCGAGAAGGGACCGGTACGTTTGTGCCTCTCGCAGGCGTCAGGAGTCCTCACGGCTTCCTAGGATATCCTGCCGCAGCCGATGTCTGGGGTGCAGACTTTATTTGGCTTCTTGATAGGTAATGTGCGACCCGGTAATCAGGACACAGTGGTCGCCGTCAAACGCACTGTACTGGCGATCGCATGGTTGGCAATAAACCAATCTGTCAGTATTCTTCTGGGCTATACTACTGAATCTGCTTACCATATTCATAATAGCTGGATCAAACAGAAGCGCAATTGCGTTTGCGTCCCGCTCGATTCTGGCATGGTCCAGATCTGTCCAAGCTTACGCTAGTGCGCCGGAGAGCAGAGCAAGCGATACGCATGGGCGATCGCGTAATACCCTTGCGCGATGTACCTGTCACTCGACATGGCAAGGAAGACGATCCATCGCACATGCTAGAAGTCCGTACGTGTGTTGTACAGGAGACTCATACAATGGTCAAGGTCCTCTGGCAAGATGGTACGACCGAACTGCTTGATGCAAAGGTCACCGTTCCTTATTTGAATCCTGACGAGTATGACTGCTGGTAAGCTGTAGGGTTTCATGTCTATGCCAACCGGTTATATCTAAAAATGACCAGGCCCGGCGACCATGTTCTCTGGAAGACTGAAGATCAAAAACGGGCGGCCATAGTACAAACCGTCAACGCTGTCGATCGGACTGCGCAGATCTACTGCACGGACACGAGAACTACTGAATTGGCGTCGCTACTTGAGCTTGATCCTCATGGAATATCTGATTGGTCAGCAGTCTCTCCTACCGATGGACTGGGTCTTCATCGCGGTGATCTCGTGTTCATACACAAGGAGGGTTCAACGAATGGCGTGGAGCCTCCCATGGTGCCCAGAATTGGAGAAGTGGAAGATTGGGTTCGTGAGCCCCCAGTGGTCAGTGAGAGCGGTCACCTCAGTGGATGGCGGCGTGAGATGGCGGATATAGGTAATCGAATTGCTGAACGGCGAGGCAAGGACTCGACCATTGAAGAAGGCCAGATTCGGCTTCCAGAAGAAGGGAGCTCTCGACTTAATTGGTTCGGCGAGGTTATTGAGGTATGTGTAAAGCATGGGTGTCTTATGGTAACAGCATTCACAGCATGAATATGATTTCCGACAGCTGAGACTAGACGGCACTGTTGAAATCATGCTGCCAGATCTTTCCGTAGCTGTGCTTCCACTCCAGCGGCTGACGAAACTATATGACGGCACGGATCATCTGGACGATATGTGGGGCGACGACGCCTCAGAAGGTGAAGAAGGTAGCAATATTGACATGGAAGAGAATGTAGAATATTGGGCCATGGACGAAGAAGGTCACTGGGTAGAGGACGATGTAGCTGCCGCGGATGAATGGGAGTCGACGGACGAAGATGACGGAATGGATGTCGATGAAGAGAGATGGTCGTCATCAAGTCCAACAGTTTTACAGGTTCAGGATGTTGGCATACCGTCTGTCACAGAGCCAGCGTCGATAGTGGCGCCATCCGTACCAACAACGTCCTCGGCTGCACGTTCAGCATCTCCCGATGTTCCAAGGGACGCCTCGGAGGACGAGGACCTCATCAAGGCGGAAGTCGACGATAATCACCCACTATGGAAGCGCTTCGACGTGCTTCCCTCTGCACCTGTTGACCATGCCTTTTTCTCTAGTCCCCCCGCGCAGACGTCGCGAAGCTTCTTGGCTCGTTTGAATCGGGAATACAAAGCACTTCAAAACAGCCTACCTGGTAATGTCCTACGCCTTCCTTTTCTTTCGATGCAATTTATCTGAACACTGGTCACTCAGATTCAATTCTTGTCAGAGCATTTGAGGATCGCACCGACTTGTTGCGTTGTATGATAATAGGACCAGAGAATACACCTTATCAAGATGCTCCGTTTGTCATAGACTGGATGCTCGACTCAAACTTCCCACAAAGTCCGCCCATTGCGCATTTTCTGAGCTGGACGAATGGGAATGGCAGGGGTATGTCGTCTCATTATACACCGCGTGATGCAAGACTTATTCACTTTTTTTCGTTCAGTAAATCCGTAAGCATAGCTCACCCAACGTACATAGCGTATAACCTATGTATTGACACACTTAACAGAAATTTATACGAGGAGGGTAAGGTGTGTCTATCGATATTGGGGACATGGGCGGGGGACAAAAACGAAACTTGGAGTGCATCAAGATCATCATTGCTGCAGGCTTTCGTTTCTATCCAAGGTCTTGTCCTCGTAAAAGAGCCGTGCGTTGATCATCTACTTTGTTTTGTCATTTATTCACGCCTCCGTTTGGTTCCTCAGCTGGTTCTGTGAACCGGCATACGAGAAGCTGAGAGGCACAGAAGAAGGAATTGTCAATAGGTGAATCTTGGATTGTGTTCTGCCCGACTATCATCAAGCCTGACGCTACCTTGTATCAGTCGACTTTACAGCGAGAAAGCATATGTCTTGTCCCGCGGTTTTGTGCGTCGCGCGCTGGAGATCCCCCTTGGTGGGTTGGAAGCGGAGATTCGCTGGTTCTATTACATAAACGGAAAGCTGAAGAAAGTGTTGGATGATGCGCGCGCATTGATTGAGAAGAGCAAAGCTTCAAAAGATGATACAGAGGCAGACGGGGATGTAGCCGTACCCAGGCTCACAGGTGGTGGAATGATTGCCTTGGAACGGACACTATTGAAACTGCAGACGGTACTGGATGCAAATCTGCACCAGTCACAATCACCACAGCTTGTATAGGGGTACACCACAATTAACAGGTCAGCGTACGATGGTCACCTATCACGAACCTTTCGTTGTTTTACTACAGCAGTCATTGTCGACAACTTTATCGGCGCCCCCGCAGGGGGCTGAAAGTTTATTGTATGTGCACCAACGTATCTGTCCATTTGAATTTGTGCGCATGCCAATTCAACACCGCAGGCCGTGTTTGGGGTCACAGAATTTCACAGCACGGCTGAGCACCGACGAATATCCTAGCCACAGGTGAACAATACTGATCAAAGCAGAGGAATATCTATCCGGAACCAACTACAACGTATAGCAATGTCACTAAAGCAAAGGCGAATGAAGGGTCGTCAGCATTGGTTTAGCCAGCTATTCCCAGGGAATGGCTGGCCGAAATCGCCCGTCCATGTCGTAAGGTTTGGATTTGTATATGCTTCGATATACCTACGCCCGAGTGATCAGTTGGGTGTGCAAATACATGATTGAGGAGACAACGCACTCGTTGATATATGCAGCGGTTGGGAAGTCCTCAGGGTCGCATCCGATGTTGATATTGTCCGGATCCTGATACACACGCACGTAATCCACACGCATCACGGCCGGAAAAATAAGCCCGGCAAAGTCAACAGGGCCGAAATTGAGCGAGATCCCCAAGTTCATAATGAGGTACTTAAAGAAGTCCGATGATAATTTCAAAATACAATAAGCTTTTGGACAATGGAAGAAATATACCACATACCATGGGTTCCTGAGGCACCGGGCGTGCCTGGATCTGGGTATAATTGTCGGCACCCATCCCTGCAACATCGAGCGTCCAGGCAATACTGTTGTCAACAATCCACGTTATATACTATGGAACGGCGATTAGTTTATTTGACACAACGGAAAATGGTACGAATCTCACGGCGTCGTCAAAACCGGGCTGATATTGAATTCCATATATAGAGTATCCTCCACCATTGTTTTGGTATGCGGTTTGATCTGGTATTATTATCATGAAAAAATGAGCTTTGCACGTTTGCAGAGTGTCTCAAGCATGCTGACCTGTCCAAGAAAGTGCCGATGTTACTTGCTGATAAACACCACCAGCGTAGGGATTCAACTCCGATACCGATGAATTGCCAATCTTATAGTTTTCAGTGGTGTTGAGCCAGTGATATTCGTAGTTGAACGGCTGTTCATGACATAGGTCAAAGATGAACAATGATATCCCGCCATATCACGAAATTGCTCACCGCCCATTGACCTGACTGCGAGACTTGACCGCGGGAACCCGACACCTGTCAAACCGCAAACGTGGGTACATGCCAAAATTAGACAGAGTGAGCGAGATGCGCACCAACGCCTCAAAAATATCAATTTCCGGGGCAGAACGGCCAACGAAAGTCCCGTCGGAATGCATGGGTCCGGGATGTGACGAGCCAGGACACGAACAGCGAGAAAGCCGCTGGCCAGGGAGGAACGAGAGCACACCCCCGTGTGTAGGATCACCGTTGATAGTGGCGTACTGTGGTACACCATCCTTCGTCTGGTTGGCTACGGTCCCAACGTCGCATGTATCGTAAGTATAGGGCCACTGCATAGCAGAAATAAATACGGAAACAAGCGAATCACAGCTATCAATCTCACCGTGCCATCGAGACTTGCACCATAGCCGGCTCGACCTAGATTGCCCATGGTCCAGATGGCAGGCCAAAGTCCAAGAACATTGTTCGACCCAGGAAGAGATACCGAGACTTCAACCATCCCGCCAGTAAAGCAGAACTTATTCCATGTCGTCATCATACCGCTGATGTAGTTTAGATTGTTCTTTGGCTGGTTCGTCATGCTGATCTCTAGGGAGCCATTACGAGTGGTAATAGCAGTGGGATCGAGCCATTCCAAGTTGTTCGTTTCCCAGTAATGTAAGTTTAGGGCTTCCCAATATGGATCATCCCCTGGCCAGAAAGTTCGCCCTTCGACGTTAAACTCGTCGCTGAACACGAGCTGCCAGGATTTGCCTTGCATCCAGTCCGCTTTCTGGTGCGCACTCTGGGGAGTATCTTTGTCGATAAGACCGTAGTTACCAGTCATGGAAGGTATTTGCCCTGACGCATTCATTCCACCGATATTGAAGCCACCTGCGTTAGACAGTTGATGCGAGGTGAAATAACTAATCAGCGGATACCCGGCACTGAATGAATGGCAAGTGAATCATGAGATGAATATACGTGCACGAAGGAGCGAAGGAGCGTACAAAAGCGTAACCATTCCGACACCAAGTATCAGCAAACAACCCAGGTTTGTGATACCTCGATAAGTGAATATGTTTCCGCCTTGATCGTTCTTGCGGTCTCTCCGTGGATCAGGATTATGGAGAAAATCATCGCTCTCTGGATGGTCAGGAGAGAGATCGGCTCCCCATGACGATGGGTCAGGAGAGAGAGAGAACTGAGGAAAGTCTAGTCAGCGATATGCCTTGTCCGTGTAGAGTTTGCAGACCTTGTCGGATATCGAGGGGGGGATGGATCCGGGAATGCCAGACGCGTAACGAGACTCGTTCTGACGCGCTATTAGCACGTCGGAATGTCAAGAGGTCGAAAAACAAATGGTACCAGAGAAGCATCACTAGCCACACTACGGAGGGATTGGTGCTGGGCCCGCACACCGGGAGCGGGTCTTGACTGTGGTGACAAAAGATTGGTAGTTGAAGGAGAGTCGGGTTGTATGTAGCGCCTCTGGTGGTTGGGGCCAAGTGCGGCCATGGCTGGCGAGAACGAAGCAAGAGGCGACGGAAGGGTATAGGATGAGGTAGACTACGGAGAAAGAGACCGACGAGTGTATTGTACATAGACCGTCTGCGAGGGAACCGCCGCCACCACCCCCCAGCAACCACCGTCGCCGACATTCCGCTTCCATCTCCGACCCGTTTCAGCCGCGAAATAACAATTTCAGATAAAGCTCCGCTTAAATTGTCGACCACTAATCGTGGCCCTGGGAGCATATCGTCTCGCTCGACGCTCCCTTTCCAGCAGCTGCAAGCTGTGAGCCTGTGACTGAAAACAGCATGACTGAAACATAAACAATCCGCGAATGACACGACACAGCCAGTCCGTCGTGTCATGTCCAAATTTTCAATTCCCTCATAAGTACTAACGGCGTCCACTGTGGGAGGACTTCTGTGTTGCATGTGGAACATACATATGGCGCCTATAGACATATAGGTCCAAGCCACACTGTGTACCATCGCAGGATACTATGGTGTCGATCCGCGCATCGTTCCCGTGTGATAACGTCCTTCGCGCAGCAAGGACTGCAATAACGAGCTCCGGGCGGTGAGATGCTAGATACTATTCAGCTCCTTTGGATAACTATCAGCAGAGTGTACTAGAGTGTACAAGACATAGTAGACCGGCTGAGATGATACCTTATAGTGAATATCACAGACCTGCAATTCATCCTGCTATACTCAAGGGCCTTGAAAAGCGAACTGCAGACCTCATTTTCCGTGATATTATCACTCATTCCCATTTTGCAAGTCATGTCCAAGCTCTATACCGGCACCATCCAGTAAGGCCAGAATACCGCCTCTCTGCGCTACCATTCCAATTTGGTGCATTTGCCGAACGGCTCTCTCCACGCGAGCGAGGCCTGTCTTTTCGCCACCTTCGCCACCTACCTCCAATCCCCTTTCGGCCGCCATCTCATCGATAATTTTCAAGCGTTCAAGGACGGCTTCATTAGCGCGCTGTACTGCCTGCTGTCCCAGGTTTGTTTCCGAGGTAGCGAAACTCTCAGCACTCGGTATCTGAGATTTAGGGACGAGTTCATCAAGCAGTTGACCTTTGTGAACACGGTAATTGTCGCGGCTAGCGATCGGAGGGTTTGCCACCAAGATGTGAGTTGTCTGCTGGGAATCAGACAGCATAGCACCACCCCCTGCTCCCATATGCCAGGGAGGCTCCGGCAGCAAGGGTACCGTATTCTTGTCAACGTATTTCTCCAAAGCTATTAGGGCATCTTTAGCTTTCTTCATTTTTTCGCGCTTGGAAGGACGGCCTTTCTTTTTGGGTAAACGCGAATTCTGCGACATTGATGGCACGCCGGTAAGGGCAGCAAAAACAGCTGATTCCTGACCTTCTGGTATGAAGATTTCACGAGGCAGAACGGACGGATTGTATGGGCGTAAGGAAGAATGAGGGAGAATATGGAATGCTCGAGCATCAAGAAGGACTTTAAGGGTGTGATTGACGTAACCACGCAGCGGACGCAATTCAACTTCCGAGATATGATGTGGCATAGATAGCAGAAACTTGTGGTGATCTGAGGGATTATAGCATGAGAGCTTGGGACCGGTATACACAGGTGCGAGAGCGCACCAATCGGAATACCAATATGCTTGATACTGTGCAAGGCAGGGTTCGTGGTGGAAGGTTGCGTTAAGTAGAATGTGTATAACGCGAAAAGCGATACGATGTTAGCTAACGAAATCTTAGTTGCGACCGCACGCTCTAGTCCAAAGTATTCACTTCTCGTTGAACGCAGGGCTCCTGTGGTCGGACGCACCTAAAAATAGTCTCTCCGTCACAGCAATGAAAGACTCGCGCGCACGAGCATCGAACACTTTGAAGTGAATCCAGCACCATCCCTGTTGCGTCCAAATTCGTTTGAAAAGTTCGAACGGCTGGGGCGGGGGCGGAGTCCGGAGATACTGCTCGGAGAAGACTGAGATCAGAGTTTGTATATCCTGACGTAGGGGTTCTACATATAATGAAGAAGTAAAGTAGGAAGGCTGGAGGGTGATCTCTCCGCGATTTGTCGAGGGGGCTGGAGCAGTCGACATCAGCCGAGATGGATGCCACAAGTGAAATTCAGACTCGGGAGTCGGTTCATGCTAAGTTCGTTGTGGCGAATCGCCCTTCGGCTGCAAACATGCGACAACGACGCGGGCGCGTCTCGCGTGATGTCGCGTCCAACCGTTCTCACCTCCGACCTCACCTCCGGCCTACACCTCCTACCTACACCTCCTGCCTCGCCCCCACAATGGCGAAGCTCTTTAGGTCGAACAGCACTACCACCTGCTTTTATTGTCAATCTGCGATTGTTCCGCCTCCCCGAAATCTTCATTCTTTTCGGTGTCCGCACTGCGACTGCTGGAACCGGTACGATGCTCGAGGAGAAATCGTTTCAGACGAGCCTGCAATGCACGACGAGACCCTAAACTCACAGTCATTTGCAAAGCGAGGTATGTTCCTTATGGCATTGCTAGAGTTGAGGCACCTTACCCTCATCAGCGTCTCCAAGGAAGGACCGTCTACCCAGTGTTTATGGAAGTGGAATGTTCTGTCATACATGTCAGACAAATCAGATGCTCTTGTCAAATTTATTGTCCAGTTACCTTCCTCCTCCAGATGTTCGTGTTTCCCTGCCTCGTGCTCGCTTCAATCGGCCGTGCTCAATATCCTCTTGATTGGCACATGTTCAGGATCTTGAGTATGAGCAGCGTGCTGCTCTGCTTCCAGAATACAAACGGTCTATCGAAGCACGCTATCCTCCAATTTGTGCAGATTGTGCGCCTGCAGTGGAAGAGGAGATACGCAAGCGCGATCATATGGCCCAAACCCGAGCTCTTGGTGCTTTCCTACGCGAAAGCAATCCCACCAGGCGCAATACGACACAAACACAGTACGAGAAGGATCGACTGTCCCGCGAGATTGTATTATGGAGAATACGAGGAGTTTTATGGATGGCGTCCCTCTTTGGCACATTAGGAGCGCACTCAGCGGGTGAGTAATTTATGTTTCGTGTTGTCTCATTACTTGACCTAGACATTGTATTCCTAGTCGCATCTGGTTATTGGACAACTCCCATTCCGGGTTATTGGAAGATAGCTCTCCCTTTGATAACTTCTCTGTCTCTGTTATGGACTGCATGGGACCCAACATATGCGTCGCTTAGAAAGGCCCAATTCCAAGGTCGAGCCATACGCCAACGCGGTAAAAAAGAATACAACGTAAGGAGTACCTTGTGATCGTGATCGAGGACGTGGTGTTGACTGTCTTCATTAGATTTTACAATTTGGAGCCTGGCTTGCCAGATGTCTCACATCATCAATATTTGTCTGGTCCTGGTATAAACCCGATTGGGTCCTGTCGCCTTCTTCAGTGAAAACATATAGTTTTGTCTCGTTGGGATTTGAACTGCTCGTGAGTGCCTTATTTCGACTAATTTCTATATCTCATTTATTGTAAGCAATAGATCGTGGCCTTTTCATGCCTGGTCCTGCGTTTAGAACGACCACCACCAGTTCGATTGGCAACAGACCCGTCTGGCAGCCTTGCGGCCTTAGCATCTGCACCCGCATCTCGCAGCATTACGCCAACTGTCGAATCTGATCTTCTTGCTCCTCTCACATTATCACAAAAGCCTTTCACGGTTGCACCCCCACCAAGTGCGTCGACGACGGCTCCTATATTTGGTTTACCTTCTTTGACCACTGCTTCTCGATCGTCATCCGCCCCTCCTCAAACGGATGTTTTCACTTCGATGGAGATCGAGGATGACGATGACATTCATGGCTTATCCTCTCACAAGGATCCCAATGCCATGGATTGGTCTCCAATTCGCCCGTCCTCGTCACGAAACATAAACAGTCGCTTTGGGCAGGATTCTGATGGCGGGCTGCTTCGTCCACAACGGTTTTTCGCACCTGAAGAGCCAACCGGATTAGAAAATCTCTTCGCGGAGACTATTAATCTGGCTGATGATAATGAGCTCGGGGACGCGCAAGTTGATGGGTGCAAATCAAAGCCCGTTCAACGTCAGTCATTAGCCTCTAAGTTGGGGTATGGATGGTTAGGCATGCTCATTATCCCTATAATAGCGGTAGTGTATACCACTTGGATAGCTAGGTGGAAAACGGTATATACAACATCATAATATTGGTTTAATATTTTGATTAACGTGAGGCTTCTTGTGGACCGTTGCTGTACGGCTGAATATCGGCTGCCCCTTGTCAGTGTCGTGTCTGCCAACATGCATGATTTAGATTTTTTTTCAATATACGAAAATTATAACAATTCTTACCTGTTCCGCTTCGAAAAACCGCATCAGGCCTTCGTAAACCCATAAAGCTGCCGCGTTCGATGGAAATGCGCGGATAAAACAAGGGCCTAATCCACGATAGAACCCTCTGACCCCCTCGGTGGCCAGTATACCACGGGCGACAGCCATGAAAGACCGACGAGGGAGCGAAAGTGAGGCCGTCATCATGCGACTGAAAAAAAATAATTAGATACACATATATCTCAAAGAGGCGGGGCGAAATTACTTTTTGACGTTGTCAGCTGGTATGGCCATGATCCAGTAGGCAAAAGCGCCCAAACCACCAGAGAGGAAATTAGCAGCGGGAGTGCTGATCTATAAGACATCAGGTGCAAGCATAACTGGACAAATCAATATGAACCTCGTATCGCGTCCCTTTCAGCTGTGAGAACCCTCGCATCAATCCCTGCGCCGGGGTCAGACTAAAGCCGCGTAGTTTTGCAGGAGGCAACCCTACCTCGAATGACAGAAACATCCAAAAAAAATTGCTACGGAATGCTAGACTACCCGTGAACCCCGACCACAGCCCTGAGACGCCTTGGATGTGCATGACTTGCCGAGCACAATCTATCGGACCCTTGTATTGTCTATCTGTAACGGATCGTTGTAGCTGCATCTGCAATTTAACTGTCCAAAGGTAAGTCTAATGTGCGGTGGCGGATGGGCGCAGCCCTGACCTTTCAACAGTTCCATAGGAGTAGCTACTATAGCACTGTGAACGGTCAGCACAATATATGTTGGGACGTGGTCGCGTCTACCTAGTCAATCCTGCACAAAGACCTGCTAAGCCATGACCCAGCAAAGTAAGCCGCCGGGTATCGCTTCCTGGGACATGTTCCGTCATGTTATGGCGGATGAGAAACAACCGATAGTTATGTAGAGAACCCATAAGAACGGAGTCTATTGCGGCCCAGCCAACCGCAGGGGGGGTCGCCCCTTTGTACAATGCGAAGACAGACTGAAAACAACGACACTTCAAAATCCAACAATTCAGCTAGAACAGGAAAGCATACCTCATTCCGCACAGTTCGTAGAAGACAATCAACGGCACTTCGGTATGTTCCCGGGGGAGAACACTGCAGACGTGTCTTGATAGTATCGAAGCTGGAGATAATTGATGATAAGGCTCGATCTCTGTGGAATGAGGCGTCAGTGCATTCCTAAAAATGGGTCCAGGGAACAGACCGCACCGACTCGTTATGTGACAGTCACATACCCGTGTCCTACAGCAACCTGTCGAGATTCTTCCGTTGAGTTGATGGCAAGAAAGAACTAAGAACTCTTACCTTCGTCAAACCTTTACGTTGAGGTTGCTATAGATTAATCATACAAGTTCAACGCCGGGCATCTCGACTGCTCACCGCTTCCAGTGCCCGCTATCGCTCCTACAAATCGTAGATGTCCGTTGTCCGTATGATCCTGTGCCATGTCAAGAGCTGGTGCCACTGCACTCGATGGAGTATGGGAGCTCCTTGATCGAGGGGACGAAGCAAGCGAGTACTACGTGCCGAGCTGGGCGCGAGCAGTGTGTGTCCAACCAATCGTGAGTCACAGCTGTTATAAGATTTACATAAGGCGCAAAGTTACAGAGTCAGAGGAACGGACGGTTCATCGCAACCTGGAAAGGGCGATTATTAAAGACCAGAGAAATAATCAGAGTCGAACAACTCTTGACAGCTTGGCGCGGCACCGCCAGAGGCTAAAGCTGGCCATCAACGTTTTGGATAATGTTCAACTGAATTACATGTAGAATCGAGATCATAGCACTAGAACAGCCCGTACATGATACCTCAAGTAAGTTAGATATCCTGCAACCGTCTCGGGCGAGTTGCGTGTTGGGTCTCGACGATGCACTGCCGCTGGCATGTGATCGTGAAGTGGTTCTCATTGCTCAGAAGCGCTCAAGATCTCTCACAGCATCTCCTCATGTGCTATCTGGCCCCTCTCCTCACCAGCATTGCTTAGCTTGAGCTGGCCCGTCTCCAATTTCTAGCTTCGAGCTCTCTTTCCATGGAGGAATCCGTACCAGATGGGAAACAGTGTCGGATATGCTACGACGGGGAGGACCCTGAGCTAGGCCGTCTCATAAGACCATGTCTCTGCAAAGGGTCCATTAGCGTACGTGATTCGCCCGTGTCTCGTGTTTAGCTCATGATTTGTGTGCGAAATAGCACGTACATGTCAAATGCCTTCAGCGTTGGCGCAACTCTTCTGCAAGTCGCAATGCATTCTACTCGTGCCCTCAGTGCGGATATAACTATCATTTTGCCCGCACCCGTGTTGTAGGCATTGCAACGAACACAGGTAAATCCAGAGAATACTATCCATACTTCCTATTTTTGATTTCCATTCTCAGTTGTCGTCGCCACCGTCTCCACCTTTTTCTTCACCGTACTGGTCCTGTGTAGTTCATTCATCACGACTACGTTACTGTCGGACGACGGAGAGACATCGTATTTATACGGATTCCACTCCCCATTTGATACCATCCAGAATCTTGTCCGTGCGACTATCCGTATATTTGTTGACGATAGCCTGCTCGACGAGTCCGTCTTGGGCGGCTCCCGGTGCTATCCAATGGCTACCAATGTCCGTCCCCTGGGAAAGCCTCCTGGCTTGCTAAAGCGTCTTGTGGGTCGTTTCTTGCTCGGTTTGCCTGTAGTAGGAGCGGGCTCGATAGCACATATGCTATTTTCTGTGCCCCTACCGTTCCACTGGGTCAGATTTCGTGCAAATAACCGAGGACGAGAATCTAGAGATGTCGTCACGCTGCTAGTGGTCGCAATGGTCTTAATGGGTGCCGCGAGGTAATTGAAGTTCTTCGGTTCCCATAAATCAGCAGTCCTTCTGATCCAAGGAATATTCCAGAGCACTTTACAAAGTATTCCGACTTACCGAAGGGTTGGCGAAGCGATTGTTGTTGCGTGCTGAGGACGCAATTTTGGAGGTGGCTTAATTTTCTCGTAATCAGTCTGCTTGTCACTCAATATCCTCAACGTCCGTGTCATTCATATCGTGGATTGTACCATATCAATCTTTGGACTTTAGTTGTGAATCTATACATATATATCCTTATCCTAAGTACAATCATCATGAACATATATTCGTGCTCAAGCACTATATCAACGTTGGCTACCAATTTCGCCGCAGCTGACGCTTCAAATTTTCGTAAGCGGCTTTTGTTACTGTCCGGCTTGGCTCCAGCTCGGCGAGATACTGATCAATTGCCTGGTCTATCCGGTACACAGGGAACTCTCCTCGCGACGCAGCAGATTGCGGCCGTTTGGCCTCTTCTATCCAATCCGTCAATAGCACAGCGATATCGGAAGATATCGCCTGCACATTTGCTTGTTCGTTGAATGGTGGCACCTACGAAGACAATGAACAATCCCCAATGCCACAAGTAATAATTCATGTGTACCTGAGACTCGTACATCTCATAGCAAATATCCCATATTTCGGGATAAGGCACGCCACATTGTGCCAAAGCACGGGGCGCCCATCCGTACGGTATAGCTCCCTTACGAGTGAGGCCAAAGCGTACGAGCAGCGAGGCAATATACCCTACGGGGCAGAACCGATTTAGGCACGGAGGTAGACATGCTGACGGGAACTTACGAAGGGGAAAGGCACTCTCAGAAGGATAAAAGCGCTGCCCTAGTGGCACCACTTGCGATATGATTCGGTCAGTGGCCGTCTCTGGCTCACCACCATTGATAGCTGGAGTACTTGTTATCAACATCCCGATATTTGTACAAATATCTTACCATCTTCGAAAATTTTGTTCCAGATTGGTCGAGCAATATTCTCATCCCGATGCTCTGAGACATGGAGGATAAGAAGTTTGATGATTGGCAAATCAAACGGCTCGGCGTATTCTTGGTATAGCTATACAAAACGAATTTGTTTGAGAGTGAAGCGGGGTAGGGCAGGAATTCTTACCTCTGTGATATTCATGAGGCCTGTCGACAGAAGCTGCACCTTTTCACCAATTTCTCCCGGCTCGTTGATTCTAGGAATCAAAGTATTGTACAGCTCAAATTGAACCTGTGCAACCTCAAGCTTCTCTTCGAGGTCTGTTAGGAACGCAATCGCAGTTTCATGTCTGCCGCCGGCGGATACTGGATGTGACTTTGCATTGCCAATTGCCAATGTCAGGTACTCCAGACGCGTGCCAAGTGACAAATTGAATCTGTAAAAGTATTCGAAGCACGATCTTGGATTTTTTTTGGGGGGGGACGTGGACTCACTCAGTCGACTCTGCCAAAGCCCCCAATACCTCAGCCGCTCGAAGGGACTGCCCATCTTTGACGTAAAACTGCCACAATAGTTGGAATTTCTGAACGGTTACAGGAGGACGTCTCAGGTGCGCTTCAAGATACACCGGGCGCATCTGCAGGACAATTATCAATTTCAAAAAGTTGAAATGCAGGACAGACACGAACCTCCAGGAGTTCATCCGCCATGTTTCTTTTTATTAGCCAATCGTAGAGGGAAGAATGGAACATCTCGTCCTCGTTGTCGAACGCGAGTTCGTACGCATGACTTCTGACACGCTCGGGGTCCTCAATAGTGAGGCCGGATGAAGACGGGTGCTTCGCTTGTGCAGAACGCTCTTCAAACACTGACAGAGAATCGAGGACCAGCTCGTAACAATGAATCCGCCGTTCCCAGGAACTTGATCTAGAATCATTTGCAGGACACCCTGCGATCCAGTACTCTTGACCCTGACCATCAGCATCGTATACCTTGGCGCAGTGTAATGGTAGCACAATTGCGCCTTGATTCGACAACCACACTAGATCAGCAAAAGATGCTGTAGCCAGCGCCGCACAACGAACCTTTCGCATAATTCAGCTGCTGATAATCTCCACAGATTTCGCGGAGCTTTTCGAATTCGACATTGCGGGAGCCTTTCATAAACAACCTACGTTATCGCCGTGAGTTTGTTAAGCATCTGAACTAATTCATATGCTTGCCTCAAGGATTCCGCAAGCCAAGACTGACGTTCGGCAGGGTTTCTGGTTTCGACGGCTTTACGCACATTTTCCCGCGCCTGGATTTATTCCATTTCAACAGTTGTACCAGTCTCCGCAGTCATTCAGGAAGGTACACACCTTATATAACATGACATCGTCTGTACTGCAGAAGGAGCCACATCGCTGCTGCAGAACCTCGCTGATCGTGTCAACCTAAGACAGACTGTTGAGTGAGAGCAAGTGTCTCAGGAGAACTCTGCTTACACTGATCTGCTGACCTATGTGCTGGTTTATCACAACATTTACCAAAGCGCGGGAGGCAGTGACGCCTTTATCATCGGTGACTAGGTCTTCAAAGGTCATGGAAGTAGCAATTTGCTGTATAGCCGGCTCGCATCTGTATCATGAGTTTTGCGGCGCGGAGAAAGAAATTTATCTTACTGCCTGATCAATTCTCCTAATTGATGATCACTCAGAAGAAGTACGAAAGAAATAGCTTCTACTGTTCTCGCCAAGAGATCCAGCAGCTGGGAAACCGAGCCATGTTCGGCCTAAAGGATAGAACACGTCGGTTCATAACGGATCTTGACTAGAGTAAGCCTACCTTCCAAGCCTCGAGGTCGCTACTGGTTCCTGACCTCCCGGCGGCGTAGTCGCCAGGGATAGAATGGAACAAGTGAGGATTTGCATCAAGTAAATCTTTCAGAGCGTGTAGATTCCTCTGAGCGGCAATCAAAATACTATCCTGTACATTTAGATCATGTAGTCCCGCCGCACTGCGATGTACAAGGGAATATTGAAGCATCAGGACGGCGATAGTGAGAAAATATCGATACTCGTACTTGGTTTTTGTAAGCTTGGCCTTCCAAAACGGTCTGACCAAACGAGCAAAGTACAGGGCAAAGCCCTCTCGTCGACCACTAAATATTGCAGTTCCAGAGCCTTCACCTATAAGCCTGTCAGCTATGCATAGCCATATTACCCAGCAATACCGACGTACTCGTGCCATATGTTACTCGCTCAGCCCACATAGGTCGCTCTCCGAAGTCATAAAACGCCTGCTTCGCTACCATCGCTATCTCGGGACCAACAGTTCTGATAGAACCAATGGAAGCCTGTTCGCCGGCACTCAAAAACGTATTACCACCAGCAATCGCAAGGAGCATAGCGCATGTCTGATCTCGCCCAAAACTATGGATAATTAGCCTTCGTTCTACTATCGTATTGCACGATGCACCTATCTCTGAATTCAATCAATGGTTGTGCGTTACCTTCGACTTGAAATTCCTCGATTACATCTTTGAGGTAATCAAGAGCCCTTCTCTTCGCCAAAAACGTCAGCCCAACATTGGTTAATATCATAAATTGTCTTGTCGGCTCAGATATCTGGTATGCAAGTTCATTTGTGATAACGGGAACCGGGAGATTCGAGGGCACAGATGTTGTCGAGAGGTCTACGGGACGTGGCACGAGCGCCATCGCCCATGTCCGACCAGGGATGGCTAGTAACGCTGCGTTTTCCGTCAGAGGCGGTCGACTTGGGCCAGGTACCATAGAATATGATGTAGTCGCGAATTGGGAGAGCTGCAACTGCGACGGTGCTCCATGAACTTGTCCGAGCGAACCGACTCTAGTCAGATCGGGGGATATGCATAATACATAATCTGTCCCATCAACATCGGCAGGCTCAGCAGCCACAAGAAGACCGGCGTCGTAACATGAATTCTCCAGATTAGACACAACATACGGCCGGGAAGTCAATTGTTGCGAAGCCTGCGCGATGCTGTAACCTGTGGTTGTTGGTCGATGCGGGCCGGATTGCTCGTCTGGATGTAACAAATTGGGTGGGGGGAGCCGTACATGCGTCAATTGCAGGGGGCGAATAGCACTTTGAGCTCCACCTCCGACCATGAACCCTTGGTTGAACCCTGAGCTTGGAGAGAAGTAAAGACGCACTGCATTCGCAGTGATAGCCATGAGCTGAACTCCTGAACGAGATTCATTCTGGTCAATGATGTGCAAGGCGATTATCTGGAATTTCTGAGGAGTCAGTGCAGGTGACCCAGGTGCCTTATCCTGAGCAGCTTTATACAGGTTCGATAACGTATGCACATGCTGCACGCTTTTATCACCATTCGTTTTGTAGATTGAAACGGTGTTGTTGGCAGTCAGTGTATAAAAGCAGCCCCGTGATGTGTCCGAGACCACCGTAATGATACGATCTGCGGCCGAATTAAATAAATAGCGGGTACCAGTGTAGTGGCTTACCTTCAGGCCTTGGTGCACTGAGTCGAGGGATGAGGCTTTGGACACCTCCAACAGAATGATTGAGCATGTGCACTCGCTTGCCGAACCACCCCTCCTTTTCTTGGTAGTGTAGCTCGTACAGGCAGCCATCATGTACACCACACATGAAAATACGACCTTCCTGTGTCCCAATGACCGAGGTCATCTCCACGTCAACCGAGACTGTCATATCGGTGGCATAAAGCTTGATATCTTTATGCGTTCGACTGTTGGCTCCAGTGGCGGGATTGACAGATAAACCGATCAAAAGTACAGAGACCGGAGTACATACGACGAGGAGGAATGTAATTTCATCAATGAAGACACCGGCCTTGGGCCTGACGAGTGCCACATGTGTAATAACGTCGGGCTGGTCTACATATGAGCTCAGTTCTTGGCTGAATTAAGTTAGAATTCAGAAGAGAGCGGTGAGAAACCCTGACGTACCCTTCAATGTAATCCCACAGGAACAGATTATGATCAATGGTTATCCATACACGTTCGATTTCGGGCATCAGCCCCATATGTGAAGTCACGCTTGTAGCTGAACAGACGTTAATACCAGAATGACTATGACTCGCTGAACATACTATTGTAGTATTGAAATAGGGCATCTGGGATTCCAACCAGTCTCCTTTTCTGGAATGGAACGCGAAAGTCGTCGGGGAAAACGCTGTAGGACGCAGACGAAGGAACGCCAGCTGAGTTGTTTCAGTATAGGCCAATTGATTTCCACTTGGAGAGCACATACGAATCGTAAGCATATCATTTAACTCCGGGATTATCTGTGCGTCTTTATTTAGCTGGTCCTGTAAAACACGGCTAGCATTCTGTAGAGCATGTAGGTCTAGTGTTGGAAGAACTTTGGATGTCGGCTGTACTTGATTTTGGTCGCCTGACAGGTTCATAGGACGGTTCGAGGACGATGCTCTCGGTGCACTAGCAGAGACCATGTTTTCCGCAGTAGCCAGAGGATCCCCACGTCGTCGTGAATGGAGACAAAAGTGAGTTGGACACCGATCACAACTCGTAAAACGGCGCGTCTTGTCTTCTCGGTCACGTGGTGTCGACCTCGATCGGTTTCGCCGTTTCAGACATTCAACTGCTCGATTGAAACGTGGAACAGCACAATACCCACGCCTCCACATCTTACTACCTACTCAGCTTAGTTCATGTTTCAGTTTTATTTCTTGCTCTTTGTTTCTTGATCTCCCTTGAATACTTGGGCACTTGGATTCCCGGGATCATTCTTTCGCAAGGTCCTTTCAGCATGACACACCTACTCTACTCCGCCATTCAGAAAGCCATCATATCCACCATTAACCGGCCGGACTTCGAAGCTGCTCTTCCACCTCTCTCTGACAAGACATGGCTCAAGCTTCTTTCCACAACCCATCATTCCAGACAAGAGAACGAGCGCCTCGAGTTCCTTGGCGACGCTCTGATGTACGCCACCATAGGACGCGTACTATATGCTCAGATACCTGATGGGACGCCCCACTTATACACAGTACGCCTTAGTTAATGATTTCGCTTGTCTTCTGAGCACACTTCAGCTTGTTATCTATCAGAACGTTAGAGCTGCTCTTCATTCCAACACCACATTCTCACATCTTGCAGAGAGGTTGGACATTCTTGCGGTCAGCGGCTCCGTGTTGCGTGCTTTAACGACTAAGAGGTTTGGAGAGGGAGCTTCCATTTCTACGATGAAATCAAAGCCTCAGATCAAGGCAACGGCAGACCTGTTCGAAACTATCATTGGAGCGTACTACCTAGAGCGCGGTTTCGAGTCGCTCTGTGGCTGGGTTCAGGGGATCTATAAGCCTTTAATTTTAGTTGCAGAAGCCTCATTTTCGAATTTGTACGATTTTTTCCCGCTTCTGTCGTAGCTTCTGATTTTATTTCTCTTTAAGCCGACCGATACCAAATAAACAGAAGCGGAAGAGGGGTCATGACGTGGAGCATCGTCCACGATTAGTGAACCCTCGTAAGAAGCCGCGACTAGTACAGTCGACTTCCACGTCAAGGAATCGACCTCCAGACTTGAGATTTGGCTTGCTTCGGTCCCCTCAGGTGAATGATGAACACGGTTTGTATTACGCGTACTGTCGTCCTCAACTCGTTCTTATGATTTTGTGATTGCGATTGCGGTTATTATACCAGGGACTAGGCCTCATATTCTCCCCCCCGCCGCCCCTCATCCCTCCACGACCAGACTGGCAGGTACAGCTGCACCGATCGTGATAGACTTGACTTTAGCGTCCGACTCTAGTGAAGATGAGGGGACCACCCTGGACATTTTGCCCAGAAATCATGAAACTTGGGCTCTCTCATCAAGTATGAGACGGTTTTTGGTGGAAGCGTCGCCTCAAACACAGGAGGATTGCAGTTCGGATGATGAGAGCACGTTGGAACAAATGCTCGTAGTGGTTGAGCCGGACTCGGACTAGGTAAGCTTTTTGAGAGCAGGAGGCCATGTAGATATAGTATCGTTATAATGATACAATACCTTGTAATTGTCTCGCGGCAGCGCGGCTGTCGAACACCCTGCACTAGTCTCGTACTAGAAGCTTGCGCTGAACCTACACTACGTATACGGATAATACGGTACTTGACTCATTGTGCAGCATAACTGCGGAACTATATTCACGTGACTGACGCGTTCTGTAACGCCCCGTGACTGACGCGTTCTATAACATCGCGCGTTATTCAACCGCCACACGTATTTCTTTTCCAAGTTCTGTTCACGTTGTTCGACCTTTCTGTGCACTATCCACAGGCGGCCATGCCGCTCACCAAGCAAGCTCCAACGCGTCAGGCAATTACACTCAAAGGTTCTACTAATCTAGTCACCGAGTTTTTCAAATTTGCCGCCAACACGTCCGTTCACGCCACTCGATACATGGACGTCTGCTGATGACATAGCAGAATATTGTTCCAGAGAGGAGTGTATCCTGCGGATGATTTTCATATGGTAAAGAAGTATGGTCAAACCGTGCTTGTTACTCAGGACCTTGCCCTAGAGAATTACTTGGACAAGTGAGTGTCGTGCTTGGATTTGTTTCGTCTTGGTGGGTGTTCACACTATAGGCTTCCCAGGATCCTCAAGCAAGTCAATAGTGAGTGTCAATAAGACTTTGCCACCGAGATTTGGGCCTGAAGCTGAGTTGCAAGCATGGCTCCTTACTGGTTCTGTGACGCAGCTCGTCCTTGCGATCATCTCGAAGGACTCTAGGACAACACTAGAGCGTTGGGTATTTGACGTCAATCTGATTGAGCCCCCCGCAGATTCATCTGAGCCGTCCGTTTGCTGTTTCAGTTCGTTTCCCTCACTGCCATGACTCATCAGTGTAATCTTTGTCGACAGAGCACCTGCCAAACCCGAGGCGGAAATTCAGGCAGAGATACGCAACATTCTTAAACAGATCGTATCAACTGTCACTTTTCTTCCGGTCATAGATCAGCCGACTGTGTTCAATATCCTTGCATACACGTCTGAATCTGCAGACATTCCCGCAGACGAGTGGGTGGATACAGATCCGTTGGCGATAGAGGCAAGTAAGAGCCAGCAGGTGAAACTGAGGAGTTTCAGCACCGATGTGCATCGAATCGAGGCGATGGTTGCCTACAGATATGAAGGATAGGAGACAGGCTCGCCAGTGCTTGTCTGATTTTTTTTGACGTGACAGATAAGGCTTTGGCGGTGATGGTGTACCGGTGGGAAGCGTCGCACGGTGCGACGTCGGATAGGGAGCCTCGAGACGGGCCTGGGACTCTGAGCTGGTAGGCAGCACGGCCGGCACGGACGTTGTCATGTTACCAGCACCATGTCTATGTAATATAGGACTTTTGTGTTCATTTGACTGTGCAACGAAATGCGATCTACAATGTCGGATCTGATTTGCATCTTGTCTTGGTACCTGCCGGCCCGGCATCGCTATGGTCACCGCCGCCCACACTTATAAATATCACGTCTCAGGTTTCCGCCCATCTCCCGCTCGTTCTATCTTCCTCTCCTTGCTTTTCTACTTCCTTGGCCGGCCACGCAGACCGTTTTCTGGTACAGGATACCTGAGCAGTTGATCTGTCTACCTCATCGTGTATGACAATGGCTGAAAACTGGTTCCGTCGCGAGTTTCTTACGCCTAGGCGATTTATTTTCAACTTTCTTTTCTATGGTCTTCAGCTCTTCTTCTTTGCATATGGGTGGTATGCTCAGGTGAGCTACTCGTTTTGTTGGTGGGCATTTTCCTCACCGCATATTGCAGGCCATAAATCAGAAGCTTGCAGCGCTCAACAGCTTAAAATGGTCCGTCTGGGTCTCTAGAGGTGCCGGTCTCGTTCTCGCGTTCCTTGCGGCTGCGCTGCATTTGCCCATGCTCCGCAATATAATCCGCATCATTCGTCCTAAAGTGGCTTTCCTCTTTCCCGCCGACGAGAACATATGGTTCCATCGCCAAGTGGCATACGCGATGTTATTCTGGACCATGGTTCACGCAACTGCGCACTATGTCAACTTCTTCAATGTTGAACTCACGCGTATGTATTGTTTCATAATTTTTATTTATTTTACGGGACATCGACATTCTCTTCCTAGAGGTTCGACAGGAATTCGCATTGGATATACACTACACTCAGGCCGGCGGAATTACGGGCCACTTTATGCTCCTGTGCATGCTTCTTATGTATACAACCGCGCACCACAAGATTCGCCATCAGTGCTTCGAAGCATTCTGGTACACCCATCATCTGGCTTTCTTCTTCTTCTTTGCGCTGTGGACCCACGCAGACGGCTGCTTCGTTCGTGATTCGGTCGCGCCTGCCTATACTAGCACCTTCCCGTTCTACAATCCGGAGTTTTGCCTTGGATACCAAAGCTGGCGATTCACCATCTGGCCCGGTGTCCTTTACTTTGGCGAGCGAATCTGGAGGGAGATCAGGGCAAGGCGCGCCACTCGTTTGTCCAAGGTCCTTGTGCACCCCAGTGGTACGTTTGTATTTGATATATACACTGGATGGTCCATTATAAATATCATAGGGGCCATGGAACTTCGTATTGTGAAACCGAGCTTCAAATATGTCGCAGGACAGTGGCTATTCATTCAAGTACCTGACATTTCTGGTTTCCAGTGGCACCCGGTTTGTACAAGTGACGTTTTCACACAATTTCAATACTGACTTCCCTTTAGTTCACCATCACTTCTGCGCCTGAAGACCCATACGTATCAGTGCACATCCGTCAGGTTGGTGACTGGACGTATGCCCTTGGTGACCGCGTCGGCGCTGGCCCTTCGGTCGTGGCGGCTATGACGAAGGCTGCTATGATGGGTTCTGAGAAGGATGACTCAATCTACGGCACACGTGGTGATTTTATTGAGCTTGATCCTACGACAAATGCTCGTCCGTTGCCAGCCGTCCGAATTGATGGGCCATATGGTGCCCCAGCCGAAGATGTCTTCAATATGGAGGTCGCTGTTCTGGTCGGCGCTGGTATTGGTACGGGGCTTTGCTCGTCCAACCCCGATGTATCATGCTCACGCTTTTGTGATTGTCAGGTGTTACTCCGTTTGCATCTATTTTGAAGCACATATGGTACCGCCAGAAGAAGGGCACCCTGCAGTCTTTGAAGCGTGTCGAGTTCTTTTGGATCTGTCGAGATGCTCCGTCTTTCGGGTGGTTCCAGACCCTACTTCAGGAGGTTGAGGCGGCTCAAGTGGACCGTAAGTGAAGAGGGCGACACTGGGTTGAAATTCTTACTGACATATTGCCCGTAGCGAACTTTTTGCGCATTAATATTTATCTTACTCAGAAGGTCGGAGAAGATATGCTCTGGAACATTGCCGTTAACGATGCTGGTTCCGAATACGATCCTTTAACTTTACTTCGTACTCGCACAATGTTTGGCCGCCCTGATTGGAAGAGCATCTATAGTCGTATGCGTCAAGCTATTGAGCTTGGCCAGTATCTTCCTGGTGTTAATGAACAACTGAAGACTAAAGTTGGAGTAAGTTGATTACTTCCCTTGAAACTATGTCTGAGCTCACCGGGTTGTTCCTAGACCTACTTCTGTGGACCTGGTGCTATTGCAAAGGCTATAAAAGAGGCCTGCGTGACTTCATCCACTCCTAACATCAATTTCACTTTTGCGAAGGTTAGTCCATTAGATTGTGAATGTTTGCGCTACTTATCTTCAAACTTCTATAGGAACATTTCTGATCGCTGTGCTCTCGCGTCGTTGTGCTTGTTTGAGGGTTGCTAGTCGTACTGACATGTAGGAATACTGACATTGCCATCTGCGGTGCCGGAAATGAAAGATAGCTGCTTAGTGACGCTGCTTGGTCAATTTAACTTATGTTGTATATCTGCGCTAATGAATGAGTGAAGTTATCCATTCCGTTTCGACCATTTGAGATTGCTGGCATAGCGGAATTAAAGTTTATGTTAGTTAGGAGTTTCGCTAAATGCCACGAGTGTCTTCCGGTAGTACAGTCGTAGAAGTTAGCTTAATGCCTGGGGTCGCCTGAGGTCGCCCTGCAGCTTGAAACTAACTTCCTGATTAGGAATTCATAGCGATGTCGCGCATCACGTGAACCGCGTTTGGTCTATCAAGTTACTGTTCAAGTTTAACAGCGCGAGTTCTGTTCCGAGTCAGGGCATGTACGACGACCGGACAGGGTCACATTATCCACAACCTCATCTTTGCATTTATGTCCGCAACTACTCCCGCTGCTTCGACCCCTGAAGGGACATCGCCAACAAATGCGACTACGACGGTCTCCGACTCTTCTATTGGTCTCACCGATCGTGCGATCATTGAATACTTGCGGAGCAAAGGGTACAAGGGAGCTGAGAAAGAATTCATTGCCGCTGTCGAAGGTGGCTCTTCTGAAGACAAGGGGAAGAAGCCGGACATCAGTGCAGCGGCCTCTGCCATTGCTCAAGACGAATTTGTTCAAGCGGAGGCGTCTCAATCTCAAAGAGCTCGCACTGGGAGCAATGCTCCCCAAGAGCATCCCGCTGTATTGCAGGGTTTAGGGAATACAAGTAACATACAAACTCTTCTAGCAAGCATCGACGACGTCGATGCTGAGGAAATTCTCTCACTCGACCCCGCCGACAAACAGGAGGGTTTTCGAGAGCTTGAAGCATGGGTGGACGGGTCTCTGGACATGTACCGAGTGAGCCAGCGTATGAACAAGAAAATTGAATTTTAATGTAACCCCGAGCAGCCTGAATTCAGACCAATTTTGTTCCCTATATTCTGCCATTTTTACTTGGACCTAGTGCAATATGGGTTTAAGGATGCCGGTGTGTTTATCTGTCTTGTTGGCATGCCTGACATCCACTGAAACATGCATTCCTCCGCAAGCAATCAAATTTCACACTGAGTTCTCTCCTTCCTTAGCGCCAATACACCACGCAACTCTACATCATCTTGCCACATTACTCCTTCCTTTTCATGTCAAAAATGACGAGCTCGCTCAACGCTTCCGCAACGAAAAATATACAATCCGGATGAGCCGCACAGGATTTAGCCTTTTAGTCGGGTGGCTAACCGAAGGTATTGGTGGAGAGGCAACCGGGCGTGGAGAAGGGTTTGCTGGCGAAAACGGGAAGAGAGGGCGGTCGGCCGTTATGAGAGTAGTCAATAACCATCTACGCTTTGATGGTAAGCCACAATTATTGTCATTTCAAGTTTCTCCGCACTCACTTCCTTTAAGTCGTATCGTCTACGACGACATCAATCTCGCCGAATGCATGGGAAGAGTCCACGGGATTTCTATCATCTGCGATACCACAAACCGATGGTACTGCAATCAACGATCCACAATCCTTTAATCAATCTAAGGGCGGGTTGAAGCTGGGCGATGCACCCATCTCGGAAGAGCTTCGAGCTGAGACTGAACGCGTTCTGAAGGAACAAGCCATGGGCAATCGTTCTCCTGGGTCGCTTCATGATCATCACCAATTTATGCGCACACCAGTCTCGTCCAGCCTTGTTTCACCGTCACAATCTGATTTACCTCCCTATCCTCCTTCCTTCAAAAGTGTTGACGTGAAGCGAGAGATTGAAAAGGTGCGTGATGCTAGGAAATGCATACGCCTCGATCGTATCACTAGCAATGCGCATGGATCGCATGGAGCCTCGACAAGTACGCTCCCACTGCCCAGTATATGCACCTATACAATACATGATGCGGGTGAGGGGTAAGTCAGTTCAGTGAGGGCATTGCTCTCCGCTAACGCTTACCTCAGAGTGCCATCCTGCACCTTCTCTCAAGATACTTCCTTGATGGCCGCCGGTTTCTCTGAGAGTTATATTCGTATGTGGAGTCTAAAAGGCGAGAAGTTGAAAGGTTTAAGGAGTGATTTTCAATCGAATTCAGTGAGAGATGGTCTGCATATATCTCTTGATCTGGGTTCCATAAATTGGCACTCCAGTATTCTAACATCTCTGTTTTAGGATCGTCACTTCGTAAGGTGCGCGAGAAAGGCGGAAGCACGACACGGAAACTGGTGGGACATAGTGGACCGGTGTATTCTGTTGCTTTCGATCCCACTGGCGGCTCTGCAACACCTCCCAGATATCTGCTGTCGGCATCAGCCGACGCGACTACGAGATTATGGTCTCTCGACACTATGACAAACGTTGTGGCGTATCGAGGGCATCAAAATCCAGTGTGGGATGCACAATGGGGTCCAATGGGGATTTACTTTGCTACAGCCAGTAGAGATCGGACGGCGCGGCTGTGGTCAACCGACAGGACGTCTACATTGAGAGTGTACGCCGGCCACACAAGTGACGTTGACGTGAGTAGTGGCCTTGACATGGGTAACATTTAGTGAATCTTCCGCCTGCAGTGCGTCCGATTTCATCCAAACTCCCTTTATCTTGCGACTGGGTCTAGTGATTGGACAGCCCGACTATGGGACGTCCAGAAAGGTTCGTGTGTGCGCGTGTTCATCGGACACCAGGGGATAGTCTCGTCGTTGGCGTTCAGCCCCGACGGTCGTTATCTTGCTAGCGCTGGTATGTTTTCCGTTTGAAGTTAGATTCGGTAAGTCCGATAGTTTTCATCTAAAATTTACTTTCATAGGTGAAGACCTTGCCATCAATCTATGGGATCTTGGCTCGGGAAAGCGGATCAAGAAGATGACGGGCCACACTGCGTCCATCTATTCCCTTGCGTTCAGTGCGGAGTCGCAGATGTTGGTATCCGGTGGTGCTGACTGGACAGTGCGGTGTTGGGACGTAGCGAGCCCGGGGGGTCTACCACCTAAATCGCGTGAGAATGGTTCCCTCGTGAACGGATCGGGAGTGGGAGGCACAATTGACGGGAGCCATGGAAAGGAAGAGGAAAGTATCGAGACGTACGTCGCATCTATACTGTATACCATCCATCAAGACAAGTATTAATCCTCATTTTTGTAGCACTGATCTTCTGACCACATTCCCCACAAAGCGAACACCAATTATAAACGCGCAGTTCACGTCACGCAATCTTTGTCTCGTGGCTGGCCCATATCTCGCTCCTGAACAACGATGATTATGTGCAGGTAGTTTATTTATCTCTTGTATTTATGTATTTCTTGCCGCTCTGGATGCCTCCAATTTCTGTTCCGCCGCACGAGATGCTACATGCAGAGAATCTTCGACCCTACTAATCGAGTATAACTGCCTTTCAGCGTGCATATTCCGCGATTTGAAGTGGCATCAATGCTCGCTTGGGAGTGTGTCACTTCCAAATAGATCGCGTTATAGATATCTCAATTCGTTGAGAAATTATTGTTCTCATCTCGCACAGATCTGGGAAGATGATGATTGAGAGTCCACCAGTAATCCTGATTTTCTGGAGATTTTCTTGATACTGATATTGATGAAGTAGATTTTTACAGATGCATATTCCCTCTATTGCACCCTTCCATCATCGGCAACGACTCCTGGTTGACGGAAGACGACTCGTAAAAGACAAGGTATCTCGCGTGGAAAGCTTCGTCAACGTTGTGCCGCAATTTTACGGGTTGCATACTTTTGGATGCATATAGTGATTCTCGTATGTACTGCAGGCGGAATGGATACCTTCTGACTGGTTAGGTCGCTGACTCTTGAGGTGGCAGTACTATAGTAATGGTGCAACAGTCTCCGGGAGGCGAACTTTACGATGCCTTGAATGTTTGGATGCCAGGGTCTGGTAGTGTGCCATATTCTGGCCAATCGAGATACTGCAAGCGAGAGCTGAGGCACGCTGATCGCTTACCGAAAGATAATCGAGCGCGTCGCGTCGCGTCTGCTGAAGTGACGCATTTTCGGCGCTCCATGGGTTGAATATATTGGCAAGCCTCTAAAGCATGTTGTAGCACTTTGTAGGCATAAATGAGAACATATACGCGATTCCAGAGCACACATGGTAAATGTCTGGGCAGAATATCTGCTTGTCCAACGCGGATATCGGAGAATGCCACTGTCTGTGGTGTACACGTGATGCTGTCGAGCTCGGTTCTCCGACTAGCTCGTCTGCTCTTCTACATCGCTCAAGACAACTGCGAGGCGGATTCATTGTCTTCTAGTACCCACACAAACAAGTATTAACATGGACACGGTAAACTTTTCATGTACTGCGTCTCTGACTCTAGAGTCTCACAAATGATGTAGAATGAAGATCAACCTATGGACACGGAAGTCAACCCAGTGGATTCTACGCCACATAGCGAACCCATGCCTTCAACAAGTCAGGCGCAGTTCATGCAACAAACAGATGAGGCGGACTCTGGTATGTGGCTACTCACGTTGAAGGCGTGTCGGTCTGCATGTTGTGATACCAGCTCTGACCGAGTTGGATCAAGACATGAGAGCTATAGTTGCTACAATACCGCAAGCACGGGATCCCTTTCGTGATATACCCGTGAAAGTTCATATAAGGCGACCGGAGAGAGATAATTGGACCTACCTCGGTCGCGGCATTGTGTCCCAGGAAGTACAGCCCGGACAGTCCGTCCGTCTTGGTGCGCAGCCTGTGTTCTAGCTTCAGGTTTCACCATATTAATTCATCGTCGCTGTTAGTTGTGCGATCAGTCTCCTCCCACAAAGTGCTCATCAGTTTTGGGGAGGTAGATGATCAGCTTCATGTCAATTCATAAAAGTTAACAATTACCAGCAGGACGTCCCGCTTCAAGCGGAGAAACGCGGCAATTTCGTCGTCGTTGCGACCGTAGTTGAAGGCAACCGTGTCATTTCTTGGTCGTTAAATGTATGTCGCTGGAATATTTGGCAATTACGATGATTCTCAACTTCACCCGACGAACAATTCGTCTTTATGCGTTCCCAGGCTCAGAATAACTCCGAAACCCTTCGCCTCCTTGCTAGCATTGATCTTGCATGTCACTCACGCAAGCCATTCGTCACGGATTCCCAAAGCTTGCACCGTCGTCGTGTTGCGCGTATGATTAAAGACGACCGCAAGCGCCGCCACAAACGCCGCAAGGATCAGGACGCCATGGTTGCTGCCTTTGCTCGCACTGGCATCGAATCAGGGCCACCCGAACAACTAGCAGTCGGTGAACCAGCCGCCACGCAGCCGCAAACATAGATCATGGAGGACTTGGCTAAATGTGATCTTGCCTCATCATTGCAGTGTGTCGCCAGGTCTATATGTAAATGTATTTTATTCCTCGACAGTCTGCCTCATATATCGTTTAACTCTTACCACCAGTCTCTGTATCTTGAGGAACTGTGTCATAGCGTCGCCGTCCTACTGTTAGCGTACTAATATTACACTCTCCCGAATCACATTCAATCTTGTCGATTTATTCAGTAGCGTGGCTGCACGCAACTGTACTCACCCAGTCTGTCGTCTCAGTCATCTGGAGGCTGATTCATTGTAGCCAGTGATAACTGATGGCATGAAGCAGTACTGTACAGTTACATACCATCGCACAGCCGACATTAGACTACAGATGGCCCACTCTCCCTGATGATTGTCCTCCACCGTGAATCTTGATCTCATCGTTAACGTCTCATTTTGAGTGACCATTTTGGCCATATAGAAGTCCATGACGAGTGACATCGGTGCACAAGATTTATACAAGCAGAGCCGTCAGAGAATTCCCCGTTACGATTGTGAAAGAAACTGACACTGGTGAGGAGGTCCATTCCAGAGCAAAATATTAAGTACAGCACATATGAAACCGGATAGCGTCGACAATGAGTGACAGATGCAGGAAATGCATGTACGAAATGACGTCCATCAATAAATAACTGTGCATGGGGGTATGATATTCTGGAGCTACAGCGGTTCACTGAAATCATTAGCCACAAATGAGGGAGCGCAACTGTCTGTATCATGATGGGATGTCATAAAATCGACTTCTTCTAGTTGAACTCGATTCTTCCCGCCGTGAATAGGCGAGTAGTTGCTGCTAGGGGGGGATGAATGACGACGCGTGGGGCTGCTCCATTGGGTCCATTGCGACTGGTAGGGAAGGGCCAGCTCTCAAACTACTATACTTTGGAGGCAATTCGACCACTTCTTCAGCGTCTGTATGCACGATAAATCGTGTGGTTGATGGGTATGCAGATACGCCTGCCATTGCAGCTTTGCGCCGAGGCCCCATGAGCATCGTCGGTCCTTGCGACGAAGCCTCGCTGCTTTGAGCCTCCGGCATCGCTCCCGCGAACGAGCTCTGCCGAGAGTGGGAAGGTCCGGAAGCGGAATGGGAGCTGGAGTACATGTAACCCGAGACGGACGACAAATCCGGGCCAGGAATTGTGGGGTTGAAGAGAGGGTACGGACTGACAATGGGATACATCTCGTCCCCTGTTTCGTCAGCAGGGTCGATGGTCTCGTGTTTGTCTCGTCCCCCACGATAGGGTACGGCCTCATCACCGTAATGTATTGTGTTGTTACGGTTCCTGCGCACTAGTAAGATAGCTAGCAGCGCAGCAACGACGAGTCCAAGCACCCCACCAACTACGGCGCCGGCTATAGCTCCGATCGGCATCACCGATGACTTTGCTGTGGCGGATTCCGATGAAGTGGTGGATGATGTGGATGCGCTCAGAATCGATGTTGAAGCCCCGCTGGAGGTTGTTGCTGAAGGTTGGACAGCCAGTGACGATGGGTAAGAGCCAGTAAGGCAAGTTGACTCATCGCTCAAGCCAACGGTATAAAGTTGTGTGCTTCCACCCTGACGCCCTTGCGAATCTTCCATGAAGAAAACCACAGAAGTTCCAGCGGACAAGTCTGTCATCCAGCTGTAGCTAGTCGAACCATCTGGAGGATCAAGCACGAATGAAGTGCCACCAGGAATAAGACCCTAGTGGACTCAGAATCAATCCCAATCGGTGAAAAGTGAGAGAACTCACTGTAATGTTGATCGGCTGAACTGCGCCAGTATATGCAGAAAATGTATACGCTCTTTGAAGACAATGTCAATATCATATTACAATAAAGCCACGATACGGCTCTAAGTACTTTACCCACCTGCACTGGGCCAGGGCCGAATTCGTTTGAAAAGTGAAGTCAGGATCTGAAACGGGGTTTGAGAATCCATAGTAGTTCATTCCCATAAGCAAAACTCACGGCCTGTAGCTGCATTACACTGTGAACTTCCAGCCGGCGGTCCTACGTGTATGACATCGGATACACCCCCGGATCCAAATCCACTCGCATCGGACATAACCGCCAACATTGCGGTGGTGTTGAGCAAGAGAGGCACTTGAAATGAGCCCTTACCATTGCTATAGCTGGAAGAAGGGATTGCATAGTACGACGGCCTGCTATAGATCTACTCATTGAATCCCGTTAGCCGGCGCGAATCATACCAGCACACTTGGAACCCACGGGAAGTAGCATAAGCTCAAAGGGCGCTGTACCACCTGCATTTCCGGTTACGACCTATCCATTGAATGTCTACCAAAAAAACTAGCTCACCAGTCCAAGAGATATCAAAGTCGCTACACTGTGTCGCATCTCCGTAGGCAAAAGTAAAATTAGCAGCAGATGCCTGTGAAACGAAGAGGAGAACCACAATCAACAGATAGTCAGTCTGCATGACTGAAAGGAATAGGGTATATAATGAGAGATGCCAGAAAGAAACGCAGCACTTGAGACAGAACGACCGGGAGAAGCGTATCCTCCAGCAGCGGCCAGCGAACGTGCTGGTGGACGAGGTCACAGATTGATGATTGGTGACAAGACGAGCATCAGGAATACGAGTAACATGAGGAACGGAGGCGGTGTCTTCGTTGAATTCTGTTGGAGCGCTGACAGCCTCTCTGACTACTACCAGGCACACGGCGCCGGTCCTCGGCTAAATTGAATCCTAACGAACACAAGGGCCGTTTGAGGGACGAGTGTCCTTTGGTTCAAACCTACACGTAGACTCTACGATGCGGTACGAATTGCATGGTTCAAAACATGAATCGCTGTACACTCACGTCGTAAAGATACACGTATCTTGAAGATCATGCCAACACACGTCGGGCGGCCGCGGCGGTAGCGCGAACAAGGGCTCCCTGTGAACAAACCCCGCGATGCGGGCCCTACAGGCGTCTTGTGCATAATGTCAGTCATTAACTTTGTACACACGCGCCCACATCGTTTGGAAAAGCATCCGGCCAGAAGGTTACGATAGGGATGCGGCGAACAAAGCCTTCCCAACAGAGCGTCGCCTGCTTGGAGGATTCTATCGCGTCTCCGGACATTGGCATGCCTGAGTGGTCAATCAGCGATGCAGCGTACCGTGGTACTGTCAACTGTGGGCAGATGTCATCATGGCAGAAGCGATGAACATGATCCCTATCCTGCCATTGCAACTACCCCGGGAGGAAGGGCGTTGAGATTTGACGGCTGAGGCAGGCGACGCGTTCGAATTGAATACCAACTCATAACAAGCTCACGCGTTATATTACGCGCTGGGCGGAAATCCTTGCCCAGGCTGCCGACGATTATGACATTGAATCGGGAGACTCTTATTCCGTCGCTAACGTACTCTTGTGCGCATATATGGAGGGTCGTAAATGCCGCCTTTCGCGCTCACTGCGCATCGTGACGCCGACCACGAAGTGTCTGACGCGATGGCCAACTCAACCCGCCTCTGGGTCAGCCTGAGACCCTCTTTCTTAGGAGATTGATATTCGCTACCCCCTAACCGCAGGGTTGGACGGCGTTATTATCGTCGGGTCTAGTTTGGTTACGGATACTCTGCATGTACCATACGGTATGGAGTACAGACCTGAAATAAAATAATAACAAAAGAGGCGTGTCACGCGCGGTCATGAGGGAAATCCTATTATGAATGCTAGCTGAAGATACTGTAGTATGCTATTCGCCATCTGGTGTTGCTTAGCCAGTACTGCCGTCAGCACAGCAGCCTGCTCGAGGACGTGTCCATGGTCCGTCTCGCAGCGTCAGCATCCTGCGCATAGGAGCAACTTTTTCAAACCTTGGGTATCGAATAACATGATCACAATGGCTCAGCATGAGGAGTACTGTGACTTCGTCCAGAGGAAGGCTTCTGACGGTCATGAGACTGTTCGGTAGCACGGCACAGGAGCTTCACGGTCCTCGGGTGGATTCAGAGATCAAAGCAAACCGGTTGTGACTCTGATACGCTCGAGGTCGGCGTTGATGCTGCGCGCGCGTCTGCCTCTGCCACGACAGTCAGTTTACGCAGGCAGAGTTGTGCAGCTCGCCTTTACACTCCTCACAAACTATGGGCATTCCTGCTCGCACTTGGACCCGCGAACAGGTCGCCACCCGTATTCTCGCAGGGGAGACTCTCGTCATTCTTAATGGCCAGGTCCTCCGAATCCCGCAGTCATGGCTCAATGCACACCCCGGCGGTGTCCTCAGCATCCTGCATTTCGTCGGACGCGACGCAACGGACGAGATCCACGCCTTCCATTCGGACGAAACGCTCAAGAAGATGAAGGGATACGTGGTTGGCTCTCTGGAGACCGCAGGGAAACCTTGGGAGCCGCTTGTCCCCCCAATTATGAACGGCTGGGTCCGAAAAGTTGACAACGACGGACGGACAGAATGGTTCAAGGAAGCCGTCGCAGTCAAGTCGTCGGATTTAAACACCTCGGCGCCACCCTCTGAGATTCTCCTTGTCCAAAAAGGCGACGTCTCTGGAAGCGGCCCTTCGCTTTCGACTTTGCAACCTCCTCCGACGTCTCTTTCTCCTAACCTCCAGGCGCAGCATTCAGACGTATACAAGGCCCTGCACAAACGCATAGTGGATGCCGGTCTGTACAAGACGCGCTTTATCACTGGCTATGGACCTGAATTCGTTCGATATTCCCTCCTCGCACTGCTTTCCGCCTACACCTACTCTCGAGGATGGTTGATTCCTAGTGCCTTCTTCTTAGGTCTGTTATGGCAGCAGCTTACTTTCTTCGCCCATGATCTCGGACACCTGGGCGTGACGCACAACTGGCTCTACGATCGTCTCACTGCCATATTCGTCGCCGATTTTATTGGCGGACTGAGCATCGGGTGGTGGGTCAACGTCAGTATCCATCCTATGTATTTCATGACTAGTTCTAAACTGATTTCCCATAGAATCATAATGTGCATCATTGTAAGTCCGTTCGCCTGTACAGGGGAGCCCTACATGTTGAATATTTTCCGTCTTCGAAGTGGTTACAAATCATCCATCTCAGTAAGTCCCACATTCTCCCCGAAGAGTACGCGAAATCTTATGGCGATCCGATGTGTAGCGACCCTGATATCCAGCATATACCATTTTTCGCAATTTCACCAGTTTTCCTCAAGTCACTGTGGTCATCCTACTATAAACGAGTCATGTTCTTTGACTTCTTTGGAAAGCTCTTCATATCCATCCAACATAAGCTTTTCTACGTCGTCCTTTCTCTTGCGCGGTTCAATCTCTACGTGCAATCGTACTCTTACCTTGCGAAGACAGCTTTTGAGCCCAGACGCGCGAAGGGAGGTCGCTGGTGGTGGTGGCTTGAAGTAGTTGCCCTTGGCCTGTTTTACTGCTGGTATCTCGCAGTGCTTCGAGGTTGCGGATCGTGGCGCAACATTCTGGCGTATCTGCTCATTAGCCATATCGTGGCTAGTCCTGTGCATGTTCAGGTGTGTCATGTTGATAAACAGTATACTATTGATGGCTGATGCAGATTAACGACCCGTAGATCGTGCTCTCACACTTTTCACGCTCTACAGATGATCTCGGTGTAACCGAATCGTTCCTAGCGCGCCAGCTTCGCACTACCGTTGATGTGATTTGCTCGCCCTCGATCGAGTTCATTCACGGCGGCCTTCACCTTCAAGTTACGCACCACCTCTTTCCTCGTTTGCCACGACACAATCTTCGGGAAGCCAGTTTAATCGTCAAGGATTACGCCAAGGAACAAGGACTGGAATATGCCGAATTCGGATTTGTGGAAGGTAACGCTGACGTTCGAGGTGTCCTGAAGTCGGTCGCTGAACAGGTCAAGATTGTCGGTATGGTTGCGGATGCAGAAGTTAGGGAAGCGATGGCAGGCTCATGACCATTTAGAGGTGGTCGTTTTGAATGCTATGCTCATGTTGTTGTAAGGAGGGACAACTATATCTCGTTGGCGCGACGTAGATCAGAGTTGGAATATTCACATTTGGAAGGCATACAGGGACATAATCATTGCATGCTGCATATAATGCAATAGCCCCAGACATGGCCAAATTTTGAGTACATAGCTGATAGTAGCGACATAGGTGCAAGTGGAAATCAAAAGAAGGGCGAGCGAGAGCGTATGCTTTACTTCTTCTTGTTGGCTTCCTCCTCCGCTTTCTGCACAGGGAACGAATACGTCAGTGGAACTCTTCAACATCGCCACTCTCACTAACCTTTGCCTCCCGGACTTTGCGCTTGCCCTCGTTTCGGGCCGACGCGCGCTCGTTGCGGAGCGTACGGTACGCTTGGAACTCGCGTTCCTCCTCCGTAATCTTTCGAGGAGCCTCAGGGACGTAAGGATCGGGAAGAGGAAGATTGGCGCGGGTCGTAGGTGCGCTGAGCTCCTCACCCTGAATTTCGCCTTGAGTTTCATAAATTCCACTAACACAAATCAGTATACGCACCGTAGAGTCGCCCTTCTTGGGCTTCTTGGCATTACGGGGGAACACGATCAACCGTGCCTTGTACCCTTTCAGACGCTCAACATTCAGCGCCTTACCCTCCTCACTCAAATTTCTCCTCCGGTGGTCAACAACGATACCAATTCCCCGAGCCTCCTTCCTTCCAATGCCGGCCTCTTTGAGTTCGCCCAGGGTGAATCCACGGCCTAGGCGGACTTTCCTGTTGTAACGAACAGTCTGGGCACGGACAGCGGGACGAAGTAGTGTGAGAGGGCGAACGCCGAGGGCTGCTGCCTTGGTCTTGCGGGCTTGGCGGCGGCGGAGCTTGCGGCCGGGTTGGTCGAACCAAGTGCGGACACGGCTCTGCCAGTCCTTGCGGAAATGGTTCTGGTGGAGGACTTTACGGCACAAAATTACAATGAGCAACTGCACCGCAGACGACGTGGGATGCAACAAAACGGACCGTTGTTGTGCGCAAAACCCATGGCGAAGTCTGAGAATGAAGAAAAGTTAGCGAGGGCTCTGGTACACCGTTCTGCGGACTATCGCTACATCCAGCCCTTGGACAGTCAATCCAGCATTCCGCCGTCCGATTTCGGGCGAAATTGCAGTGACATTCGTTCCAAAGTGAGGCATAGCGACGTCCTGCAGCATTTCATGGGCGTTGAAGGGCATTCTTACCTTGAAGGGGCTGGTTTGAGGGGGTCTATCCACGAATGCGAGTTCGGTCTGCTGGCTCGGCAATTGGCGAAGGCTTCTGTCGGGGCGTAAACGATCAAGCACGTGTAAGCGTATATATTTGCGCTTATGGTGAGCCAACGACGGGCGTCTGTATTTCAGGGCACGAACTTGAATTCAACCTGGAGAGCCTGAGGATGTCGCTAAGCACCGTGCTCAAAGTCAGACCTGAATGTTACTCTGCTTTATTCTCAATGAGATATCAAGCAGAACAGCAGCTGTTCTTGCTATTGAATACGGTATCGTGATCATTAATAGGTCGGTTAATGTGTTTGTTTCTCCAGGTTTGTTTCCGCGAAGAGGTTCTTTGATCTCCTCAGTTTACTGATTATTGCCTCCATACGGCATACGGGCATTGCGAGTCGCCTAACGGTTGAGTGCCTCTTTCCTCATGTACTTCACTGAGCGCTCCTTTGGCAGGAACTTCCCAGCTAAATGCCTTTCTGAAATTCTCAGGCTATCTACCACTGACAGCCGTTGTTCGCATCGTTCAACCCTGCAAGCTGTTGTCTGGACCTGATGACTCCGAACGGCTGCAGAGACATACATAATACCATCGCCCGGGGAAATTGACTCGCTTGATTATTTCTATCAACTACGGCCATCTGAGTACATATCTGATTGTATTTTCGCTGAGGGACCCTGCAGGATTCTCTTTACACCTCATGGCTCATCTATGACATACAAGGGTATAGCGGCATCGATAGATGCCGGGATCCGACCCCTACTCGTGCGTCCTTCCTTGCTTTGTGTATCATGTGTCTTTCCTGATATTGAAGACACCCTACTATTCAGGCCATAAGTGCGAAGCTCACGGACAATCCAAGCCATTTATGTGCCAGAGAAATCGAAGTTATCGACCCTGGACGCATGTCACTATATTCTTGACTGCTGATCTTTTAGTAAAATTGAGACTGTCTTCTCGCTCTCAGGCTACCGCCGCCATGATATATACGCTAGGCGAAGATATCCCTCGTATCTTCGTGTACCCTCCAAAGCCGATCATCGTGCTTCAAATCGATGTCGCCCGCCATCCACCTCGACCCGCCTTTTCGCGCCGAACACATTGGGTCGCTCCTCCGCCCCCCACAGCTGGTAGAGAAGCGCATTCTGTTCGAGGAACACAAGTGTTCCGCTGAGGAGCTGAAGGCTCTCGAAGACGCGAGCATCCCGGCGGTGGTCAAACTTCAAAAAGAAGCAGGTATAAAGACAATTACAGATGGCGAGTTGCGCAGGTAGACCGTCGACAGGCAGTGGTAACTGGACACTTACCCTATCACAGAGGTGCCTTCTATCAGGGTATATTTGAGAAGCTGGGGGGCATGTCGACATTGCCCGCTAGTGAGTTCCCGCGCCGCATGAACGTTTTAAATTCTGATTGGGTCTGTTCAGGGTCTCTTGATACGTTTAAAGTTGAGAAAAACAAACCTCTCCTGATGACTTTCATCTTTACCCGCAATTGCTTCTAGCCGTATCTACCCTATGTCGCCATTTTCAAAGCCATGGGACTGACTGAATATACCTCCATCTATTGCACGGTAAGTTCCAGCTTATATGCAACCAGGAAAGAAAGCCAACTCGGCGTTCGGAATCATAGAGTAAGATCAAGCGCACGAACGGAATATATACGGAGGACTTCTTGTTTCTTAAGGGACTGGTTTCGTCAGAGGTCTGAAATTATCATTCTATTGTTATGCATATATGCGTATTTGGCTCGATTTTCTAGGAGATCAAACATATCAAAGTGACGATTTGTGGCCCCACGTGGATGCATCTTCGTCATGGCTCAGACCACACATATGATAAATCCGTCTATCAGAGCGATGGTACGCGGACTACGTCGTGTATGAGTTTCTACATAATTGCTCACATATTGTTCGTACAGCGGAGTACTTTGTGGACCTTATCCAGGCGTATCGTGAGGAGATCGACGAGCTTTACCGGCTGGGCTGTCGTCACATTCAATTTGACGATCCAACCTTCTGCTTCTTTTGTGCCGAATCCATGATCTCTGGCATGGTGCAAGCTGGAGTGGATCATGAGGCGCTGCTAAGCACCTATATCGGAGTTTATAACGATATTCTGAAAGACCGGCCAGGAGACTTGACTGTGGGTCTGCACACATGCAGAGGCAATTTCAAGGTCGGTCTATGGCTGTCGTTTAACAGGACAGTATTCAATTCGACAATAGGGCATGCACTACAGTGAAGGTAGCCTCGATCGCATCGCGGAGAAACTATTTGGCGATCTGAATGTCGATTGCTACTATGTATGCCCGCGCTAAACAAAGTGTTTGGATTTCATGCTGATGTTATGCAGCTGGAATACGACACCGAACGGGCAGGTGGGTTAGAACCACTACGCTACTTGCCACTTGGCAAAATGGTGGTGTTGGGCTTGGTAACGTCGAGGACAGGGAAGGTATGCGCACTATAGTCATGTGTCGAAGGGAAGAATTTTACACGGACTTTTCTCGATAGCTCGAGACTACAGCGGAGCTGAAGGCACGGGTAAACCAGGCCGCTGAAATAATCTCCCAGGGCAGCCCCAGACGCTCTATGGCCGACGCGCTGAACCAGTGAGTATGGTCTCCCCTATGTAGGGGTTGTGGCTGATGGTGTTGTAGGCTCTGCATAAGCCCACAGTGCGGCTTTGCCTCTGTGTTCGAGGGGAACCCCCTAAGCGAGCAGGTAAGTACACGCCGTAGTGCTGTGCAGGCCGGCGGGACTAACGAGCGGGACAGGAGGAGAAGAGCAAGCTGGAGCTGGTGGTGGAAGTTGCCAAGCAGATTTGGGGGTGATCGGACGGGCGGCTGGTGGTGCAATGGAGCGAGCACATTGTAGGACGATGTACTGTACAGAATTACACTAGGCGATATGAGACCGTGCATAGTATCCGCGGACAATATGGGGCTGCGCATGGACGTCAGAGAGGGAGTAGACGTGGCTGACAAAGTGGAGAGACGCTTGGAGCGGGCGCCTGTGCGAGAGTCGCGGTCGCAGGCTGAGTTGAACAGCCTCAGCCTCCTC